GAATAGACCTAGAGTCTGTCATACAGAGTGAAGCAAGTAAGAAAGAGAAAAACAAATACTGTATGCTAATACATATATATGGAGTCTAGGGAAAAAAATGGTTCTGATGAACCTAGGGGCAGGACAGGAATAAAGACACAGACGTAGAGAATGGACTTGAGGACATGGGAGGGGGAAGGGTAAGCTGGGACAAAGTAAGAGAGTAGCACTGACATATATACACTACCAAATGTAAAATAGATAGCTAGTGGGAAGCAGCTGCATGGCACAGGGAGATCAGCTCAGTGCTTTGCAACCACCTAGAGGGGTGGAATAAGGAGGGTGGGAGGGAGACGTAAGAGGGAGGGGATATGGGGATATACATATGTATATAGCTGATTCACTTTGTTATAGAGCAGAAACTAACACAACACTGTAAAGCAATTATACTCCAATAAAGATATTAAAAAAAAAGAATTAGAGAAATCAATGAAATTGAAAACAGTAAATCAATAGAGAAAAATCAACAAAACCAAAAGCTAGTTCTTTGAAAAGATCAAAAAATTCATATGACTCTAGCCAGGCTAACTAAGAAAAAAAGAGAGAAGTTACAAATTACTAATATCAGAAATGATAGAGAGGACATCACTACAGATCCCATGGACATGAAAAGGATAATAAAGGAATACTTTGAACATCTCTACACCCACAAATTTCATAACCTAGAAGAAATGGACCAATTTCTGTAACACATAATCTGCCAAAACTCACACAAAAAGAAACAGACAATGTTTAGGCCTATATCTATTAAAGAAATTGAATCAATAATGGATAACCTTCCAAAACAGAAAGCACCAGGCCCAGATGTGTTCACTGGTGAATTCTATCGAACTTTTAAGGAAGAAATAATACCAATTCTCTACAATCTCCTTCAGAAGACAGAGCAGAGGGAATACTTCCTAACTCATTCTCTTAGGTCAGCATTACCATAACACCAAACCCAGTTGACAACATTACAAGGAAAGAAACTACAGACCAATATCTCTCATTAACACAGATGCAAAAATCCTCAACAAAATATTAGCGAATTGAATTAAAAAGTTATATAAAAAGAATTATACACCATGACCAAGTGAGAGTCAACACTCAAAATTTAATTAATGTAATTCATCACATCAACTGGATAAAAAGAAAATCACATGATCATATCAATAGATGCAGAGAAAGTATCTGACAAAATCCAACATCTACTGACGATAAAAACTCTCAATAAACTAGCAGTAGAGGAGATCTTCCTTAACTTGATAAAGAATATCTATAAAAAACCTACAGGGACTTCCCTGGTGGTCCAGTGGTTAAGACTCCGCACCCCCAATGCAAGGGGTGTAGGTTCGATCCCTGGTTAGGGAACTAAGATCCCACATGCCGCGTGGCATGGCCAAAATAGGAAAAATAAATTTAAGAAAAAAACCTACAGCTAACATCGTACTTAATGGTGAGAAACTAGAAGCATTTCCACTAATATCAGAAACAAGGCAAGTATGCCCCCTCCCATAATGCCTTTTCAACATCATACTGGAAGTACTAGCTACTGCAATAAAACAAGAAAAGGAAAGAGCACATGTACAGGTTTGGAAGGAAGACATAACTGTCTTTGGTCACAGATTATTCTATCACCTATGTAGGAAACCAAACAACAACAACAAAAAACCTTACTGGAACTAATAAGTGATTATAGCAAGGTTGCAGGATATATGGTTTATATACAAAAGTCAATTGCTTTCCTATATACCAGCACTGAACAAGTGCAATTTGAAATTTAAAATACAATGCAATTTACAGTAGCATCCCCAAAACGAAATACTTAGGTGTAAATCTAACGAAATATGTACAAGATCTATATGAGGAATACAACAAATCTGTGATGAAAGAAATCAAAGAAGAACTAGATAAATGGAGAGATATTCTGTGATCATGCATAGGAAGGCTCAATATTGTCAAGATGTCAGTTTTTCCTAACTTTGATCTACAGATTCAATGCAATCCCAACTGAAATCCCAGCAAGTTATTTTATGGCTATCAACAAGCTGATTCTTAAGTGTATACTGAGAGGCAAAAGACCGAGAATAGCCAGTGCAATATTGAAGGAGAACAAAGTTGGAGGACCGATACTACTAAGGGTATTGGGTCATATAAATCTACTGTAATCAAGACAGTGTGGTACTGGTGAAAGAACAGACAAATAGATCAATGAGAAAGAATAGAGAGCCCAGAAATAGACGCACAGAAATACAGTCAATTAGTCATTGACAAAGGAGCAAAGGCAATAGAATGAAGCAAAGATAGTTTTTTCAACAAATGGTGATAAAAAAACTGGTTATCCACATGCAAAAAAATGACTCTATACACAGCCTTTACAGCCTTCACAAAAATTAACTCAAAATGGATCACAAACCTAAAAATAAAACTATAAAACTCCTAGAAGATAACACAGGAGAAAACTAAGATTACCTTGGGTATGACAATGGCTTTTTAGATAGAACACCAAGACACAATCCATGAAACAAATAATTGATAAGCTGGACTTCTTTAAAATGAAAAACGTTTGCTCTTCCGAAAGACATCTCAAGATAATGAGAGACAAGCCACAGACTGGGAGGATGTTGCAAAAGAAACAATGATAAAAGACTGTTATCTAAAATACAAAGAACTCTTAAAACTCAACCATAAGAAAACAAACAACACGATTAAAAAACCAAGGCAAAGAGTTCAATCCATATCTCACCAAAGGAGACAGACATACAGAAGGCAAATAAACATATGAAAAGATGTCCTACATCATGTATCATCAGGGAAATGCAAATTAAAACAAGATGCAACTACACAGCTATTAGAATTTCTAGGCTAAAATCCAGAACAATGATAACATCAAATGCTGGTGAGGATGTGGAACAGGAATACTAATTCATTGCTAGTAGGAATGAAAAGTGGTACAGCCACTTTGGAAGACAGTTTAGAAGTTTCTTACAAAACTAAAATATACTCTTACCATAAGATCCAGCAATTGCTTTCCTTGGTATTTACTGAAAGGAGCTGAAAACATGTCCACAGAAAATCCTGCAAGTGGACATTTATAGCAGTTTTACTCATAATTGCCAAAACTTGGAAGCAACTCAGATGTCCTTCAATAGGTAAATGGATAAATAAACTGTAATATATCCAGACCACGGAACATTATTCAGCGCTAAAAGAAGTGAGCTATCAAGCCATGAAAAGGCATGGAGGAAACTTAAATGCATATGACTAAGTGAAAGAAGCTAATCTTTAAAGGCTACATTCTATATGATTCCAACTATTCAACATTCTGGAAAATTCAAAACGATGGAAAAAGTAAAAAGATCACTGGTTGCTGGGGTGGGGTGAGGGTGGTGAATAGGAGGAGCACAGAGGATTTTTAGGGCAGTGAAAATACTATAATGATGGATATATGTCATTATACATTTGTCCAAACCCATAGAATATACAACATCACGAGTGAATCCTAAGGTGAACTATGGACTTTGCATGATTATGATGGGTCAAGTAGGTTCATCCTTATTAAAAATGTACCTTTCTGGCGAGTGATGTTGATAATGGGGGAAGCTATGCATGTTTGAGAGGAGGGAGTATACGGGAACTCTCAGTACCTTCCACTAAGTTTTCCTGTGAACCTATAACCGCTCTAAAACATTCTTTTCTTTTTAAGTCGATATAATCCCTGATACTAACAGAATAAAGGATAAACACCACAACCTCCATACCCCCCCCAAAAAAACCCCACGATGACAGCAAATTACAGGAACTTCTGAAAGTTTAACAGCAAAAGCAAGTCTAATTGGAAGACTGGACTCTGGAACCAACCGCTCAAGCAATTGTAATATATAACCCTAAAGGAAGGATTTCCAGGAACGAAGGGAAAAGTTGACTTTTCTCTGAACAGCTTTTACACAGCTTGCAAGTAGACAAACTTAGATAAACCTGATATATCCATTAATGTAGAAGAAAAGAGCTTTCCATTTAGAAACTGACCTAAGTTTGTGGAGTAGTTCTCAGTTTGTTACATATCCTTGCTGAATATCACCATCTTCTCATCTGCGTAAAGTGTATCATACCAACCTCAGAGGGTTTTTTTTTGTTGTTATTTCTGAGATATACATTTTAAAGTAATAACAAGAATTATGACATAACATTATAGAAGAACATATAAGATTTTTATAAATTTCTAAAACTTTCAGGTTTTTTTTTTTTTTTTTTTTTTTTTTGCGGTACGCGGGCCTCTCACTGTTGTGGCCTCTCCCGTTGCGGAGCACAGGCTCCGGACGCGCAGGTTCAGCGGCCATGGCTCACGGGCCCAGCCGCTCCACGGCATGACGAATCTTCCCGGACCGGGGCCTGAACCCGCGTCCCCTGCATCGGTAGGCAGACTCCCAACCACTGCGCCACCAGGGAAGCCCGTCAGAGGTCTTTTTTGATCAATACATTATCGCACGTGTGTGAGAACTCTCAAATGTGTTATTCTACAAATGGCATTATAATTAATAGAAATTTACCAAAATAAATAATGGAGTCAATTTTCTTAAAGCACCGTATCCATTCATTACAGATATGAAAAAATGGAGTAAGCACAGAGGTGTAAACGGGTGGTTAAGTCAGGTACTGACTTTTTTCCCCTATGCCGCTCCGTCAAGTTTAAGCATTTGGAATTCAAAAATTGTGTTAAACCCTTTACAGAATTGGAAGAAGTAGCTTTTCAGACCGTGAAGTGAGTAACTGACCAGTTGTTAATATCTCATATCTTAGGCTACCTTTTTTATCCGTCTTGCGCGGGTCTTCCAAGAGCCGAACTGCCAAGGTTCCCAACCAAGTTCCAGGCCGCCGAAGCACTTCCGGTCCTCGGCCCGGAGGCGAGCGGATAAGGAGCCTGCCACGCATGCGCGCCCAGGCGATGCTTCTGCGGAACGCCCCGCCTCCTTACGTCCCCTCCAACCTCGCTAGAACGGCAACCGGCGGGAGTTTTTCAAAATGGGAGCGCGGAGGCGCCGCCCAGGCCTCGGAAGGTGCCCGGGAGACCTTTCGGTGGCTGTGGTGTCGTCGCCGGGAGCGGCGGCCTAGAGAGCCGAGCCTGATGGACGCCAAGACACGCTGCCTACTTGGAGCGCTGCCTCGAAAGGACTGCGTAAAGGGAGTTAATCCAGGGAGCACGGACCGCGGCCTGGAAATATGGCGACCTGCATCGGGGAGAAGATCGAGGTGAAAAGACTCGGCAGTCCTCAGTAGGGCGGGTGGGAGTCGGAGTGCCGGGACTCGTCGAGACCCTGGCAGGAAGGGGATAGAGCGCAGCTAACGGCTGCAGGTTGGACGCCGGAGTACTTTGGGAGGGTCCCAACCGCCGGGGGCCCGGCTGTTCGAGGGCGGAGCGGACCGCCCCTCTGAGACGCGGGGGCGGTGGGACAGGTGTGTTGCTCGCGGCCCCGCCCTTCTGTCCCTAGACACCGCGGCTTCATGTCAGCGATCCCGCCGGAGCTGCCGCGTTAGAGCAGGGCAAGGCTATCTTCCCCTTCTCCAAGGGGATGGCGGTTACCTCCGGCGGGAGTTGCGGCGGGATTCCGTTCAGGGCCTTAGCTTTCGGGGGCAGGCTGGGGGTGGGACGAGGATGCTGAGGCTACGCTGAGGCTGAGGAACCAGACCATTAGGGTGCTCTATCCAGAGACCAGCCTGGAAGCTCAGAGACCCGCAAGGCGTCAACATGCTGTCCACCCCAGACACCTGCTGTATCGAGGTGTGATACCTGCTTGAATTTTGAATGCAAATTCTCCTCCCGATCCATTTTAGCCTATTTTTTCCAGCCCCTTCCTATTTTTTCTTCCTTTCTGCGTCGAAAATCATTACACGTATTCTTTAATTTTAACTTTTAAGGATTTTAAAGTTGGAAATCTTCTTGGTAAAGGATCATTTGCTGGTGTCTATAGAGCTGAGTCCATTCACACTGGTTTGGAAGTTGCAATCAAAATGGTAAGAATATGTTAATCAGTTTCTCACTTCTACTTTGCAAGTAACTAGAGAGGTTTGCTACTTGAGATGTTAGAAACTCCTTACCTGCCAGCCTTTTCTTTATGCTGTAAAAAACCCATTGCTTAGGCAGAAGACAGTAGTTCCAACAGTTAAACTTAAGGATCTCTTAGGAGATCCTTAACCATGCTTAAGTAAGTGTTCTGTCTTTACTCATGTTCATTAGATTTGGTATCTGTTCTAATTATATGTACTTAGAGTAATTGGTAGCAGTCAAAGAACAAATAATTTGTTTATTATAAGAAGAATACACTGTGCATAATTCTGTATTACACTGTAAAAAGCTAAAATACTATTCTTGATTGTTAGAAGTCAGTCTAATAGGGGTAACATAAGGAAATTAAGAAACACCTAAACCAGTAGGAAAAGGGAAGATTTGTTTTAAAGCTTTGCTAAATTTTATTTGTTATTATCATAGATATGATGGTTGAGCTATTAAATTCTTTAAGTTGGTAGAGTGTATTAGAATGCATTGGGCAAGTTTATTGAATGTCCACCCTGTCAAGCACTTTGCTAGGTGCATGGGGAAAATAGACAACGAAATAAATTGATCTCAAAAAGAAGATAAAAGGACTTCAGAATATTTTATAGTATACTTTCTCTTTTCAAAGTTAACATGACAACTTCACATTTGAAAGTTTATCATCAACATTTAAACCTCTCATGTTATTTTTAGATAGATAAGAAAGCCATGTACAAAGCTGGAATGGTACAGAGAGTCCAAAGTGAGGTGAAAATACATTGCCAATTGAAACATCCTTCTATCTTGGAGGTAAGATACAAATTTTATAAAAGTGGCCAAGGGCATTGAATTTTTCTGTATTATAATTTATTATGCCCTTTTACATTTCAGCTGTATAACTATTTTGAAGATAACAATTATGTGTACCTAGTATTAGAAATGTGCCATAATGGAGAAATGAACAGGTATCTAAAAAACAGAAGAAAACCATTCTCAGAAAATGAAGGTAGGCTGTGCTTCTTTTTTTCTTTCTTTCATTTTTCTTAAAAAAAATTGTTTTTGGAAAATACAAATTTTACTCTTTGTAGTTTTGAAGAATGTACTGTTTTATAATTTTTAGTAAAACTGTTTCAATTATTACTTTGGGCTATAAAAAGAGATTTTTGCCCCCCAAGTTAAGAAAGTTGTTAATTCATATAAATAATTCAGGCATTACAGAAATAAAGTAGAAGAAGAAATTTGCTATCCATCTTTTGCCAAAACAACATTTTAAATTAAGTCATTGGTCACAGTTGAATGTGTATCTTTTCAAATTTAGAAAAAGCTTTTTAGGATGCTGTTGATGACTATAAAGTAGTTTCTAAGTCAAACACAGTACCTGTTGAAACCATTTATTATAGAAAATGTCAAACACTTAAGTTAAGACAGTAATATAATGAGCCCCTATGAACTTACCACTGAGCTTCCAAAACTATCAACTCATTGTTTCATCTGTACCCTTCTTATTCCCCCAATTCCTCAGAGTATATTGAAGCAAATCATAGACATCTTTTTATCTTTAAACAATGCAGACTTTAAAAAAAAAACAAAAAACATAAGCACAAAGTCACTATCACACCTAATAATTCCTTACTGTCAAACACATTGTCAGTTTCAGCTTCCCCAGTTTCTTATAAGTAACTTTTTTTACAGTTCAGATCAGGATCAAGTAAGGTCCGTATATCATCACACAAATGATTGTTTTCAAATTATCTTACCCTGCTAACTGACATTGCAGGCTAAGATGGAAAGCTAAGAAAGGTGGTTGCTGATAGGCTTTTTGTCCATTTGATCTATATTTAACCCATTTGGAAAACAATTTGGTCATATGTGTTAAGAGTTAAGGAAATGTTCATATCCTTAGACTGAAAATAAGAACATAATACATAATAAGAAAATAAATTCATATACATATTGATGATGAGTACTGCATTTTTCATAATACTGTATAATAGTAAGGCCTTCTTAAATAAGACAACTTGCAAAAGATAGGAAGGAAATGAATTAGCAATTTGATTAATTAAAATTAAGAATGTGTATGACAAAGGATACTGTCAACAAATTTAAAAGTTAAAGATAGGAAGAAAATATTTGTATAACAAATGGCTGTCCAATTAATATTTAAAATATAAGGCATGCCTTAAAAGAAAGGCATGCCTTAAAAGAAAAGGCATGCCTTAAAAGAAAAGATAATTGTATAGGAAAATGGACAGGGGATGTAAGCAGACTGTTTACAGAAGAGAAAGTATAATTGGCCAATAAACATACGAAAAGATGCTCAAAATCAGTAGTAATCATAAGAATGCCAACTAAAATAACAAGTACCATTTTTTTACCCATTGGATTGAGACTACCTAATTTCAACAAGGATATGCTTGAAAATAACAGCCTTTTGGAGGGCGATTGGCAAGGTATTAAAATACTAAATTTTATCTTTGAACCCAGTGATTCTACTTCTTGAATTTACCATAATGAAGCACCCCATTTATATGCACAAGAAAACAAGCATGTACAAGAATGTTTATTGCTATATTTTTTTATAATCTTGAAATGACCCAAATATTAATCAATAGCAATTTAATAAGATGGAGATCTATGTGTACTGACATAGAAATATCTCCAAGAAATATTGTGAAGTGGCAAAAAAAAGTAATAAACTATATTTTTATACCATTTTTATATTTTAAAAACATTTATTACAGTGTATTTCTATAGATTTAAGTGTACATAAGCACATGGAAGAAAAGTTTAAAAGAATATGTATAAACTGTTAATAGTGACTACTTTTTAGGAGGGTTTGGGAGGACATCAAAGGAAATTCAGCTTGCTTTTCTTTTTTTGTCTTTTTTACAATTTGAATTATTTATGAATTGTTTAATTATAAATATTTTCTCTTTCTATGGACTTCTGGTTACCCTAGTTAACTCTGGTCACTCCCAGTTCCTAATAAAATTAAGCTTCCCTTAACTGTATTTAGAAAACTCATTAGTTGGAAAGGACAGAGTTTAAAAGGAGTGCCTAGTTGTCTTAATAGGAATTACTAAACAATATTATGAAATTATCAGAGTGGTATTTTGGCTGGTAAAACTAAGCTACAAACCAGTTTACTAATTGTCATACTGGCATATGTACTTGGGTTTCATAATGTATTCTAAATACTGAATCTTCAGATTTTCTAAATTGTAAGTTTTAATTTTTGCATTCTAATAGCTCGACACTTCATGCACCAGATCATCACAGGAATGCTGTATCTCCATTCTCATGGTATATTACACCGGGACCTCACACTTTCTAACCTCTTACTTACGCATAATATGAACATCAAGATCGCTGATTTTGGGCTGGCCACTCAATTGAAAATGCCACACGAAAAGCACTATACTTTATGTGGAACTCCTAATTACATTTCCCCAGAAATTGCAACTCGAAGTGCACATGGACTTGAATCTGATATTTGGTCCTTGGGCTGTATGTTTTATACGTTAATTATTGGAAGACCACCTTTTGACACTGACACCATCAAGAACACATTAAATAAAGTTGTATTGGCAGATTATGAAATGCCAACTTTTTTGTCAAGAGAAGCCAAGGACCTTATTCACCAGTTACTTCGTAGAAATCCAGCAGATCGTTTAAGTCTGTCTTCAGTATTAGACCATCCTTTTATGTCCCGAAATTCTTCAACAAAAAGTAAAGATTTAGGAACTGTAGAAGACTCGATTGATAGTGGACATGCCACAATTTCTACTGCAATTACGGCTTCTTCCAGTACCAGTATGAGTGGTAGTTTATTTGACAGAAGAAGACTTTTGATTGACCAGCCACTCCCAAATAAAATGACTATATTTCCAAAGAATAAAAATTCAAGTGATTTTTCTTCTTCAGGAGATGGAAGCAGCCTTTATACTCAGTGGGGAAATCAAGAACAAGAAACCAGTAATAGTGGAAGGGGAAGAGCAATCCAAGAGGCAGAAGAAAGGCCACATTCTCGATACCTTCGTAGAGCCCATTCCTCTGATAGATCTGGCATCTCTAATAGTCAGTCGCGAGCGAAAACGTATACAATGGAACGATGTTACTCAGCAGAAATGCTTTCAAAATCCAAAAGATCAGGAGTAGATGAAAATGAAGAAAGATACTCATCCACAAACAGCAATGCTAATATTCTTCACTTCTTTAAAGAAAAGACATCCAATGGTTCTGGATCTTTTGAAAGACCTGATAACAGTCAAGCACTGTAAGAATAATTCTATCAAAAAGCATTTTACTTTTCAATAAACATTGTATTAGCACAAACATGAAGCTGCATCTAACTAAGGGTTACCTTTTTTCTAACCTTGTCAGATATTCCTGGGGCACTTTTAACTATGACTTCTGTTTTTTAATAGGAAGAGAATCAGAATGATGATTTTGAATTGTGGTTAAGAATCTCTTAAAATGAGTGTATGTGCTCATGAATGTATTTGTAGTATGTGTTTAATACTTGGGAATTTCTAGTGTCATTTTAAATTTTATATGAAGCAGGTCTCCAGTGCAATGTATCATATATTAAACATGTCTGATTCCTAAAGTACTCTTAACAGTAACTGTACACACACACACACACACACAAATAGAGAAAGAGAAGTTGACCCTAAGTGATGAGTAATCATATTGACTGCTTCTCACATGAAGACAAGTTTTTAGTGACTAGTGTTTTTCTTTTTCTGATCTTTGATTTTTATGTTTAAATTAAAAGAGGACAGTAGCCATATAGAAATGTTGTCACAGTGCCATGGGCATTTTGGCATGGGAATTTAGCTTCATAGGCACAATTTAGTTATGCAAATGTTGGGTTCTAAAGTTAATGTAAAAATTTTTAGGTATTCATATCAGAAGAGAGCTCCCTTTTTTAGTGTTTTTTTATCTTAAAAGGTTTCTACCTTTTAATTTTTTATTAGTTTATGGGAAATTTTTTTTCTTTGTTTAGCTCCAATCATCTTTGTCCAAAAAATGGAAAAACTCCTTTTCCATTTCCAGACCAGACAGCTCAGACTGAAATGGTGCAACAGTGGTTTGGGAATCTGCAAATAAATGGTGAGTTTTTAATGGACTATTTAATAAAAAGTTAATGACTTGGCCACTTACCAAGCATTGCAGTTTTCTATTTGGGTTTTCTTAAGAAAATAGTACATTTTCAATAAACTGTTACAATAATAGTAATAATTACTGTTAACACAGTTTGAGTATTTACTGTATCAGCCACTGTCCTTAATGCTTAACATATATTATCAACTTATTAATAATTCTCACAAAAACCATATGAGGAAGATACTATTATTAGCCCTGTCTTATAAATGAGGAAATAGTAGTACGCAAAGTTTAATTTGCCAAGCTGCACTGTCCATAAATACAAGAGAGAGGAGTCTAACCCAAGCAGTCTGGCTCAGAGACTTTACTCTTAACCCCTCCACTCTTGCAGCCTCTCTGTAATAAGTACCTACTATCAGTGCCTATAAAATAATCAAAAGATGGTTGACTTTATTTTTAAGTAGAAGGTGATGTGGACCATCATAGTGTACCAATGGGACCTCACATACACTAAAATACACAGCTACTAAAACCTAAATATTTTTAAACAGCTTTCATCCAAGTCATTATTTATAGATACAGAGTCTGAAAGTTAAACATTTCTCATTATTGAACATGACATTCACAGAAGGTGGGTTGGAAAATAATGATGGAAGAAAGAGAATAAAAAACATATGGAGAGGAGGAGAGAATTTTTTACTAAGTGTCATGTTACCTCAGACAAGTGCGTAATATGGCTGTAATTTAAGCAGAGAGTTGTTATGTCACCTCAAGAGTCTATTTTTTTCATGTATATTATTTTCAAGGGCCCAAAAGAGAATTAATCTTCTCATGTGTACTTGTTAAAGATGATAATTCAAGTTTATGTTTTTTAAAACTACAGATCTTGCACTTAACCTTCTATTGTGTTTATAGATACTTTTATTTGGTAAACATGGACATGTCTGAAGTAACTTTGTTTATAATACTCTAGTAGTGCTGCTACAATTTTAAAGTATATTATTTGATGTAGGATATTTTCTGTCATAATGGGAGTTATGGAGGGAGGCACTTAAAAGTTATTTAAGGGGAAAGCTGAGATATAGATTTTTGTAGTTTAGCATTAGAAAAATTGCCTTACAAAGTTTTATATAGTCTAATTATTTTAAGGGCTTTAAAAAAAACAATGTTCCCATGTGAACTCTAAAACTATATAAAATTTAAATGGATAAAGTTCAAGAACTGTTTTAGAAATGTGGGTACAAATACATTTATAATATTAAGTATTAATAATAAACCTATTTCATATATTTTAGAGTGTTTTGGTTTTAGTTGCATATTTTGTAAGTAAAGATGAAATAGTCCTTAGCTTAAAGAGAGTGAATTTACATGTTATGTAGAATGATTACCTGGGAACTCCTCTCAAATCTATTATTTGTTGCAGCATTGGCAGTTGCTTTAGTATTATAGGTGACCCTAGGTGACTAGTTTTTGCTTTGATTGAAACATTAATTTCATATTAATATCTTTTGTTTCTTAGTCTTAGACTAAAGGTATTCCTTTGCAGTCTGGCTTAAAATGTCCTTTTAAAGTCACTATTTTATTATGCCATATCTTTTTGTTGTTTTTTTTTTTTGGCCGAGCCGTGCAGCTTGTGGTATCTTATTTCCCCAACCAGGGATTGAACCTGGGCCCTTGGCAGTGAAAGCGCCAAATCCTAACCACTAGACCACCAGGGAATTCCCTTATGCCGTATCTTAAACTGAAAAATTACAAGGTTTTTTTTAAAACTAGATTTCTTTTGTTCCTCAGGAAAAAAAAATGCTATTGTAACCAGCATGACATTGTTTTGTGTAGACTTGACTTTTTAATTATTCACTAAATTGCTTTATTCTATGTATATTATAGCTCATTTAAGAGAAACTACTGAATGCAACGGCATTAGCCCAAACAGAGATTTCCAGGGCCATCCAGATTTGCAGGACACATCAAGAAATGCCTGGACTGATACAAGAGCCAAAAAGAGCCCTGATGCTTCTGATAATGCGCATTCTGCAAAACAGTTGAATACCATGAAATATATGACTGCATTTCACAGTAAACCTGAGATAATTCAACAAGAATCTATTTTTGGCTTAGATCCTTCTTCCGAACAAAGCAAGACGAGGGGTGTGGAGCCACCATTGGGTTATCAGAAACATACATTACGAAGCATTACATCTCCTTTGACTGCTTACAGGTTAAAACCAATCAGACAGAAAACGAAGAAGGCTGTGGTATGTCTATTATTTTTCTAAATCACTGGATGATATTTTCCTTGAGTATATGGTTTCTGGTATCAAACATAATAATATCTTCTCAGTTCCCTATAATGTCCCTGTATTTTTGATACGTACTTGATAAACTCACTTAAAAGAGACTGGGTATTTATGGAAAAATAGCTATTGTTTCCTTCTGGGTACTTTAAGAATGGTGAATTGATAGTAATTTTTGAATTTTAAATTATTGATAATGAAAAACATTTAAAAGTAATACTGGCTAAATACTGTGTTAAATATTATCCACAATCCTAATAACTAAGTTAATATTTAATACTATCTTTTGCTTTTGTTTTCATTGTTTCTACATTTAATCTAGTCTCAAAAAGATAAACTAGAAAATATCACTTTTTTTAACATCTGAAACTATTTAAAGAAAAGGAGTATGCACAAAATTAAGTATAGCATTTTTTTTTAAATGTCATGTGTGCATTGGGAATGGTGATTTTGATTTTTTAATTCTGTCTTCATCCTGTTTGTCCCTGTTTTCCCTTTCACCCAGTCTTGCCTTTATTTGGCGTGCTATTGTCTTTTCAAGCCCTTAAATTCTCCACCCTACCTTCTGCTTTCTTTCTGTTCACTGGTTATCATTTCACACTTCATTATACCTTCTTTCCTTTGCTCCTTATGTTTCACAGTTGTGCTGAAATACACCTGTGGTCTAGACAATTGCAGTGAAGCGGCTATTTGAATTTGATTTTTACTTTAATTTTTGTTTCTGCCATGGTTAAGTACTTTTCTCTTAACTAATATGTATGTCAGAACTGTTCTGGTAAATAAGAGAATTGTTACTGATTTTAGTTTTGTTTTTTTTTTAGGTGAGCATACTTGATTCAGAGGAGGTATGTGTGGAGCTTCTAAAGGAGTATGCATCTCAAGAATATGTGAAAGAAGTTCTTCATATATCTAGTGATGGAAATATGGTAATGTGGATTTCCTTTATTATCTTGCAGCTTCATCACTTAAGCATTTATTATTCCATTCGTTCTATAATATTTAAAAAACAATTTTAGTCGCTTTTCCTGATATGATAGTATCTCTGGAATTCAAAAACTAAAATAGTATACTACATACCTTTAAATAAATTAGTGTGGTGTAAAAAATAATTATAACCAGGAACAAAATCTAAACTTTAGGCTTAAGTTTAAAAAGCAAAAAAATTACTTTTAGAGAATATTTAGCATTTTCAATAAAAATAATATACATGTGAGCTCTTTTTATAATTTTAGTAACAAAATATAGTGCTCTAACTTAATGGCATCTAATCAGAATTCTTAAAAATTTTTTGCCAGATCACTATTTATTATCCAAATGACGGAAGAGGTTTTCCTCTTGCAGATAGACCGCCCTCACCTACTGACAACATCAGTAGGTACAGTTTTGACAATTTACCAGGTATGTAAATTTACCAGGGAATAAGTTTAGATAATGGATTTATATATACATAAACTCTATACTGTGGGTATCATAAATTGTAAATATTTTGGCTTCAGTTGGGATGCAGGTTATGTTCTTATAACTTTATATCTGGTGAGATGTGCTATACCTTACTAATCCAATATTTAGTCATATTCTGTGTTATAATGGTATTTTATTGTTTACTTAAGTAAAAACTAACTCTAGAATATTAGTCATGTGTCACACAAATATAATTTGTACACTTGTATAGTTACAATTTGTCTAGAATCATGTTAAAAATTCAACATGAAGTATCTGGTTTTTGACTTTTGAAATCATTACTGTGCTACATAATGATCACTTGTAATTGTGGTTAACCAAATTTGGCTCCCGGTTTAGCTTCTGGATATCATGAATTGGGAAATTAACTACTGAGTAGTAAGACTTCCCTAAGGTAACTTAGAAGCAAATAAGAGAACCTATCTAATCTAACTCTGTTAGAAATTAAGACACATAGGCAAGACTATCAAATATTATAAATGACCCATAGTTACAGGGAACTGCTAAAATTTACTACTCTATGTTTTACTAATATAAAAAGTGCTACATTTCTTTTCCTAAAGTCATTTGGTTCTGATATCTCAGGTAGAACTCTTTTCATTTCATTTATTAAAACTTTCCTGGAGTCATTATCTTACTTTTAATAAGGAGTCAGTGATTCAAAGTAAGAGATTTTTAAAATAATCATGAGACTGGGACTTTCCTGGCGGTCCAGTGGTTAAGACTTCACCTTCCAACGCAGGGGGTGCGGGTTCTATCCCCTGGTCGAGGAGCTAAGATCTCACATGCCTCATGGCCAAAAAACCAAAACAGAACAGAAGCAATGTTGCAACGAATTCAATAAAGACTTTAAAAATGGTCCACGTCAAAAAAATCTTTAATAAATAATCATGATACTAATCATCAGATTTTGTTATATACTTCTTAGGAATTTTATTATACTGTCTTTAGTTTTCATTAAAATAGTACACTTAACATCTCTAAAATATTTTTATTTGGGTAATGGAACTGTTAGCTTTGGGTAATGGGATTATTAACTTTCGACTTGAATTTTTGAGGAAGAGTAGAAATAAATGTTAGACTGTTATGGAATTTATGTCAACACTTTATTCCCTAATGTTAGGTAACTTTTTTGTTTTCTCTCCCTAGAAAAGTACTGGCGAAAATATCAATATGCTTCCAGATTTGTGCAGCTTGTAAGATCTAAATCTCCCAAAATCACTTATTTTACAAGATATGCTAAATGTGTTTTGATGGAGAATTCCCCTGGTGCTGATTTTGAGGTTTGGTTTTATGATGGTAAGTGCCATTTAGAAATGGTAATTTTTTTCCCTTTAGTTTGTAACTTAGTAGTTGTGGGGTTTTTTGTAAATTCAACACAATGATATTTATTTATTTATTTTATTTATGGCTGCGCTGCATGGCTTGCGGGGTCTCAAAGCTCTGAATCCTAACCACTAGACCACCAGGGAACTCCCCAACACAGCGAGGTGTGTGTGTGTGTGTGTGTGTGTGTGTGTGTGTGTGTGTGTGTATCCATACATAAAAATTATACAGCACAGTATACTATATGTCAAATGTTAATCAAAATTTATATATACTTGCTTGTAAACAATTTATTTTCTAATACGTATATTAATTCTCTTTCCCCTTTTGGCTCCAGTTTAACAACATTCTGATTGATATTATAAAAAAATAACATGAAATAAACAATATCCTGTTTCTTACTAGAAATTTAAATGGACACATACCAAATTTTTAGGATAATAAATATCACAAAAGGATAAGGCTGAATCAGAGAATTTTATTTTCTAAATCTATAAAGATGTTTACTTTTTAATCTGTAAAGTTTCCTCCTTTAAGGGACACATAGTACATACACTCACACAGTACACATAATTATAGCTGTCCTTCACTTATGTTTTTGTATGAGAGTAGTGGTTTTTTAAAAATATAAAAGTATCAAACTTAAGCCAGTTATATGCGGAAAAGAAAAATGGCCTATATTTTTTGAATACTACTTTGAGAGCCTCATTTTATTAATGGCCAATAAGTGAATATAAATGTTACCTTGATCTGGGAGTCATGTACTGGGGTATGATAATGAATATAAATCTAGTAATATTTAAAGAAATAATAAAGGGTTTTCTGCTTAATTTTTAAGGAGCAAAGATACACAAAACAGAAGATTTAATTCAGGTGATCGAAAAGACTGGCAAATCTTACACCTTAAAAGGTGAAAGTGAAGTTAATAGCTTGAAAGAGGAAATAAAAATGTATATGAACCATGCTAATGAGGTATGTACCGACTTTTAGTAGGTTTTTTCTTACCAATTAATAATAATACAAATGACATACATGAAGTAATGACAGAAAGCACTCTTTTGAAATAGGGCCACCGTATTTGTTTAGCACTGGAATCCATAATTTCAGAAGAGGAAAAGAAAAGTGGAAGTGCTCCCTTTTTCCCAATAATTGTAGGAAGGTAAATGTTTGAAAATTTATTAAATATGGCTAAAATGTGTAGAAATTTTTTTTTAAAAAACAGTTTAATGTTTACATTATGAACATTCTTTTGTTTTCTATAAATTGAAAGCTTTAAAAGAATGTATTTGACATATCTTTCTCCTTCAGAAAACCTAGTAGTACTAGTTCACCTAAGGCCTTAACACCTCCTTCTGTGGATCCAAACTACCCAATGAGAGAGACACCATCTCTGAAGAGAATGATCATAAATAGTGCAGCTTCTCCAAAACAGGCACCAATACTTAATCCTTCTGTAAGTAAATATATGTCACTTCTGTACTTTAAACTCTTCAATGATTGCCTAATGTCCTTGATATCAAACTAAAACACCCTACTGTGGCCTTACTATCACCTACCTACTTTTCCAGTCTCATCCTGAGCTACCCAACACTCTCTGTGCCTAGTTCCTTGATTAAGCCAAACTCTCAGGGCCTTTTCACATGCTCTTCACTTGACCTGGAACTCTTTTCCTGAACCTCTTAATGGCTAATTCTTTCTCATCTTTCAGGACTCAGTTTAAATATTACCTCAGCAAGGCCTAACCTGACTCCTCTGGGAAAAAGCTAAATATATTAACATATATATTGTTTTATTTTTACTAGTAAAATATCATTCACTGCCTTAATATCCATGATAGAATCATGGTTAAACAAACTTATATTTTTACTCAATGAACTATCATGCCAATAAAAACTATATAGCAATGTAGTAAAATGCAAGATTAAAGAAATAGATCTCTGTTTGTGTATATGGGTATGTGTGTATTCACACACACAAACATATATACTATAATTGAAGCTATGAAAAATTATACCTTGGGAAAAGAAGACAAAAGAAATCTACCAAAATCAAAACAGTAGCTCTGTGATTTTTTTTCCTGTTTTATACTTTTCCAATTTTCTGTAATGTGATTGTATTTTTTTTAATTTTGTCTTTGAAAAATTAATTTAAGATAATGAAAATCTGGTCATCATCTACTTTTGCTGAAGTTGGCTTATTAGAATGCTAAGGAATAATATCTTTCTTTCTTTTATTGTTTGTAGATGGTTACAAATGAAGGACTTGGCCTTGCAAGTGCAGCTTCTGGAACTAACAGCTCTCCTAGTAGTCTAAAAGATTGTCTCCCTAAATCAGCACAACTTTTCAAGTCTGTTTTTGTGAAAAATGTTGGTTGGGCTACACAGGTGAGAAGTTAGATTTCTCTTTGCAAGACAGTTTTTACACTTTTTGCATTGATTATATCATTAATAATTTTCACATTTTTTTACTTGTATACAGATGGAAAGCTCTAGATATTGTTGATAACATATTGCCTGCTAGGGCCTAGGTGACCTGTTCTTGCCTTTTTTTTTTTTAATTAATTAATTAATTTTTGGCTGTGTTGGGTCTTCATTTCTGTGTGAGGGCTTTCTCTAGTTGCGGCAAGTGGGGGCCACTCTTCATCGCGATGCGTGGGCCTCTCACTATCGCGGCCTCTCATTGCGGAGCACAGACTCCAGACGCACAGGCTCAGTAGTTGTGGCTCACGGGCCTAGTTGCTCCGCGGCATGTGGGATCTTCCCAGATCAGGGCTCGAACCCGTGTCCCCAGCAGTGGCAGGCAGATTCTCAACCACTGCGCCACCAGGGGAGCCCTTGCCATTTGTTTTTAAAGTAGAGGTCATGATGATGGCTAAACATTAGGATTTGAGAATGCCCAGGGCATCGTAAGTTTTAGAAAGTATTTGTAATCTATATTAATAGAGTAATTTTTATTTGGCAGAAAAGAATTTTTGCATTTAAAAATTAGGTCTACATTGAGTTTCAAACTTAAAGAATTTTATGTAGGTGTAAACTTAGATTTGTATATTTTCTGAAAGCTTGAACTTTGGAGATGTTTGAGCACAGCACATGTAATTTTTGAAGTAAAATATAGCCTAGTCCTTTATGGAGGGTAGGAAATATCGGGAAGGGAACTCAGCATTTGTTGAGTACATGCTATGTGGTACAATGTTTTCCACATACATTGTCTCATTTCCCAAAATAAAACCTAGTAAAGTTGATGTTATCTCCTTTCATAGATAGTAAAATTATGGCTCATAATGGATGGTTGACTTGCATATTCCTAGTTTGCAGAATCTGGATGTAAACCCAGGTCTATTTGATTCCAGTGTCCATGTCTTCTCTGTACTCTGTTTGGAGTGGCACATTGTAAACATCAGTGACTAAAGAAACCAATTTCAAAAGCAAAGATGTAACATTCTCAAGCAGAATAGAAATTCTTTTGGCCTAAGAACAAAGAACAGAGGGAAATTCTAATTTAAGAAAGTGTTGCTTGGTTATTTCCTAAATCTCTTCTTGGTTAGAAATACTATGGGAAAGGAAAAAAAAAAGGTTGCTCAGATATCCTAGTGGAAATGAATGGGAAACAGGATTTATGTAGAATAATTTTAATTTATGATGCCCTATCCATTAAAGGAATAATCTGAAAAAGATATGAATATTCTCAAATGTTACTACCATCACAGCCCCAAATTTGTAGTTACCTGAAGGGTTGTTTTCTTTTTAAACTATATGAAAATCCTTTTAAACATGAGTACCTTTTAAGAACTTCATATCCTCTGTAGTAATTTTGCTTGCTTATTACTTTTCTAGTTAACTAGTGGAGCTGTGTGGGTTCAGTTTAATGATGGGTCCCAGTTGGTCGTGCAAGCAGGAGTGTCTTCTATTAGTTATACATCTCCAGATGGTCAAACAACTAGGTAAGTTCTTAAAATACTGGTTGAGATTCAGCTCTTTGCTCTAATTTTGTTTTATCTATATGATGAAATAAATGACATAATAAAGTTACTATTTTCATGTTGACAAAGTTCATATTATTATTTAAACTGTTAAATATTCATAGCAGCTCATATAGTCTAATGCATATTTTATGAGTATTTACAGGAATGCAGGGTAATTGGTATGGATTATCCACTCCAAGTGGTTAGACTCCTTTAGCCTTCTTATTCCTTCAGTCTAACTAGGTTGGCCCTTTTCATAAGTAATGGACTTCTAAGTTCAAATATACTTAGACAATTTACATAAAAGAACATAGAAACAAGGAAGCTTTCTTTTAAAAGGTAACCAGATTATTTTTCCCAAATGAAAGGCTGTATCCCCTGATCTAATGTAAAGTGATTAATGTTAAAAGACTTTTTTGAATGTATATATTCATTCTAAATGAGGATGTATGCCAGGCTAATAAGTATGCTAACAAGGAGGATCTGGGAATAGTAACAATAAGCAGTAGTTTGGTCTGCACATTTCAAACCATAACTTACTGAAAAGAGGTAGGGTGCCGACAGTGCCAGTACAAACACGCTACTTTATGAAAAGTGCATATTGTAGAGAAAATACTTGGTACAAATATAACTTGTGGATATCTACCAACTGCTTTTGTGTGTATATATGCAGTACCATCATTTAAAGAACTCATAAAGTGAGAGGTTTTGTTAAATCAGCTCTTTCAAATGATCCAGAAAGTGGACAGATACAGATATAAAATGGGTAGAACCCATGTTCAGAAGATAAAAGTTCAGATTTTACTTGATATGGTCATTTGGAAATTTTTAATATTTAATAGAAATGTATTTATAATGTGTTTAGCTTAGTATTTTCTTTAAATTAGGGTCTTCAATTTAATGAAGAATCCAGATTTTCAGCTTGCTTTAGAAATTATAAAGTCTGTTCAAGTTTTTTGACCTAATTTTCTTTTTATTATTTAAATACATTTAGAAATTGATCTATTTTAAAAGGAAACAGGGACTTCCCTGGCAGTCCAGTGGTTAAGACTTCACCTTCCAGTGCAGAGGGCTGTAGGTTCAATCCCTGGTCGGGGAGCTGGGATCTCACATACCTCGCAGCCAAAGAATAAAAACATAAAACAGAAGCAGTGTTGTAGCAAATTCAATAAAGACTTTAAAAAAAATGGTCCACATCAAAACAATCTTTAAAAAATAAGTAAAGGAAACAAATTGAGTATGCTTAATTTAAGTATCTAATAATTTTGTATGATCTCTCTGAAGTGCCTTTGCCATTGAAGAATTACTGAAAAATATAATGTGACTTTTGGTACTCTTACAAACCAAGTGACTAAGTTATAATTTTATCTTTTTCTCTTTTGCTTCACTTAGGTATGGAGAAAATGAAAAATTACCAGAATACATCAGACAGAAATTACAGTGTCTTTCTTCCATCCTTTTGATGTTTTCTAATCCAACTCCTAGTCTTCATTGATTAAAGCTCCTTTTAGATATATATATGTTTAATAAATAACGTTTTTGTTGGCTTTCAAGTAAAGTGACTTTTTTCATTTTAAAAAACTTCTTCAGAAAGCCTTTCTATAAAAGAGAATTTTAATCTATACCATAACAGATGTATTCTAATGAGAGAACAAAGCAGAATGAAACTTGAGTCACTTACAAAATGTGGTCGTAGACTAAAATAGGACACCTAACTTTGCTCTTAGAACATATACTCCTAAAATTACTGTGTTGACATATTTGTATTGAACAATCTTTTAAAGCAAAAATATAAATGGTGTGTGGTATATTTGTGCTTCTATTTTTTTCCCTACTTCTTAGACATGTTAAGAATCATGGACAAAACATGCTGGAGTTTCTGAATTTTGAACATGTAAATAATGTGTATTTATGTTACAAGTAACATATGTAAACATGTATATTTGTTTTATATTTATTTTTGTAGCACTAGTTTGTGATGAAACATTTCTGAAAATGCATTTTATTAAAAAATAATAAATACAGTGTTACTTTATCTTTTGATTTATTTAATTAAATACTTAATTTAGGGACTTCCCTGGTGGTGCAGTGGTTAAGAACCCACCTGCCAATGCAGGGGACATGGGGTTCAATCCCTGGTCCGTGAAGATCCCACATGCTGCAGAGCAACTAAGCCCGTTCACCACAACTACCGAGCCTGCGCTCTAGAGCCCACAAGCTACAACTACTGAGCCCACGTGCTGCAACTGCTGAAGCCTGCACGCCTAGAGCCCGTGCTCTGCAACGAGAGAAGCCACCGCAATGAGAAGCCCGCACACCGCAACGAGTAGTAGCCCCCGCTTGCTGCAACTAGAGAAAGCCTGCGTGCAGCAATGAAGACCCAACGCAGCCAAAAGTTTTTTTTAAAAAAGAAAAATATATAATTTAAAATAATTTACATAGTAAACTCATTTTTAGTTTTTTTGCCTGTTTAAGACCCAATTAAATTTTTTAAATTAATTTTTCAAATGGTAAGTACATTGTTTCTCTACCTTCATCTGAAAATATCTGTATATTTTAATGATAAACATTTTAACACTGAAGACCTCAACAATGCAATTAACTAACATGAGGAAAAAGAATATTTGATAGGGGGACAGCAATTAATGAAATACTCAAGGTAAAATAGGAATAGAATGAAACTACTTAAATATAAAGACTGTTAATGCTTCCTGCTGATTTTTATAATCAGAGAAATATTGGAGCCAATTCCATTAAATAGTCAGGAATACCCAATGTCACAATTATTCAGCATTGTTTTGGAGGTTGTTAACAACGGCAATGAGAAGAAAAATAATAATTTGTAACATAAGTTGCACAGTTAATAAGAAAAAGACAACCCAATAAAAAAATAGGCAAAAGATATGAACAGATAATTCACAAAGGAGAAAATCCATATAATGAATCAAAATCCATATAATATACTCAACCACATCTGTAGTCGGAGAAATACAAGATTAAAACAAAAATCATTTCCCTTTATGAAAGATTCGTAAAAAATAATAATAGTGGTACAATGAGCAGGGCTTTCTCAGGTGGTGTTGATTACGGTGTAAATGATAAAGCAATTTGGCAATATCTATTAGAATTATTTTAATACATAGGTAATCCAACTTTGGGGAGGAAAATTATGTAAACCCTTCTCTTAGGGATAAAAATATGATTAGAAGAAAGAATTTCCTCTTAAAAATGGAAATAATTAAAGGAAGTCCTAGCTTAATTTTGAAAGCTAAAGACTCAAATACATTTTGCTTTGACAGAATTTAGGTGTATTTTTTTTATCATCTCCTTAATAAGTCTTAATGTATCTATGTTTCAGGTATTTCTCTTATATATACAATACAGCTGAATTTTTTCAATCCAATGTAATAAGCTCTGTAGTCTACTTTGTTTACATTTATTATCATTTCTGATTTATTTTCACTGTTTGTCATTACAGTTCTATTGCATTTACTTCCCATCTTATTCTGTTTTCTACTAACCATACTTCTTTGCTTTTATTTTCCTTTCCTCCCTTCTTTCACGTTGAATTTCCTTTTCATATGCATATTTAAATTTTCTTTCAGCAGATTTTTCTTGAATTAAAGTTTTTAGAATTTGTTCTGTTTCATTGCTTTTGGTTTTCTTCTTCAAGGACTTCTGCTATATGTATGTTAAATCACCTGTGCCTAATTTTTATATCCATCACTTTCTCCACATCATTTTTTTCTCTGTTATTTTAATTTTCCTCCATCTTTAATTTCCCTTAAGAAGTTATCTATGGCATCTTATTTACTCTTGTGTTCCTTCTAATTTGTTCTTCATGTCTGAAATTATTTTTTAAGTTTTGTATTCTTTCCTGAGCTCGGCCAGCAATATTTTCATACCTTCCTATTATCTTCTCTAGTTCATTGGGAAATTTTCCCATTTCTCAGTTTTTCAAATTACGATGTTATTTTTTAATCTTTCCATTACTTCGTAATTTCTTTCATCTCATTTTATAATACATTCTGTTTTTATCTGTTTTATGGGCATATCTGTCTGGCATGCCTTTGTTGTCTATGACAACATTAGTTCAACTGCACTCTTCCTGTTTCTCCTCAGTATTTATTCCAGTAAATGGCATCTGCATCACTAGCTGTTCATGTCAGAATCCTGGAACTCATTCTTAACACCTTCTTTTACCTCATCTAATCACCAGTTAATCCAAGTCTACCTCTAAAATATATTTTACATGCTTTAAATTCCCAATTCCACTGTCAGTTCCCTAATTCAAGTCACCAGCATCACTCATCTGAACTACTGCAATAGCCTCCTGCTCGTCTCTAAACATCTACTCTTGCCTCCTGTATGAGTCAGGGTTTTTACTTGCAAACATCAAAATCTAACCTAGTTAGTTTACACAGAGAATATATTTATTAAAGGATATCAGCTCACAGACCCTCAAGGAGGGAAAGAGATTCAGGCTTTGCAGCTAAAAACAATGGCTGAATCATAATGTAGGAGCTTCCCCAGAAGAAGACATCCTAACAACGCTGCTCAGCACAGATCCCACAGCCATGCTGATGAAGCTAGGGGACTAGGTTCTGGGAGCTCTGACGGCTTTCTCGAGAATTTAGCCACTGACCTTGCTCCCTCACTAAAGTAAGTTTTGCTTATATTGCTCACTTCCTCCTTTTGCTCAGTTCCTTATGAAGTTTCACATTGGAGGAGTGTACTGGCAGAGCCAGAAACACAAGCTCATGGCCTGGCTGCAAAGGTAGAGAGAACGAATGCATTTTGGCTTCTATCTAAAAGGAGAGGCTCAATGTGAGAAATTCTCCAAATGTAGAAGGGTCTGCAGGAAGTGAAGAGTGGTCACATACATGATAAATGTCCTCCACATCCATTCCAATTCATACTTCACACTGCAGCCAGCTCATTCTAAAATACACAGCTGATTATGTTATTAACTTACGTTAAATTAATTGTGGAAATTTAAAAACAGAAGTACAGATATACCAGGATAAGGAACCTCCATGTGTCTCCCACCCAACTTCAACAAATATTTTGCCAATCCTGTTACATCTCTCTTACTGATATCCTTCCCCCACTGGAGTATTTTGAGGCAAATCCCAGAAATCATATAATTTCTATCATAAACTCTTTAGTACCTTTAACAGATAAGGAGCTTTTAAAAGCATAACCAATAACACACATCTCAGAATTTACAGTAATTCCTTAATATTTAATGGTGAGTCCAGTTTCAAATTTCTCCAGTTACCTCAAAAATACCCTTTTACATTTGACTTAAAACAAGATCCAAAATAAGATCTATATAATGCATTTGATTTATATATCTCTGAAGTTTCTTTTCATCTATGACTGCTGATCTCTCAACTTTTATTTTTTCCACGGCATTTTTTTTTTAATTTTAAGAAACTGGACCATTTGTCTATAGAATATATCATCTTCTGGGCTTAGATGATTACTTCCTAGAGGTGGCTTTTAGTTGTATCTTTCGTATTTCCTATAAACTGGTAGTTTACATCTACAGGCTTGATTAGATTCTGACTCAATGTTTTTTGGCAGGAACACTTTCATAGGTGGTGCTGAGTACTTGCTGCATCAAATCAGGAGGCACGTAACGCTTACCCACTTTTAATGATGTTAAGAGTGATCAGTGCGTTCAGGTGTTGGCTTCATCCATCCTTTGGAAAGTTCCTCAATAATCTTCCACCTCACTAGTTTTATCATTCACTGATGAATGGTGCCCATATCTATAATATTATTTCACTAAAGGATGCTAGATGGGGGTTTTTCTAATTCTATTATTCCCTTGTATTTATTAGCTTGGATTATTCTATAGGAAATAACTTTCCCTCATCAATATTTTATTACCCTGAAGTTTAGATACAGGAAAGGCAGAAGAGAAGCTTAAGTCTTTATTTCCTGGTTTTTAGAGTAAAGAGTTAAAGCCCTGGCAACCTCCAAAGGTGACCAGTGTGTTTCTTACTTTTAATATCATTATGAACTCACAGATTTTCACACATTCGATGTGTTTAAATTGGCTGCAGATATTATTCTTCTCAATGCTTTAATTGTCCCATTTTTGGCTAGTATAAGTCCCTTTATTTGATTCCTGGGTCCTTTTGGCAAGACAAGCCACAAAATGGAGAATGCCTAAAAATAAAGTCAAACAGAGGTACACGATGAAATATATCACCTCATGCTTGTTAAAATGGCTATCAAAAAGATACAAATAACAACTGTTTGCAAGTATGTAGACAAAGGGAACCCTCATGTCCTGTTGATAGGAATGTAAATTGGTGTAGCCACCATGGAAAACAGTATAGAGGGTCCTCAAAAAATTAAGAACTACCATGTGATCCAGCAATTCCACTTCTGGGTATATATCCAAAGAAGATGAAGGCAGGATCTCAAAGAGATATCTGCACTCTCATGTTCATTGCAGCATTATTCACAACAGCCAAGATATGATGCACAACCTAGGTGTCCATCAACAGATGAATGGATAAGGAAAATGTAAGTAAGTGTGTGTGTATGAATATTATTCGGCCATAAGAAAGGAGACCCTGCCATTTGTGACAAGATGGATGGACCCTGAGGGCATTATGCTAAGTGAAGTAAGTCAGAAAGAAAGGGACAAATACTATATGATATGACTTGTATGTGGAATCTAAAAGAGACAAACTATTAGAGGCAGAGAGTGGAATGACAGTTGCCAGTGGCTAGGCTGTGAAGGAAATGGGGAGATGTTGGTCAAAGAGTATAAACTTCCTGTTATAAGATGAATAAGTTCTAGGGATCTATTGTACAGCATGGTGATTATAGTTAATAACACTGTATTATATACTTAAAAGTTGCTAAGAGAGTAGATAGATCTTAAATGTTCGCACCACGAAAAAAGAAACAGTAATTATGTGATATGATGGAGGTGTTACCTAATGCTATGGTGGTTATCATTTTGCAATACGTAAGTATCAAATCAATATGTTGTACACCTTAAACGTATACAATGTCATATGTCAATTATATGTCGATAAAGCTGGAAAAAAACAAATGACAAAGGGAAAAGATAACCATCTACAAACCAAGGAGAGGCCTCAGAAAAAAACCAACCCTGCTGACAACTTGATCTCAAGCCTTCTAGCTTCCAGAACTATGAAAAATAAATTTTTGTTATTCAAGCCACCCCCCCAAAAAAAGGTACAACAAACAACATAAAGTGCAAATTATAGTGTTTACTCTTAGATTTGAAATATTTATAACTTAGAGTAGGAAACATTTGGAAAAGTATTTAGAAATATTTTTGCATTTTTGGATAATACTGATTATCCATATAGATAGTTCTGTACTAGTCCCTTTTAGCAGCATTCAACTTATGTGAGGTAGTAAAGTGTACATAATGTGATTTAGCCAATTTCTAGTAAACTCGCTAAACTGTTAGATTACAGCTATTTTACCTCAGATTTATTAGCCTGCCTATATTGGGGCTGTCGGGCTTATCCAAATTTAAAATTCTGCAGTTCTGAGTAGCTATGCAGACACAGATTGAAAACCGTTGGGTCTTCCCTACCACTACTGAGAGAGAAAAAATAAATAAGGTAATAGTTTTTCTCTAGAATTTAAGGGAATTAGAAAATGCCAATAATTTTAAGTTTGCTGTTCAGTATATGTATACAACAACACATATCTGGCTTATGTTTCTAAAGTGAATTATTTATTAGGACTTGAAAGAAAAAAGTAGTTATCTGTACTACAGGTAGCAAAATCCATCTTGATCTCTTAATCCTCTTTATTGCTCAAATATGAGCATTATTCATACATATCCATTAACTTAGGGGTTAATTAGTAAGATCCTGAACTAAAATAAGACGGAAAGTGTAGTATTAAAAATCATGACTTATAGAAGCTAAGGGAGGATGGCAGGCATGGTAAGTATAAAATTTAAGTCATGATTTTACTTCATAAGGAAAACTTTATAATAACAGAAAATGCATTTTTTAATAAATAAAAAGGAGATAGCTATGAATAAAAGTACCTCTATTAGGTAAAAGATTTCTATAATTTCATTCTATTACAGGTAATTCATACAGAACTCTCCTTATGATTTCACTGCATATTCTCTTGTTATTTTAATGACGCCTCTGCAGTTTGACTTAAGAGTATAACTTCACATTTATAGACCACTGTCTATTCACTCATGACTTTATGCCACCCCCCAAAAAATGTCATATGAAGACTACTTCTTTTTTGAGATAAGGAAACTATGATCCAGAATTTTTATATTATCTTGCTATTCATAATTACACACAGAATTTCCTATTTTATTCAATATATGTTCTTGTTATTCAACATATGCAATATCTACAACCTGACTTTAGGAAACTGACTCTTAGCAATCATCTAGCAGAGCCTTAAAAGAGAAAGTTCCACACAGCAAGTACTTTCCACCACAGTCTTAGCTAGGTTATTCTTGAATCCTTCCATGCCTTACAGAAAAAGCAATGAGTCTTCTGTAAACCACACCCAGGAGTGTGATGGTGAGCACCACCATTCCACACACCAGGCTGAAAGCCCATCGTGGACCCCAGGCAGCGTACACTTGGCTGATGAAGACAGGTCCAAGGATCCGTGCTGCACTTCCAGACGCTGTTAACCAGCCCATGTACATACCCTGTTGGGGGAGAAGCAAACTGACACTCAGGTGTAGTTATTTTAAAAGCAAGGATGATGCTAATATTACCAAACTATGACAAACACGAGAATCACTTCCTCTGTTATTTTTAAATTAAAGTACCTCTCTATAAATACAGCAAATAATGAGCAATAAACTTATTTGATATACTGTTTAGGAAAATAAAAGTGTAAAAGAACGAACACTTTCTGCTGAAATGATTCATAAGTTTACTTTTTAAGGCTACTATTTATTCTGTACTTGCTATTTTCCAGACACTGTGTCAGGTGCTCTACATATATTGTTTCCAACGTTCACAAATTTCTATGATTGGTATTATCCCCACTTAACAAATGTGGAAGCTAAAGCTCAGAAAATTCAAATAACTTATCCAAGAGCTATGAAGCCCTGTTTGGCTGACTCCACTGTATTAATTTCCACTATACCACAATGTCACTGCTCCAACTACTGTATCCAAAACTATAGCCCATACAATATACCCAGGAACGCGCAATGCAGCATTACTTTTAATATCCTCCGATTGTAAATAACCTGTCAAGCGTGGATTAAGTAAATAAACTATGGTACATTTAATAAGTGGAATGCTAAACAGTTGCTTAAAAGACTATGGTCTTATACAGAATAAGATCTTATAACAAGAATAACATCTCTATACACATTGACATGGAAAGGCGGCCACGGTATATTAAGGGGAAAAAAAATCCAAGATGTAAAAAAGGTTTATATACATGACATATAATTCATTTTATCTTTTTTTAAAAAGGCATGAGGGTGGATATGTTTGAAAAGGCATAAAAAATATTGTGACGTGTACAAATGAAGTAAACAGTGGTTGACTTTAGTGTGATGGAGGTAAGGAGAGCCTTCCTTTTCTGCTATATACATTTCAAATTACTTGAATTTTGTTACAACCATCATGTATTGTTTTTGTAATTAATATGCTTTTATTCTTGATTTTGAAAATGTGAAAATATAACTTTATAGATTAAAAAACCCAGAAATTACCAAAATGTTTTACCTATTATTATAGCTTTAATACACTGATGTTAAAATTTTTTTCTTTGCTTTATTTCAATAAACATTAATTTCTACCTTGAAAATGTAAAACTATCAATTTAATTTTTATAAAGAACAAGATACTATTTTCATTTTGTTGCCATTTAAATAACTGCTACTAAAAAGAAAAGTCAGAAGTAAAACCTGGAAATAAGCTAAATATACAATAATAGGAAAATGACTGAATAAATGATGGTACATACATAAGATGGAATATGTCTCCATTAAAAATAATTCCCTAAAAGAAAATTAAATGTCATGGGAGAATATTTACAGCGTATTGTTATATTTCTTTAAAAAAAGCAGATTACAGGGACTTCCCTGGTAGCACAGTGGTTAAGAATCTGCCTGCCAATGCAGGGGACACGGGTTCGAGCCCTGGTCCCGGAAGATCCCACGTGCCACGGAGCAACTAAGCCCATGCGCTGCAACTACTGAGCCTGCGCTCTAAAGCCTGTGAGCCACAACTACTGAGCCCACGTGCCTAGATCCCGTGCTCCACAACAGGAGAAGCCATCCAGTGAGAAGCCCGCACACCACAACCAAGAGTAGCCCCCGCTCGCAGCAACTAGAGAAAGCCCACGCAACAAAGACCCAACACAACCAAAAACAAAAAAAACAAATACAGAATGGTCACAAAAAATGTGAATGCTTACAAGTATACCTCACGCAATTGCAGTGTCATGCTAGCTGACTCACCTGAGGTTTTGGCCCCAGAATTTTTGAATATAATGTATATGACATAACATTGCAGGATGGATAGCCTATTCCAATTAGCACAGCTGATGTGAGGAACTGGGCCAGATGGATCATGGGGGTGTAGAGGCACCAGGCTTGTTCAACTGGGCAACCAGTTGGTCCTTCATTGTGATCTTCTCTTGGAATCTTCCAAAGAGTAATAATTATTTCTCCAAATGTGGTATTAGGGATTGAATTATTATGTAAATCTGTAAGAACAAAATCAGTACAGTGTATTACTTGTTAATTTAAATGAATAACAGGGGCTAACATTATAGAATTATGTATAGCTATACCTTCCCACTGTATTTTGGGAAACTGATGTCCCCAAGGTAACAAGATAAAGAAGCCAACCCATACAACAATGAGTCCTCCCAGCAGAATAGCACGCTCGCCAACCCTGTTAAAGGAGAGAAACTGTAATTAAAAAATGAAACATTGTATTATAACATAGCTTCATTACTTTTAGAATTTTTAAGACTATAAATAAAATAATATCTTGATACTTTTAGTGATATACTAATTAAAACGAATGCAAAATATAATTTCCCACTAAAAGGAACCAGGACTCCTCTGAAAACTGGCTGATATCAGGTCTGGGACAGAAAATATATAAGATGAGCCTGGACATCTTATCATAACAGGAAGAACAGAAATTACCAGTGACTACTAGGTTATGATTACAAGGACTCAGAGGGAATTCCCTGGAGGTCCAGTGGTTAGGGCTGTGAGCTTCTACTGTAGGGGGCACGGGTTCAATCCCTGGTCGGGGAACTAAGATCCTGCAGACCTCACGGCATGGCCCCCCACCAAAAAAAAGGACTCAGAGCCAATTTGAGGAAGCTGGCTAAGAATATGACAACGTGAACACCAAAAAGAACAGTAATGACAATGGCTTGAAACACATCACAATGTTATTTATAAATTCATACTATATTAAAATAAAATACTCTTGGTCATTTTTAGAGGATGTTAGGGAACCCACTCAGTATTTTAAAAATCAGTTAATAAAAGAAAAGGATCACCCTGTCTCTCCTACAAAAACTGTACCTCACGATAACCAAATAGGTAGTGATGGAAAAGTTCTCTTTATAGAAAGTGTTCCAGCAAATAAATAAAGGAATGATAGAATTAAAATACCAGCATTTTGTGCTGATCTATTAATAAATTAATGGATCTAAGGAATGGTCAATGGCCACTTACATCATAAAAAGAGATAAACAAAACTTTACATTTCTCTTGATGTAAGCACATACCACCACCTATAAAACATTCTTGCCAAAAAACTGAACTCAAGTCTCATCAAGCTTCTAGATCTAAGTACCAATTTTCAAGAAATATTGTAAACACAGGAAAATACTAAAAAACAAACAAAGACACCACAGGGATTTATTCAACAAGATCCAAAATGTGGGAAACTATAGGGCAAACATCTTGGTTACTTCAATTTGTAAGGGAGAAAAAGAGAGAGATGGAAGAGATGGTAAAGAAACTTATAGATTAAAAGAGACTTAAGAAACGTAAGAGCCTGAGTCAAGTGAGTAAGCTGTGAAATAAAACAATATAAAACAAAACAATTTTTTTTAAAAATTTGAGACAGTGGAGAAAATTTGAATACTCCCTGGATATCTGATGGTATTTAGAAATCACTGTTAATTTTTTTAGATGTGATAAATGCTGTCATCATTAACTTTTAGAGATACATACTGAAATATTTATGGAAGACATGAAATGATGTCTAACATCAGCTTCAAAATAATCCAGATGTAGGGGATAGGCAGTGTGGAGTAGGTGGAGGTATAGATGAATCAAGATTGTCCAAGGTTATAATTGTTGAAGCTAGGCAATAGATATTAAACATTCAGTACATGATTCTCTCTGTACCTTTGTATATGTTTGAAATTTTCCATAACAAACAATGAAATATACAGGGACTTCCCTGGTGGCGCAGTGGTTGGGAATCTGCCTGCCAATGCAGGGGGCGCAGGTTCAATCCCTGGTCCAGGAGGATCCCACATGATGTGGAGCAGCTGAACCCGCGAGCCACAACTGCTGAGCCTGCGTGCCACAACTGCTGAGCCTGCATGCCACAACTACTGAAGCCCATGCGCCTGGAGCCCTTGCTCCGCAACGGGAGAGGCCACTGCAATGAGAGGCCCGCACACCGTGGCAAGGAGTGGCCCCCACTCACTGCAACTGGAGAGAGCCTGCACGCAGTGATGAGGACCCAATGCAGCCAAGAATGAATGGATTAATTAATTAATTTTTAAAATAAAATATGCAAACAAGATCAAAGATTCCTAAAACAAAACAAACAAACCCAACACCTCCCATTACCCTCAGAATACCTACAAGGCTTCACATCTTTCCAACCTGATCTTCTCCCATTTGCCATTTCTCTCATTCTTCTCTGGCCAAAACGGCCTTTCTGCTTGTTCCTTAAACGTATGAAGCACAGTCTTCTGGGGCAAGAGAGTTCCAGGCCACTGCATGGCTGTTCTCTGACTTCACTGAGGTCTCTGCTTGGATGTAACTTCCGTTTGAGCTGCCCTCCACGAGCAGTCAATCAGAACAACACTTCCCCTCTCTCCCAACCCTGCCTTGCCACTTTTTATTCTCTTCCTCTGCTCTATTCTTCATAGTACTTCCCATGACCTGATTTCACATTTGTGTTTATTAGCTTTCCCCCCAGTAGAATACAAGCTCTTTGAAGGACATGAAATTGGATCATCTGTAAGAATGCCTATCAGCAGGACCACTCTACTTCTGTAGCAAGATGTAATGCATGTACTATTATTTAACTTTGAATATGAATCTATGTCTATGTCTATATCTTGGCCCCTCTACTTGGCTCTATAAGGATAGGAATCTTCGTAGTATTCCCCATAACACCTAACCCTACACACTGACTCAATATTTGTTAATTGATTTTAGGACTTTATTAAAGCTCTAAAGTATTGTTAAAATATTTTAGGAATAATTAAATCATTAGAACTGTCTAAATTTATCAACTAATGTTCCACTCCAGACTATATGAATGAACTTAATTTTATACAAGTATTTTTCTTAGTGTGCTCCTTACAGTTATACTTTTACAAAATGCTTCTTTAAAAAAGTGTTCTGTGATCAAAGTTACAAAAAACTTTGTGAAATGCTACGTACTCTTGTCATGAAGGTGATATAGCATATATACTGAAGATTTAGAAGTTTTAGAGTAAAGAAGTTTGGTGATTTTAACCAGAATTTTCCACACTTAACCATTAATCTTTCACAGCAGAACAATGTTTTATGAAATACGCTTATAGAAATACTTTAAATAAAACATAATATACAAAAGATACGTTAGAAGACAATTATTCACTTTGTAAAATATCTTGCTTTACCAAAGAATATACTACATGGTACAGAAATATGCTCCCTTAATAAATTTTAAATCTGTTTGCAAATATTCAAGGACTAAAACTCATGCATAATGACAGAAAAGCTTTATATACTTTACTAACATATTCATTTACATCATTAGCTCTGTTTCATGTTTCACTTTAAAAAAAAAAAAAGACTTGAAATAAAACCAAAGACAAATAACCTACTTTTTGGAAAGTAATTTTATCCCCATGAAAATAATAACTGCCTCAACTCCAAGAGCAGCAAGTATTATGCCATCATATAACACAGCTTGTTCTCTGGTCCAGGCATACATATCCATTGTTAATGGAGTAACAATGCTAAGAAAAATAAAAAAGAAATTATTCTTCTTTTATTTCAATCATAGGCATTGTTATTTAAAGTTGAAATAGTAAGATTTAATAATGATACCAACACATTCAAGAATCTGCATCCTTTTTAACAATGACACCAGATCTACAGAAACAAAAATTTTAAGACATTTTAAGTACATTTTGTTGTAACATGCACAAGCTACTAAGTTTGGCTGTTTGCATTTTTATTTTTTAATATTTACTGTAATTATAAAAGTAACATGTCCAACACTGCAAAAAGTTTGAAAAACAGGAAAAGGAAACAAATCAACCATAATTCCTACCATTCTAATATAATTAAAAAATCATGGTTGTGTCTTGATTTAAACTGGTCTCTTTTCAATGAAATAATGTTACTATGATTAAGTTATTAACTTACTATGATTAAGTTATTAGAAACTTCTGGGATTTTTTTTTCTCTTCCTCTGTCTCTTTCATACCTATCTTTGAATGTACATATTTTTCTCCCTACCTCCGAATGCTGCTCTTCCTTTATATGACTATCTGTCTCCTTCCTTGCCAAGCTTCTTTTCCTACTTTCTGTCTCCTTCTGTTAACTGGCTAAAAAAGGAATTTAAAAATATTCAAAATATTCATTCTTTTAAAAAAAATCACCATCTTTAATTTTAAAATCAGATGAGCTGCTTTGGAAGATAGTTCACTCATTTCTCAATAAGTGAAACATAGAATTATCATATGATCCACTTCCTGGTATATACCCAAAAGAACTGAAAGCAGGGACTCAGATACTTGTACACTAATGTTCATAGTAGCATTATTTACAATAGCCAAAAGATGGAAGTAACCCACATTTCCACTGACGGATGAATGGATAAACAAAATTGGTATATAAATAACAGTGGAATATTATTCAGCCATAAAAAGGTATAAAATTCTGACACATGCTACAACATGGATGAACCTTGAAAACATCATGCCAAGTGAAACATACAAGACAAAAAATGACAAAAGATGCATGATTCCACTCATATGAAGTACCTAAAATAGGCAAATTCATAAAGAAAGAAAGGCGAATAGAGGAAACCAGGGGCTGGGTGAGGGGGAATGGGACTTAGTGATAAATGGGTGTAGCACTTCTGTTTGGGATGATAAAAAGGTTCTGGAAACGGGTGGTGGTAATGGTTGCACAACACTGTGAATGTATTTAATGCCACTGAATTGTGCAATTAAAAGTAATTAAAATGGTACACCTGAAACAAATACATTATTATCTACAAATCTGGCCTCAATAAAAACAAAAGAAAATATGGCAGAAAAGCTCTAAGAATCATAGCAGACTACAAGTTTAATACATGTCCAATAACATGGTTCAAAAATGGGAAATAAATATACAAGAGAATAAATTATATCCTTTAAATTGAAAAAAGAAGTTAAAATAGTAGGTTTATGTTATGTATATTTACCATAATAAAATAAATACCCCCAAAATCAGATGAGCTAAAAATTCCATGTATCTCAATAATTAAAAAAAAAAAAATCAAGTATATCTGGCATAAAATGTACTGGCATAAAAATGTTACAATATATCAAAAAGTGAAAAAAACAAGTTGTCAAATGATAATATCACATATTCTTGTTGGTTTAAAGACACACACACACACACACACACACACACACACACACACACCCCTTAATACTTACAGTTGTATAGAAAAAAATGTTTCAAAACAACACACACTGAAGTATTAGCAGTGGTTACCTCCAGGGAAAGAAGTGGATGTGGAAATACAATTGTAGTGTTTGGAATATTTACAAGAATATACTATTTTAATAATGGAAAGGTATTTTAAAAATTAAAAAGCCATATGACAAGGGACGTCCCTGGTGGTCCAGTGGGTAGAACTCTGCATACCCAACGCAGGGGGCCCGGGTTCAATCCCTGGTTAGGGAACTAGATCCCACATGCATGCTACAACTTTTAAGAGTTCGCATGCTGCAACTAAGAGTGCACATGTTGCAACTAAGAAGTCCGCATGCTGCATCTAAAAAGATCCCACATGCTGCAACTAAGACCCAGTACGACCAAAATAAATAAATAAATAAATATTTTTTAAAATAAATAAATATCTTTTTTTAAAAGCCATATGGTAACTAACAGTCAACAAAGCCTACACAAGGCAGAGATTTTGTAATATACTAGCTTTCTTCAGGATCAGAGCTTAAACAGAGTTAAAATTTCTAGACTGAACCCAACATATATAAGTAGGGTGCTGCAGGACAGAAGGGAGTGGCAGGATATATTTAAAGTGATGAAAGGGAAAAACTTACAACCAAGATTACTCTACCCAGCAAGGATCTCATTCAGATTCAACAGAGAAATCAAAAGCTTTACAGACAAGCAAAAGCTAAGAGAATTCAACACCACCAAACCAGCTCTACAACAAATTCTAAAGAAACTTCTCTAGGAGGGAAACACAAGAGGAGAAAAAGACCCACAAAAACAAACCCAAAACAATTAAGAAAATGGTAATAGGAGCATACATATCAATAATTACCTTGAATGTAAATGGATTAAATGCTCCAACCAAAAGACAAAGACTGGCTGAATGGATACAAAAACAAGACCCATATATAAGCTGTCTACAAGAGGCCCACTTCAGGGATTTTCCTGGTGGCACAATGGTTAAGAATCTGCCTGCCAACACAGGGGACAGGGGTTCGATCCCTGGTCTGGGAAGATCCCACATATTGCTAAGCAACTAAGCCCGTGACCCACAACTACTGAGCCTGCACTCTAAAGCCCACAAGCCACAACTACTGAGCCCGCATGCCACAACTACTGAGGCCCATGTGCCTAGAGCCCGTGCTCCACAACAAGAGAAGCCACTGCAATGAGAAGCCCACACACCACAATGAAGAATAGCCCTCACTCACCACAACTAGAGAAAGCCCACACGCAGCAACAAAGACCCAACACAGCCAAAAATAAATTAATTAATTAAAATAATAAAAAAGAGGAGACCCACTTCAGACCTAGGGACACATACAGACTGAAAGCGAGGAGATAGAAAAAGATGTGCCATGCAAATGGAAATCAAAAGAAAGCTGGAGTAGCAATACTCATATCAGATAAAATAGACTTTAAAATAAAGACTGTTAAAAGAGATAAGGAAGGACACTACATAATGATCAATGGATCAATCCAAGAAGAGGATATAACAATTAAAAATATTTATGCACCCAGCATAGGAGCACCTCAATACATAAGGCAAATGCTAACAGCCATAAAAGGGGAAATCGACAGTAACACAATAATAGTGGGGGACTTTAACACCCCACTTACACCAATAGACAGATCATCCAGACAGAAAATAAATAAGGAAATACAAGCTTTAAATGACACAACAGACCAGATAGATTTAATTGATATTTATAGGACAGTCCACCCGAAAGTGGCAGAATACACTTTCTTCTCAAGTGCACATGGAACATTCTCCAGGATAGATCACAGCTTGGATCACAAATCAAGGCACCGAAAATTTAAGAAAACTGAAATCATATCAAGCATCTTTTCCAACCACAACGCTATGTGATTAGAAATCAATTACAGGAAAAAAACTGTAAAAAACACAAACACATGGAGGGTAAACAATACATTACTAAATGACCAAGAGATCACTGAAGAAATCAAAGAGGAAATTTTAAAAAATACAAAGAAACAAATGACAACGAACACATGACAACCCAAAACTCATGGGATGCAGCAAATGCAGTTCTAAGAGGGAAGTTTATAGTAATTCAATCTCACCTCAGGAAACAAGAAAAATCTCAAATACACAATCTAAACTTACACCTAAAGCAACCAGAGAAAGAAGAACAAAAAACACTAAAGTTAGTAGAAAGAAAGAAATCATAAAGATCAGAATAGAAATAAATGAAATAGAAATGAAGAAAACAATAGCAAAGATCAATAAAACTAAAAGTTGGTTCTTTGAGAACAGAAAACAAAATTCATAAACCTTTAGCCAGACTCAACAAGAAAAAAGGGAGAGTATTCAAATCAGTAACATTAGAAATGAAAAAGGAGAAATTACAACTGACACCGCAGAAATACAATGGCTCAGAAGAGACTACTTCAAGGAACTATATGCCAATAAAATGGACAACCTGGAAGAAATGGACAAATTCATAGAAAGGTACAACATTCCAAGACTGATTCAAGAAGAATTAAAAAATATAAACAGATGAATCACAAGTAATGAAATTCAAACTGTAATTATAAAGCTTGCAGCAAATAAAAGTCCAGAACCAGATGGTTTCACAGGCAAATTCTATCAAACATTTAGAGAAGAGCTAACACCTATCCTTCTCAAACTCTTCCAAAAAATTGCAGAGGAAGGAACACTCCCAAACTCGTTCTACAAGGCCACAATCACCCTGATGCTGAAACCAGACAAAGATAACACCAAAAAAGGAAATTACAGACCAATATCACTGATGAACATAGACGCAAAAATCCTAAACAAAATTCTAGCAAACAGAAACCAACAACACATTAAAAGGATCACACACCATGATCAAGTGGGATTTATCCCAGGGATGCAAGGATTCTTCAATATATGAAATCAATCAATGTGATACACCATATTAACAAATTAAAGAATAAAAACCATATGATCATATCTCAATAGATGCAGAAAAAGCTTTTGACAAAATTCAACACACATTTATGATAAAAACTCTCCAGAAAGTGGGTATAGAGGGAACCTACCTCAACATAATAAAGGCCATATATGACAAACCTACAGCAAACATCATTCTCAATGGTGAAAAACAAAGCATTTCCTCTAAGATCAGGAACAAGACAAGGATGTCCACTCTCACCACTAATATTCATCATAGTTTTGGAAGTCCTAGCCACGGCAATCAGAGAACAAAAAGAAATAAAAGCAATACAAATTGGAAAAGAAGTAAAACTGTCACTGTTTGCAGATGACATGATACTATACATAGGTAATCCTAAAGATTCCACCAGAAAACTACTAGAGCTGATCGATGAATTTGGTAAAGTTGCAGGATAAAAATTAAAGCAGAGAAATCTCTTACATTCCTATACACTAAGAACGAAAAATCAGGAAGAGAAATTAAGGAAACAATCTCATTTACCATTGCAACAAAAAAGAATAAGATACCGAGGAATCAACCTACCTAAGGAGGCAAAAGACCTGTACTCAGAAAACTATAAAACACTGATGAAAGAAATCAAAGATGACACAACAGATGGAGAGATATACCATGTTCTTGGATGTGAAGAATCAACCCTGTAAAAATGACTATACTACCCAAAGCAATCTACAGATTCAATGCATTCCCTATCAAATTACCAATGGCATTTTTCACAGAATTAGAACAAAAAATTTTACAATTTATATGGAAACATAAAAGACCCCGAATAGCCAAAGCAATCTTGAGAAAGAAAAATGGAGCTGGAGGAATCAGGCTCCCTGACTTCAGACTATACTACAAAGCTACAGTAATCAAGACAGTATGGTACTGGCACAAAAACAGAAAAATAGATCAATGGAACAGGATAGAAAGCCCAGAGATAAACCCACACACCTATGGTCACCTAATCTATGACAAATAAGGCAAGAATATACAAGGGTGAAAAGACAGTCTCTTCAATAAGTGGTGCTGGGAGCTCTACAAGTAAAAGAACAAAATTAGAACATTCTCTGACACTATACACAAAAATAAACTCAAAATGGATTAAAAACCTAAATATAAGACCAGACACTATAAAATTCTTAGAGGAAAACATAGAACACTCTCTGACATAAATCACAGCAATATCTTTTTGGATCCACCTCCTAGAGTAATGAAAATAAAAACAAAAATAAACAAATGAGACCTAATTAAATTTAAAAGGTTTTGCACAGCAAAGGAAACCATAAACAAAATGAAAAGACAACCCACGGAATGGGAGAAAATATTTGCAAACGAAGTGATGACCAACAAGGGATTAGTCTCCAAAATATACAAACAGCTCATGCAGCTCAATATCAAAAAAAAAAAAAAACCCAATCAAAAAATGGGAAGAAGATCTAAATAGACATTTCTCCAAAGAAGACATACAGATGGCCAAGAGGCACTTGAAAAGATGCTCAACATCACTAATCGTTAGAGAAATGCATATCAAAACTACAATGAGGTATCACCTCACACTGGTCAGAATGGCCATCATCAAAAAATCTACAAACAATAAATGCTGGAGAGGGTGTGGAGAAAAGGGAACCCTCTTGCACTGTTGGTGGGAATGTAAATTGATACAGCCACTATGGAGAACAGTATGGACGTTCATTAAAAAACTAAAAATAGAGCTACCATATGACACTGCAGTCCCACTCCTGGGCATATATCTGGAGAAAACCATAATTCAAAGAGACACATGTACCCCAGTGTTCACTGCAGCACTATTTACAATAGCCAGGACATGGAAACAACCTAAATGTCCATCAACAGATGAAAGGATAAAGAAGATGTGGTACATATATACAATGGAATATTACTCAGCCATAAATAATTGGGTCATTTGTAGAGATATGGATGGACCCAGAGTATGTCATACAGGGTAAAGTAAGTCAGAAAGGTAAAAACAAATATAGTATATTAACGCATATATGTGGAATCTAGAAAAATGGTACAGATGAACGTATCTTCAGGGCAGGAATTGAGACGCAGATGTAGAGAACGGATATGTGGACATGGTGGGGAAGGGGAGGGTGGGATGAATTGGGAGATTAGGATTGACATATATATGCTACCATGTGTAAAACAGATAGCTAGTGGAACCTGCTGTATATAGCACAGGGAGCTCAGCTCAATGCTCTGTGATGATCTAGGTGGGTGGGATTGTGGGGGAAGTGGGAGGGACGCCCCAGAGGGAGGGGATGTATGTATACATATAGCTGATTCACTTCGTTGTACAGCAAAAACTAACACAATACTGTAAAGCAACTATACTCCAATTAAAAAACAAAAAAAGCCATATGATAACTAATGGTCAACAAAGCCTACACAAGGCAGAGATTCTGCAATATACTAAGTTTTTTCAGGATCAGGGCTTAAACAGAGTTAAAATTTCTAGACTGAACCCAACATACATATGTAGGGAGCTACATAGCTTAAAGTAAATTAAATTAATACACAAAGTTTTATAAGCATATTTATTATAAAACTCAGAAGAAAGGGAGAAAGACTAGTGAAACAGACTTCCTTATAAGGAAGGAAGATAAGGCAGTAAGATTACAGGCAGAGAATTAACTACATTCAAGTTAAAGGCAAAAAATTTATATATGCTTTTTACATCATGATAAGAAAAATATGCCTTACATAAGGATTTTGAGAACATCTATATTCCTGATTAATATTGCATTAAGAAATACAGGTTATTTACACAGATTTAGATGAAAACAGAAAATAACTTACGTTTCAAAAAGGGCAAAGATAAACAGAATCACAAAAAACAGAACATTGGTGGCCACAACAGCAACTTGATCAATATTTCCTTGGGGGACCTGAACTTCATCTGTACTTGCTGTAGTAAACAGAAGAAAAATTATATTACCTACACAACTAATTTTTCTTATGACACTAAAACAGTGTAAAATTATACGTAGCAAATTCAATGACTAAACATTTAAAATCATTTTTTTAGGCTTTCAAACAATTTAAAAATTAACAACTTACATAACAGAAATAACTTTTAAATGGCATTTAAAATTAAAGTGAATTTTCTTCCCAGGACATACACTTCAATTCTGTTACCTACAGGAAATACTCAGATTTTCTATTCGGCGTCTCTCAATCAAAAACAGAAATGTATGTCCATAGAATTCTATAAAATGATCTCATACTAAATACTAAATTTGCTTTAAATTTCAGTTGCAGATTTTTTTCTACCTTACCTAAATTTTAAAGTTACACGGATTTCATGAAGACCTCAAATAGTTTATTAAATAAGTTCTCAGTTCTATGATTCACCTCAATGGATATATATTTTGAATTTCAACAGTACGTAGAATTACTATTAGTAAATATCCTTATTTTTTAACCACAATTTTTTTTAAGTTCTTACGTTATCATTTATATGTTTTGCAAAGAACTACCAAGATTTGATTGTGGTTTTATAAATTAGGAAGGCAAATGAGTTAAGATGTTCACTTATCTTGAACTATATAGTTAAGTAACACACTCAATATAAGCTATATCTGATGTAATTGAGAAATGTGAAGCCATATATATTGATACATGTATGTATACACATCCATCATGCTACTTTATAATTTACCCACTTATTCAGAGTAAACCAGGTAAGTAATACAAGAATGTATTTATGTTATCTTTAAGTGTATGTGTGGCAGAAGTGGGGGCAGGGGGTGATTTTCCTAAGACACAATAAATTTCTATAATTTTTTCATAATAGTGTCTGACTTTATATCTCAGGATTCCTGAGGAGGAGTTCTTCCTCCAATAATAAGTGAGATTTGAAAATAGTCTGCTATACTTGGGGGCAATTAAGCACCTTGGACACTTGACATAGGGTTATGACCTCCCTTTCACACAAAGAAAAGCAGTCACACCTTTGTCCAGTTCCTTTTCTGGGGTAGACTCTGGTCCCTGTGGGCCTCAAATTATTTTGGATAGACCTCCCTGATTCTCAATCACCATCTAGAAGCCAGTCTTTACTCCTTTGAATCAAATATCAACATTGCCCCAAGTTAGACTGGAGTTTACTTTTCTGCAGCCTCCAACCAGTGCTAGCTTTAGTGGGGAGACTCAGAAATGTTGCATCCTAAACTGTGGGAACTGACTAGGTATCCTAATTATAAGAATTTTAAGAAAACACTGCATATTGATTAAAAAACTGTAATTGGAAATTAAATCCCATCCCATGATAACATCTTTAATAATAGGAACAACTTGATGTTTTATCTAAACATTTATTGAAATTTTAAAATGATCTTTATTTTATAAAAATTATTTTGAAGAAGCTAGAAATCTTATGAAAGAAAATAGATCTCTCCTTTTTAAACTCCTATTTGTGCTTTAGAGCAGTGTTGTCCAATAGAACTCTGACGTGATGGAAATGTTCTTTCTCTCTACTGTCCAGTACAGCTGGCTGTTAGTCACATATACCCATTAACTAAGCACTTGACATGTAGCTAGTGTGGGAGTTCCCTGGAGGTCTGGTGGCTAGGACTCGGCGCTTTCACTGATGTGGCCCGGGTTCAATCCCTGGTTAGGGAGCTAAGATCCTGCAAGCCACGCCACACAGCCAAAAAAAAAAAATGTAGCTAGTGAGATAGTGAGAATGAGGAATTTCTTAAATGTAATTAAGTTTAAACAGCCAAATATGACTAGTGGCTACCACATTTGACAATGTAGCTGTATGTCTTTGCTACTCAAAGTGTGGTTCATAGACCAGCAGCATCAGTTCCCATAGGAGCTTGTTATAAATGTAGATTCTCCCTCTCCAGGCCTACTGAAACAGACTCTGCATTTTAACAAGGTTCCCAGGTGTTTTCTAAGCATATTAAAGTCAATAAAGCAAGGATCTATATGGTTATCCCCTTCAACTTATGAAAGATTTCTTGTGCATCTTCCCTTTCTCAGCCCCTCAACCTCACCCTCTTTAACTTGCTCATTCTCTTTACCTTTAAAGAGGTAGAGAGATAGGTCCTTTAAGTTAGCATCCTATCTTACACCTTTTCAAAACAGTAGCTTAAACCCACTGCCGGCACTTCCTCACCACTCATTGTTTCTTTTTTTCTTTCTTTTTATTTTGAAAACTTTCAAACACATCCTTATCCATCTATGCCCTAGATTCAACAATATTTTGCCACACTTGATTCATCTACCCCTTCCTTTCCTCCTTTCTCTCACTCTCTCTTTGTTGCTGTAGTGTTTTTCACTAGATGATTCCCAAATTTCTATCTCTAGCTTTGATCTCTACTGCCAGAATTACAGATGCCTCTGGAATTTTTTAGTTGTTCTAGGGTAGCATTATATTTGGTTTAAACCAAATTGAAATCACCTTATCTTTTCAGCCAGTGTCCCTTCTTAAATTCTCCTTCTCTCATTCCTTCAATTATCTAGAATCAAAACCCAGCAGACATCTTCAACAACCCCCTCCATTCCTTAATATTCCCTATCCAACCTGTCAGAATCTTTTTTTTTTCTTCTTCAAAAGCTCATATCTCATCCCTTCTCCATTCTCAGTTACTGCTGTAGTTCAGGCCTTTACATATCTGGATTAGCCTCACTTGCAATCTATCGTCATACTTCTCCTTTGTTCAAAATTTGCTATAGCTCCTCACCACTCTGCTCTCCACCCGACTACTTTTAACTTTATCTTCCACCAGTTTTGTTGTAAAAATTAAATAAAATGTCTATCAAAGAACTTGGTAAAATTAACAGTGTCTTTTCCAAAACTTTATAAACTCCTTGAGGACAAGGACTAAATTGCATTCTTTTGCATGGGGGGACAATCCTCAAGGAGGACATAACTAGGAGTACTTAAATAATGGTTTATTTAGTAAAATATACCTACTTATCAGACTGGGTACCTATTTATAAGTCAGAGAAAGATATGAAGGATGAAAATGGGTATTTGTAGAGTATACCAAAAGAATAAAAATACAAAAGAGAAACCATACTTATTCCCATGATTAAGTGAATAAAGAAATACTTGAAACAGAAAGATACATTTGGTAGCAATAATACTGAAATCATTCCAAAATCTCAAGGATTTTAGGATATTGGCTTTTTGGAAACAAGATGAAGTGATTTTTAGCAATGGTCTTAACCTTACTAATTGTGCACACCAAGTCACTGATATAGGCATGCCTTTAAAAAAAATCAACTTAGCTAACTTTCAACTTTGAAGATCTTCCCCAATTACCCATTGTACTGTCCTCAGAGACACAGAATCATTAGAAACACTTTGTAATATTATAGTAATTTAGTCAAACAGGTCAATAGTACCTTCTTCAAAATTAATATTTTTACACTGTCGTCCTGAGTCATCCACACGATGTTCTCTTAAAAGAAAAACATAAATATTGTATCCATGAAAGGCTTAGTATAATAGATAATAGTTTAAATTTATTACTAGCTTTCTATTTTTTCACATTCTGGTATAGTTTATTTTACTGTCTTCTGAGTAATGAAATTATTATGATATATAACCAATAAAATTTTTAAAATACAAGTTACAATTATTATTATATTATCATATAAAATGAAAAAACCCTCAATTCATCCAAAAGCACACATGAGCTGCCTTAATCAGTATTTGAAGTTTTCCAATGATTTTTAACATGAGTTATAAACATTTTGGACTCTTGGATGAAACACTCCAAAGAAATATAAAGTAACAAAACTTCTGCAGTTTTATAAAATTTTTTCTAATATATAAAAGATAAGAGATACACATTATGAGTAACTTTTGTATCTAAGGTTGAACCTAATCATTAATCTACTTAAAATGTTGCTTTCATGCCATTTCCCCTACTTAGAAATCTATCATTAGTAGACCAAGACCAAACCTTGAATCTTTAAAGACCTTATAATCTGTTCTTATTCATCATCTATTATTTTAGTTGTCAGTACCACATGCATTAGCTCATAAGAAAATATGAACACAACTAGACATCAAAAACCAAATAAAGACATCATAGAAATAATAATTCTCCAACAATGATAATGCTTATTTAATTTCACAATCTACAAGAGTAGTTTTATCATTTCTATCTAATTACCTTAATACAGTAAGAATCAGAATAATATTTAAAATTCCCAGGAAGGCGCCAAGTAAAACTGGTGCTGTGTACATGTTTATCTGCAGCTTAATGGTATCCCATGTCACACCCTTTTCTCCAATGAGTGCGAAACAAGTCTGAAAAACTTATTAAAATAAAATGTATACAGATTAATTATTATATGGGAGGCACAGGCTAAAATAAATGTGAGAAATATTTACCATAGAATTGGAAGTAATATATGGAATCATCCATCTGCATCAGACATCTCAACAGGGGCAAGAAAATTGGTTCTTGGTGGGGAGAGGCAAAACATTTACTCTTTTTCTGTATAAAGCACAGATATGCATACAGTACATAAAACACATACAATATAGGTCTGTGGTATTAAAATTTCATGGGGTGAAGTGATTAGGAAAGAAATGTCTGAAAAGCCTCCTTAGGGAGACAATAACATAAAAAATGGGTGAGAAGCACTGATGTACAGGCATTCACAAGGGATTATACCTAACATAACTTGCCAGTATTTTCTTTTTTTAAAATACATCTCTGTATGAAATTTAAGTTATACAATTTCTTCCATAAGTAAATTATTAAAGTTTAATCAATTTCATTATAAGAAACTGTCACTTTTTTTTTTTTTTTTGCGGTACGCGGGCCTCTTACTGTTGTGGCCTCTCCCGTTGCGGAGCACAGGCTCCAGACACGCAGGCTCAGCAATGGCTCACGGGCCCAGCCGCTCCGCGGCATGTGGGATCTTCCCAGACCGGGGCACGAACCCACGTCCCCTGCATCGGCAGGCGGACTCTCAACCACTGCGCCACCAGGGAAGCCCGAAACTGTCACATTTTAACTCAATATTTTAAAATATTACTGTGTATATGGTACTTAAATTATATATATTTAATACCACTTTCAATTTGGATCTGTGGCAAAAATCAGATTGGGTAAGTATTGGTTTGCTCTCCTGATTTAGATTCTATATCTCGTTCTGCCAGGACTTTACATGTAACCTTAGAGTGAGGATTAAGTAAAATACTGCACCTAAAGCACTTAGAACAGCATCTAGCATATGGTTAAGCACTCAATAAATGTTTGTGCTTATTGATGTGTTTATTATTGGAAAAGTCATCTAATCTTTTCAGGCCTACATTTACTCATCTTTAATATAAAATGTTTTAGTGAATAATCTTTTTTTAAAATTTTTATTTACTTATTTATTTATTTTTGGCTGCGTTGGGTCTTCATTGCTGCCAGCGGGCTTTCTCTAATTGAGGCGAGCGTGGGCTTCTCATTGCGGTGGCTTCTCTTGTTGAGGAGCACGGGCTCCAGGGGCGCAGGCTTCAGTAGTTGTAGCACACGGGCTTAGTTGCTCTGCAGCATGTGGGATCTTCCCAGACCAGGGCTCAAACCCGTGTCCCCTGCATTGGCAGGCAGATCCTTAACCACTACACCACCAGGGAAGCCCCGTGAATAATCTTTAAAATAGATGGCCAAAATATTTACTGAGAACCTAAGCCTATACCAGGTACTGTGCTAGAAACTGAGGGTAGAGTGGTAAGCTTAAAAAGACCCAGACTATGCCCTCATGCATATAGTAAGGCAATAGGTTCAATTGTTCTAGATTTCTGCTTATATTTTATTCCAGAACACCGAACTAAAATACTAGATTCTGGTGAATGATGAATTAGGCTTTCTTCTGTTGAAGCAAAGTAATGGAAACTGGAGGTTGGGGTGTTAATGATGAAGTAAACTGAGCTGGATTCAAATTGATTCTATTTATAACTGCAATATTAAAAGCATGGGCCAATTATATGGCTTTTCAAAGTTATGCTAGGCATAAAAAATTAATTTCTCTACTCATTTAGCAGAAAATTAATCGGCCTTAGGGAAATATTAAATCTCATTAATATATTTTTATATTCATTAAACTATGAAAGCTTGGAAAGAAGAAGAGACTAGTAAATCTTTTTTAAACTCTTTCATTTTCTTCAACCTTAGAAAAGTCTTAAAGGTATGGGCAAAAAGGGGAAAAAACCTCCTATAACTTTCCTCAAATCCTTCAATTAAAAGAATTTTGTTTCTCATAAACAGGAAAAAAAAAGCAAACTCTTGCTGAGATGTCAAGCTAAATGATTATCTGACAGAACATATACTTTGGAATCAGACAGTGAGGTTTGAATCTCATATTTCCCATTTAATATCAGGGTGACCCTGGATAAGTTACTTAGATTCTCTATGCCTTGGTGTCCTAATCTGTACAGTGGGACTAATAACATTTGATTTAGGGAACATGAGTTAACACATATAAAGAGCCTAGCCTCACTGCTAGATCAAAAAATATCAGTTTCCCTCCCTTTGCCTTCAGCTATGAGGTTTTATACTTGAATTGCATCTAACATTTGAACCTCAAAAGTTTTCCCAATTCAAATCCAAGTAATGATAAGTGAAGAACACCTACCTGGACCTAGAATAAAACCTAATGCTTGACATGCACTTGTGTTTGCCATGGAACTTGTTCTTTCCTGAAGAGAGGTAGCACCAGCAATATATGATCTAATAACAGCTACATTTCCTAAGAAAAGACACAATAATACAAAGTAAAAGAAAATATTCTCCAGTTTATAAAAATTCGACTTAATTTGGCTCTATACAGAAGAAGAAATATTAACCTACAACATAGTTACTGCTTCCTCTTTATGATTATACAAGGCATGTATAGTGAACAAATGTATCAATTAATGGAAAATATTACTTTTAGTATTGTGAAAACACAGTTAAAGATGTGAATGAATGAAAAAATGGCATACAGGAAACTTAAACTTTTTTCGTCATTAAATACCGAGAAAGCATTGAGTGAATGGAGTCCTACTAATTGCTACATTGTTTTAAAAGAAATATGCTACACACTCTGCATGTTTATAAAAAAAAAATCCTAAAAATTTGCTGAGCATTTATGTTGAAGAGACTCTGCTAGGGGCTAGAGAATATTTTCAAAAGTCATAGATTGCCTCTAATTACACTAAGTTTACTAGCTAGTTGGTGATAAGGGATGAAAACAGTATATAAGCAAATGCCAGAGACATGTTGGAGAAGCAGTAGTGTAGCCTAAGAAAGCTTCATGGAAGAGGTGGAACTTGAACTGAATCTTGAAGGATGAAGAATCATGGGAACAGAAGAGAGAAACTATAGGTAATGGGAACATCATGAGCAAAGGCAAAATGATAGGAAAGATATTTGCAATGAGACATCTGTATGTTGAATGTCGTATAGGAGATTGAGAAGAGGTGACCCTAGATGAGAGAAGGCCATAAATGTCAGGATGAATGTGAGTCCAACACAACCAAAAATATACATGCATGCATATTACCTGCTCCAAATCCCACCAATCCACGAGCAACCAACATGTAGTATTTATTATGAGAAGCTGGAACCTGGACATATGCATAGAGGCAGTTGGCTGCCACCGAAATGAAAATGGAAACAGTAAGAGGCTCTTTTCTTGGTCGATAGTTAGACCACAAACCAAATATAGGTGAAGCTACCATTTGGCCAAGGCTAAAAGAAGCAATAACCCAGCCCAAAAAACTTGCATCGGCAGTGTGATCAATCTGCAGAAAAAAGTACAATGCTTTAAGAATTGTTATCCGAGAAAAGTAAAGTTAAAAATCCAAATACATTTTTTCTGACCATGTAACATTTCTTATTAAAAAAATAAAAACAATAATTCTAACACATAAGTTTTATAACACCATTACTTACAGTAAGGAATTCAAACTTCTGACATTACAATTAAATGTGTTAACAATTCACTATACACAAGGAAAAATGTTTAGGAAACTTCATCTTTTAGAACAATTATAGAAATTCTGTCATAAAAATCTTGTTTAAAAAATCACATTATATACTTAACAATAACATCATAAAAATAATATGCCATTCTTTAATTCTTGTAAAGTTAGTTACAATTAGTTACCTTATGCTACTCTATAAACTAAACAACCATTAGCACTGTGAATCTATTTTTTTTAACTGGGCACAATAATCAAATGCTTAAAGACAATAATAAAATTTCTCTCATTAAACCTACTACTAATTCTTCCTTTCAGCATAGACAATCCAGGATTCTACCAAAGAGGATTTATATATCATTAATACTGAGGTTAAAACCAAATGATTACAACTCAGAAAATACTTTCAGAAAACAGAAAATTTTAGCTTACAAAAGGGACTATGGAATAAATCAACAGATGGGGTTTTTAAAAATATGGTAGGTTACATAATAATTTGGAAAAATAAAAGCCATTAAATTTTAGGACATAAGTTTAAACATATATAGGTTAAGTGGTAGAACAACTTAATAAGGAAAACCATGGCCTTTTCTCTTCCAAAGATATTTTTTAAAAGCTTAAAATGAAGATATTTACGTACATTTCTGTTTGTGTGGGATGAGAAATAAGAGTGAATAAGTATAATGACTTCATGTCATATAAATTTAAAAATTAATTTTCAAAACAGCAATGAAAACAATTTTAATATTAAATGTCTAGTGGTTTGAAAGCAAAAGGATAAAAGTGTCTTCTCAGGATATCAATTGATCATAATAGTCAAGTGTCCATTTCATGGACAGAAGTGAGCTGACTATTGAAGATGGCTCTAACAATTTTAACAACATTTGCTATTTTTATTGGATACTATTCTTTACAATGACTGGAAAACTGGAATCTGCTAGAATTCTGCTAGAATTGTAACAGGAAAGTAAAATGGTTTGGAAGATACAGGTTCTATGCTACAACAGAAGGTATCAGTTCAGTAATTGAACTGTTATCTGTGCTCCTGTGTGTTTCTCTCTCTCTCTTATAGTAATAACAGCATGTTGTTTCCAATCCTCTGGCCATCTCTAATGATCTCTATCATATTGTTTTCAGGATAACGTCTAAACTACTTATTATGTAAAACTAGCTCACAAGCTGGTCATTGTCTCTCCTCTCTAACTTCATCTCTCTGCATGCTCCCTCCCCCCAGTTCTAACTTCCAGCCACACAGAACTTTTTGAAGTTTCCAAAATGAGTCAAGCTCTTTGTTTCCAGGCCTTTGCACAGGATCCTCTACTGCCCCTTCCATCAGGAATGCCTTTCCAAACTCCTACTCCGTGGCCCAGACTGCCCCTTCTGGTGACCAGTTTCTGTAGGCCTTCCAAACTCAGCTCAGGTATAACTGCTTTTGGGAAATCTTCCAGGATCTCTTTAGTCTGGATCAGCAACATGTCCCTAACCCCCATGTCTGTCTGTCTGTGTCAATCTGTGTGTATGTCTCTCTCTCCCCCAGCCCCCACTCCTTCTGTCTCTCTCTGCCTCTCTGCCTCTCTCCCTCTCCCTCTAGCTCCCTCTCCCCTGTGAACACGCACACACACTCACACATCAAGCTCTTAAGACTTTTACCCACTCATATTGTATGGTAATTATCTGTAAACTTGTTTGGTTTTGCACACTTCAGTGAAAGTTAGATCCATCTCTTCTCTTAAAAAAAAAGCCCACAGTGCGCTGTACTGAATTTCAAAACATTCTTCTCTAAACATGTTAATAATATTGACAAAGTCAAAGTTCTAGAACTCTTAATGCTTCGCTATGGGAGCTGAGATGTGTTCCAAGCCTCCTCAACTATTTACTTATAGATTATTGCTTATTCATCCAATTAACAGTCACTAAGGCCTTCTCTGCGACAAAACCTGTACGAGGCTATATGAATACAAATTGAATAAACACAGTTCTTGCCATCAAGGAGTTTCCAAACCAGGTTCTACTTAACTGATTCTGAAAAATCCTACATTTTTGAGTAGCTGAGGAAAAAAACCAGCATGCTTTAATTCTTTATCTGTCAAATGGGGGTAACTTCACAGAGTTGTTATGAGAATTATTTAAGCCAAGACATGTATAGTGCCTAGGGTCATGTCTGCCTATAGTATGCACTAAATGAATGTTACCTATACATAAAAAATTAATATTTCTTGGTATTTTGTTTTTACTGATATGTCAGTTTTATTATTATATTTTATTGTAACATGCATGAGTAGTCCCACTATGTCCCTGGGCCTACAGATAACCTATCATTCCAATTCAAAATCTGGGTTTAAGAATATGAGTTTTCCTGGAAATCAATCACAACTCTGGGCAACACAGGCTACGGAATCACTGGGCTGATAGCTGTCTATCAGCCAGGGCCAGAAGCACAAGTCAGCGATTCACAGCAGTGCCAAATTCCTTTCAGACAGATAACTTACTGTTTGGGGGTTTTAGAGGGGTGGTTGGGCCTAGCTTTTTATCTTTCTCACAGATGACTTTTAAGCTAAGTAATATTTGGTAACATATTATCGTAAAAGAGATAGTAGCCTTCGATTAAAAATGAAAATTTTGATAAACAGCAATGACCTACTGTATAGCACAGGGAACTATATTCAGTAGCTTGTAAAAACCTATAATGGAAACGAATCAGAAAAAGAATGTGTGTGTATGTGTGTGTGTGTGTGTGTGTGTGTGTGTATAACTGAATCGCTTTGCTATATACCTGAAACATTGTAAATCAACTATACTTCAATAAAATAAATAAATAACATTTAAAAAAAAGAATGAAAAATCTTAAGACAGTAGGTAACATAGCACTGTAGAGTCAGATTTTGGTTTCAGATAGGCTTGATTCTACCATTTTCTAGCTGTGTGATCTTGGGCAAGCTACCTAACTTCTCTAGTCTGAGTTTCTTTATCTGTTAAACAGGAGTGATAATGACCACCTCACAGAGTTGTTATGAAGATTAAAAGATGATTTAGATGAAAGATTTAGTATTGTGCCTGGCACACAATGAGCTATAATATTATTATGAAATAACTTGAGAAAATTAACTCACAAGGTTTTTGGTGGAAATGTTATGCTTTTTTTGCCAAAGAACTAGTGATATGTTCATGTGCTCTCAATAAATTTACCTTTGAAGAGATTACAAATATCTGGAGAAAGGAGTGTACCTTTTCAAAATTCAATTTATTATGCTGAGTAGACCTAATTTTGTAAATACCTTTCTTTTGAGAATTTTGAGGTTAAACAAACTAGATACAGGGACCATAGAAATCAAGAGTTTTTATACATGGAAATACATATTTTAGCACAGAAGATATTGCTCCAGAATTGTTAAATATTCTGTTCCAATTCTAATAATTCTGCCAGTATGGAAAGAATTTTTAGTGTCATGAGTAATGACTTCATGTAAAATAAATTTTTAATTAGTTTAAATTAATTTTCAAAATGGCAGTGAAAATGTGGCACTAAATCACTAAAAAGTAAAATGTGTATTTTTTCCTATATTTCTTTTAAAAGATAGCATAAGAAAATAGTATTTTTAAGTTAAAAATTATAAAAACTGGGCTTCCCTGGTGGCGCAGTGGTTGAGAGTCCGCCTGCCGATGCAGGGGACACGAGTTCGTGCCCCGGTCCGGGAAGATCCCACATGCCGCGGAGCAGCTGGGCCCATGAGCCATGGCCACTGAGCCTGCGCGTCTGGAGCCTGTGCTCCGCAACGGGAGAGGCCACAACAGTGAGAGGCCCGCGTACCACAAAAAAAAAAAAAAAGAAAACAAAATTATAAAAACTAAAAAATCTAAAATGAAATATAAGATGTCAATAAATTTCTTATATAATAGGTATAATTTTTAAACGCTGTTACGACACTCAATGATAAGTATTAATGATAAAGGGATATGGAAGCACACAGGAAAACCTTCTAATGCAAACTGGGGTGAGGGACAGTAAGGAAAGGCTTTTCAGAGGAGGTGACATTGGATCAAAGCCTTGAAGAATTAATAAAAAATAGTGGAGAAGAAGGGGAGGAAGGGAATGGCAGAGGAAAGGAGAGATGGAGGGAAGGAAAGCACTCCAGAAAAAAAAGGAGGAAAAAGTGTAAAGATCTGAGGACCTTAGGTTCATCCAAGTACATGATATAATAAATTACTGGCTATAGATCTAATATTGGCCAAGGCTCAGGATCTAGGCTGAAACACACACACACACACACACACACACACACACACACACTCTCTCTCTCTCTCTCTCTCTCTCTCTCTCTCTCTCTCTCTCTCTCTCTCTTTCTCTCTCTTTCTCTCTCTCTCCTCTGGAGAAAACCAAAATATAAGGGGCAAGTTGATAAAGAAAAATACACAAAATAATTTAAGAATAAAGAGTTAAGAGTAATGTCATGGAAGCTAAGAGAGAGTTTCAAGAAGCAAAGAGAGGACAACAATGTCAAACACTACCCAAATGTCACCTAAAGTAAGGACTGAAAAGTATCTACTATTTGGTGAGCGATTAAGTCATTGGAGACCTCATCAAGAGCAGTTGCAGGGTAGCAGAGGAGTTAATCAGATTGTAGCAGGTTAAGGAGTGAAGAGGAGTTAGGAAGCACAGAGGAACTCCTTCAAGAACCTTAACTGAAATATTATTATAGATTAATTATGTCTCTACCTTAAATACTGATTTTTAATAAATTCATTACTAGAATTTTAAGACAGAACTGACAGTTATATGTCAAATATATTTTTTAAAAAGGTAGAATTGACAGGACTTGATCATCAACTGATGATCAATTGATGTTAGAGTACCCACCAAACTTGCATCTTCTTGTCACTCCCTCCTTCCCATGTAGTAACCACAGCATCAAAATACACGTATTGTCTATTCTTTTCATAATGTCACCTGACAACCCAAATTATTCTATCAGAAAGCATCAAGTTATTCCATAGCAATATCATTTATACATTATAGGAATTCAGACTATGTCTAGCTTAGTTTCCTTTTTATTAGGGAAGGGGTATGGATGGGATGGGAAAGTGGCTAATAAGTAGGTGACCATACATCTACATTTGCCTGCGATTGTCTGGATATAATCCTATTTTCCTGCTAAAGCACTCTTTTCACTTCAAGAGTGCTCTGGTTTGCACAATCAAGCATACAGTCACCTTACTTATAAGCCTCTTTTGAAGAATTATTACCTCAAGTTATTTTAGTAAAGATTAACTCAGAATACCAAAGAGATTCTCTAGAAAACTCTTAACTACATAAGAGTTATTACTACTACAGCTACATAAGAGACGAATAAAGTGCACAAACCTTTTGGAGATATGGCCATATTGACATTATCACAATAGAAAATCCTGTGAAGAGGCAAATTCTGTTATTTATACTTATAATAATTTCATCACTATAGATACAAATTTTTGAACTATAGCATGGATTTTAAAACATCATTCTGAATTTACAAATTTATAACCACAAATGTCTAATTTATTAAGCAATGGAGTTTTATTTATCAGAAGGAAAATAAATATTAAAGGCTGGAAAACATATATATAATTATAGTCCCTCACCACAATTAACATAATAAAAGCAGAAGACCTATTTCTCCTTATTCACGTGTCTTTACTGTAAATGAAAATTACTGGAACTTCCCTGGTGGCAGAGTGTTTAAGAATCTGCCTGCCAATGCAGGGGACACGGGTTCGAGTCCTGGTCTGGAAGGATCCCACATGCCGTGGAGCAACTAAGCCCGTGCGCCACAACTACTGAGCCTGCGCTCTAGAGCCCACGAGCCACAACTACTGAAACCTGTGCACCTAGAGCCCATGCTCCGCAGCAAGAGAAGCCACCGCAATGAGAAGCCCGCGCACTGCAACGAAGAGTAGCCCCTGCTCACCGCAACTAGAGAAAGCCCATGCACAGAAACGAAGAACCAACACAGCCAAAAATAAGTAAATTTATTTTTAAAAAAAAGAAAAGAAAATTACTGAGAGCTTTGTTAAGTTTTTATAGCAGAAATGAATGGAGGTAAGGCTACTTTGTTATAGAGGAATTGCTAGACTTCTAATCTGTGTTGTTTGGGAGAGATAATTCACTGTAGGGAGGACTAAGAAGAAGGAAAATTATCTTTAAAGGGGGCAGTGGCTATAAAGAACCAGGATTTCTCAAGATGGGCATACCTTAAAAGAAAATTATCTCTGCTAGCTTTTATTGCTTGAGAACTATAATGATAAACTCCAATGTTATTTGTCGATTTTAAATATTAGGCACATCCAATCACAATTCTATCAAGGCTATTTTTAAAAAAAACAGCTCTATTAAGATATAATTCACAATGAATTCACCCATTTAAAGTGTACAATTCAATGGTTCTTAGCGTGCCAGATATGTGCAACCATGACTACAGTCAATTTTAGAATATTTTAGTCACCTCAAAAAGAAACCCTGGACCCTTTAGCTATACTCTTCTATCCTCTATCATTTCCCCAACAGCCCTAAGCAACCACTAATCTACTTTCTGTCTCTATAGATTTTCCTATTCTGGACTTTCATATGAATAGAACCACACAATACGTGGTCTTTTGTGTCTGGCTTCTTTCTTTGCATAATGCTTTCAAGGTTCATCTATGTTGTTGCAGTATCAGTACTACATTCCTTTTTAAAAGTCTGTTTTAAAAAATAATTTAATTATTAGTTTCATCTTAGTGTATTTTGAATTAACACATTGACTTGATGAAAAGAATCAACTAATGTTTGAAAATAAGACTACTATCTCACAATCAAGAAACTTGTAAACAGGTAAAATGTTTCACATGCCAATTAAAATCTAAAGTTAAAAAATTTTTTGCTGTTAAATTTGACATTATTACTTATATTTTAGATAAATGAGTACAAAAATTAGAAATGCTTTAAATAAAAAAACACTCTGTTGCAAAGATTGTTACCTACACAACATTCATTTGCCCCCTTCCTCCTCTCTGATAGAATCCTGGTTGTATTGAGGTATCCATCACTCTCCCACAAAGCCACAGGCTTTAGAGGACACTGTGTCCACTCCAAATTCCAGAGGGTAGATCCTGATTAGATCTCACTATCCCAGCTGATGATGGGTTTAGAAATTAACAGGTAACCCAATTCTGACCAGTGAGAAATAAGGGGAGGTCTACTTTGGGACCTCCCAGAAAGGACTCCTCGTCTCTTTGGAGGTTTAAAAAATAAGTCCCTTTCAATCAATAAAAATTACTGTGGAAGGATGTGGCACGTGGAACTGCTGCTGCATCCCTCCTATAGCCTAAGAATGAAGGCAATATGCAGAAGAGAGCAAAACCAAAAAACTTATTCTGAAGCAGAGCCAGTGAACTTCACCTGGAGTTGTCCCACTATGGATATCTCATAAGAAAATACAAATTACTGTTCAAGCCAATTTGAATCAACATTTTTTCCTGATATTTGTGGAAAGCATAATAATAGATATACAATCCAAAAAACTGTTGAAAATATCCTTTATTTTGTACTTTTCTTTAGTTTTAGCTTTACTTAAAGTCTATTTTTACTCAACGTTGAATCATAAAGAAGACTGGCAAGAGAGAGAGAACAAGAGGGTGACCTGGGATAAATGGAAAGGATATGGAACACAACTTAGTCAAATGACCTTCACTAAATCCATCTCAGGAAAGAAACCATTTGTAAAATTAATGCCTATGGACTTAGAGTCCACGATTGGAAAAAAATTGATTCCCTAAAACATTCCTTTATAAACTATCACAGTATTGAGAATTCCTATATATTTTCATTCCTTACCATTTTTAACATAATTACAGTTCTTAATATTAAAAATTTTTTTCCTCATAAAGGTTAACTTTTTCAGTAAATATATTTTCAGAAATAATGTTAATAGGTTAAAATAATCAAGCTATACAGATTAATATTCTTGGACTTTACTATTGGTATGTGTCAATATAAAAGTTAAATGAGGTTCACAGGCAACAAAAGTAAAAAGCAAATACATTAAACTACATCAAAATTTAAAACTTCTGTGAATAAAAGGGCACAATCAGCAGAGTGCAAAAAAGAGTCACGGAATGGTTGAAAATATTTGCAAATCATATATCTGATCAGGGATTAATATTCAGAATATATAAAGAACTACAACTCAACAACAAAAAACAACCTTATTTAAAAAATGGGCAAAGGACTTGAACAGACATTTCTTCAAAGAAAATATACAAATGGTCAATATGCATGTGAAAAGATGCCTAACGTGAGTAAGGAGAGTAAGTAAGTGAGTAAGGGGATACAAACCAAAGTCACAATAAGCTACTACCCGATTAGAATGACTAATGTCAAATAAACATAAAATAAGAGTTGGTGAGGATGTGGAAAAATCTGAACCCTGACTGTTGATTAGAATGTAAAATGCAGCAACAGCTATGGAAAAAAGTATAGCAGTTCCTCAAAAAGTTAAAAATAGAATTATCATATGATATAGCAATTCCACTTCTGGATATATACCCAAAAGAACTGAAAGCAGGATGTTAAAGAGATATTTGCACACTCATGTTCACAGCAGCTATTTGTAAGAAACAAGATATGGAATCAACCCAAATGTTCATCAACCGATAAATGGATAAACAAAATGTGGTATACTGAAGGGGACCAGAACATTCTACCCCAAAATATGCTGCTTTGGCATATTGATTATTTTGAGCTGAAGGCAACTAACAAACAGCAGACACAGAAGGGCTTTCTGTCTTCCCCCTTTCTGCCTAAAAACTGGGCATAAATTTCCCCTGAGAAATGTGCTCTTCCAGTACCAGGAAGAAGAAAATATTCTTATCACTGCAGATGGAGCATCAATGCTGAGATGAGTCTGCACAAACAAACCTTACTCAAATAACCCTCATCCTCCATTAGTTTCCCCCATGTATTTCCTAGTCACTTTCCCACAATTTACCATCCCTAGAAAGCTAACCCCTTTTCTTTGTCTAGTCACCTCTCCACAATTAGAGACCCTTGTTAAAATAGTATATAAGTCCCTGAGTCTAACCCTTTCTTTGGGGTTTTCACTTTTCTATGAAGCCCCGTATCTCACATAAAAATATTAACATCAAATAAATTTTTATGCTTTTCTCCTGTTGATCTGCCTTTTGTCAGTTTAATTTGCAGGCCCCAAATTAAAAACCTTTCCTTTACTCTCTTAGCTATAAAACCTAAGAAAGTAAAGGAAAAGTTTTCCCTCTCCTACAATTTATACAACAGACTATTATTCAGCCTTAAAAAGGAAGGAAATTCTGACACATGCTACAACATGGATGAACCTTGAGGACATTACGCTAAATGAAATAAATTAATCACAAAATTAAAAATACTGTATGATTTCATTTATATGAACTATCTAGAGTAGCCAAGTTCATAGAAACAGAAAGCAAAATGATGGTTAATGGTGGTTGAGGGAAGGGGAAATGAGTTGTTGTTTAATGGGTATAGAGTTTCAATTTTGCAAGATAAAAAAGCTCTGGAGATTGGTTATACAACCATGTAGAGATATTTAACAACTCTGATCTTAGAAATGGTTAAGATGGTACATTTTATGTTATGTGGTTTTTACCATAATAAAAAAATAATTTTTAATTAAATGACATTAAAATATGATATTTTATCTAAATTTTTTAAATCATGTATAATTTCTAATACTTACCTACACTGCTAAGAAACATAGTAAGATACAGAATCCTAATTGATCTCCATCGGCTCTTATAATGCTCCTCAGTTTCTATAATATCCCATTCTCTAGGTATAAAGAAGAAAAATGTAGTATAAAGTTATCTCAGTACATGCAAATCTTTCTGTGGCATAATTTTATTTTCTCTCTCCTAAAGTCATGAAAATTATATGATAGAGGTATAGTTTACTAATATTGGTTTTTACTATACTAATTCATCTATAAATAAGTATTATATCTTTTAATTTCCATGGATTATATTTATGGATCACTGTGCATAGGAAGTTGGGAGACATGAGGCAGCTTAAAAAGGCAAAACATTTTGTGAACCAATTATTTTGCTATTGTTTGCATGCTATAAACTTATGAATCAAGCATGTTTAAATTTGCTAAACTGACAAAATGAATAAAGTATATCAAAATAAATAAAATAAACTAGCTACAACCATTAGATCTCCTACAGGTGGGATATACAACTAGTAACTATTAAACGATAATAACTCTCATCATTATGACATGCTCTACTTGATGACAGCAAATTAACTTTGCTGTAGGAAGCTATTTTAGTTGGGTACTTTCAGCAAAATTAATATAAAAGTGACACCAGGAAGGTTTGATATGACCTAAGACATTCATAGCCCTGGAACCTCCTGAAACATTTGCCTTTGCTCCAACACAGGTTACCAGACAAGCTCTGTTAGTGGACCAAAGAGAGACCAAGGCCCCTCCAGACTGGGCTGACCTTTCATTATCACCCTTGACCTGGATTAAGGGCAAGTATGTTAACCATGTAGCCTACCTCTGTCAGGTGATAACATTAGCATGTGTACCCATTACATTTTCACATATGCACACAAAAAGAGTTAACAAATTTACCCTAATATAAGCATTATATGTTTTCAAATAATTAAAACAAGCACAACAGACAAAATGCCATCTTATGTTCCAACATTATTTTCTAAAATAGACTTAGTACTGTTAGTCTTCAAAAAAGAAACTATGTTTTTTTTAAATGTGACATGACTGGGAATGTTAGAGAGGGAATGAAGAGAAATAACATTTATTAGATCTATTATGTGCCAGATATATCAGTTCCTGATATAATATATATGAAGTGCTTAACACTGTATATGCTGTTCCACAAAAATACTGTAATGTCGCATACCTGAAAAATAGCAGAACCCCAGATGCTCGTATTTGCAAATCAATATATTGAAATTTGGAATACATAATGCAGATACAAGAAGTCCCCTACACACGAACCTTCAAGTTGCAAACTTTCAAAGATGCGAATATGCGTTCGCATGTCCAATCACATAAGTTAGTTCACGTGTCTGGCAAACATTGTCACATGTGTGCATCCTCTAAAAGTGGTTGTGCTTTTGTGTACTTTACTGTACAGTACTGTATAGAGTACAGTAGAACAGTATCTTTATTTCAAGCCCAGGATGTCCAGAAGCAAGCGTAAAAGCAGCGGTGATGTGTCTGGTACCGCTAAGAAGTGCCAAGTGATAACGACAGAAACAGAAGTGAAAATAATTGAGAGAGTGGAGCGAGGCAAAAGATGGTTGACGTCGCTCATTCTTATAACATGAATCGTTCAACCATCAGCACGATTCTAAGAACATGGGCGAGATCATGGAATACATGAAGTCTGATGTGCCAATGATGTCGACAATAATATCAAAGAAGTGTGGAAAAATGATGGAGATGGAGAAAGTTCTCAGGGTGTAGATGCAGGATCAGTATCAGTGTTGAGTCCCACTCAGATTAATGCTGATTCAAGTGGAAGCCAAAAGACTTTATGAAGACTTGAAGAAGAAATACGGTGAAGAATCAAAGGGCGCATCTTTTAATGCCAGCCATGGCTGGTTTCATCAGTTCAATGCTACAGCCAAGCTTCACAACGTAAAAGTAAGTGGCGAGGTAGCGAGTGCAGATACGGTAGCTGCCTGGGAATTTCCTGAAACGCTTTGAGAAATTATTGATGAAGGCACGTACTCACCCAAGCAGGTTTTTAATGTGGATGAGACAAGACTGTACTGGAAGAGGATGCCAGACCAAAGTTACATCAGTAAGGAGGAAAAGTCAATGGCAGGCTATAGAGCAGCAAAGGATAAGCTAACTCTGTTGTCTGGTGGCAATGCTTCCGGCGATATGAAGCTGAAGCCTCTCTTAGTTTATCATTCAGAGAACCCAAGAGCCCTTAAAAATATAGCCAAGGGCTCTCTTCCTGTTGTGTGGAAGAGTAACCCCAAAGCCTGGGTTACACAGGCCATTTTCCAGGATTGGTTTTTCCACCACTTTATCCCGGAGGTAGAGAAATATTGCTTGGAACATTCTTTTGCTGCTCGATAATGCTCCAGACCACCCCCCATTCATGAACGACTTTCATCCCAACATCAAAGTAGCGCATCTGCCACCAAGTACTGTGTCCCTCATCCAACTTATGGACCAGGGAGTTACAGCCACTTTCAAGAAATATTATTCACGTTACACTTTTAGTCAGGCAGTAAAGGTGACTGATGAATCAGGAAAAACCTTGCAACAGTTTTGGAAGGACTATAACATCTACAAGGCCACAAAAAACATTGACTGCTTGGCGTGAGGTTACGGCCGCCACCATCAATGGGGTTTGGAAGAAGCTTTGCCTGCAGTTTGTTCACGATTTTCATGGATTTGAGAAGGTGGATGAGGAGTCCAAAGAGGTCTTCAGCAACTTAGTGACCCTCAGCGAGAAGCCGGAGCTAGATCTGCAAGAGGACGATTTCATCGAACTCCTTGCTGTGCAACACAAGGAGCTTACTAATGAAGACCTGATGAAACTGGAGACCCAGAGAAAGGACTAAGAGAGACAAGAGGAAGGAGAAGTAACTGAAGAACCGAAGAGATTCACGTAGCAGGAAATGGCAAGGGGATTCTCTTTATTTGAGGCAGCACTGTTAGCTTGTGAGGCACAGGACCTGAACATAGAACATTACATGAAGGTTGCAGCAGCCGTTCAGAATGCAATCCAGTGCTACCGTGTCATCCATGACAAGAAAAAAAGAGCTACTATCCGAACATCATTGGATCGTTTTTTTCAAGGGGGTAGATAGAATTGAATCCAGCAAGGAACCAGAACCTGTGCCACCAACGTCACACATGAGTGAAAGTGCAGCTTGCCCTCTGTCTCCTATTGCTGTCGATCCTTCAGCTCTGCTATCTCCCACCTCCTCTCCCTCCTCCAGTCAGTAACTCTTCTGGCCTGTTCACTCGATGCCAGTCCCTGTATGCCAGCTGTTGTACTGTACCACTGTACTTTTCAAGGTACTGTACTGTAAGATTAAAAATGTTTTATTTTTTTGTGTTTGTTTGTTTTTTATGTGTTATTTGTGTGAAAAGTATTATAAACCTATTACAGTACAGTACTACATAGCCGATTGTGTTATTGGGTACCTAGGGACTTACGAATGCGCTCTCAGAATGGAACCTGTTCGTATGTAGGGGACTTGCTATTATTACATATCAGCAAAAGGTAGACACCATTCAATCCCACAGCACTGAATTCTGGTATCAGTTTAAAGTACTGGGTTACTATTATAGTTTTAATGAACTCATTATTATTTTCTGGAGATCAGAAATCTAACTGATAATCATGAATAAGAACTATCACTAAAATAAGCCTGAACATTTTCAAATAACCAATTTGCTCATATCTTATCTAAGTTATGGAACTAAGAGAAGTAAATAATCTGATTCTGAAAAAAAAATGTAATGAAATTGCTTGTTTGAGTGACTTTGACTTGAAGGTCAGTCAAAAATCTTTCTTCTTTTAATGACAGGTATTAAATATTGAAGGGATGATAGAAAATCACCATTTACTCTCCATGTAATAATGGATGAAAGCAAAGATCATCAGTGAATCCTAAAATAACTGGTTGGAAGGTCAAAAGTCCTCAAAGTATCACTCTTTTGTCGATCCACTAATCAGAAAATGGAAAATGAGCCTTTATAATTGAGAGATATAACAGTCACCCTCTTAACCAGGTAGTCAAGCGTGGCATCCCCAACAGTGGGATGGCCTGGCATCCAATGCTTCCTGACAGAATACACTGGGATGTTCTCAACATAAGCCATGGGATTTTCTTGTCAGAAATGTTTGACCAGGATCTACCCAGAAAAGGTCCACAAATTCAGAACGTGAGATGTTCCAAAGAAAACAGAAAACTAATCTAGACTTATCAGAGGATTCAATGTTAGTAAGAACAAAAGAGAAGGTCAGGGGATAGTTTTAGGTGGGAGGAGTCTAAAAAGACATAAGGATCAATGCTTGAACATTAATCAGATCCTTTTAAAAAAGAATAGCTGTAGAGTACATTTTTGGAACAACTGGAAAAATATGACTATAGGCTGTATAGTACATGATATTTTGAATTAGTAGTGTATTTCTAGCTCTGGTAACAGTGACATAGCTGTGTAAAAGAATGTCTATGTTTTGGGGAGATGGAGGCTGCAGACTAAAATGTTTAGGATAAAGTGCCATAATGTCTGCAACCTACTTTTGGGTAGTCTGGCAAAAGAGGGGTGGTTGTGTGTGTGTATGTGTGTGTGTGTGTAGAAAGATTTGAGCAGTGTGGAGAAGGCTAACAATGACAGGGTAATCAGGTATTTATTGCACTGTTTTTTCAATTTTTCTACGGATTTAAAATGTTTCAAAATAAAAATTTTACTTTTCCTTCTTCTTTAAAATAAACTTATTTATCTATTTATGTATTTATTTATTTTTGGCTGTGTTGGGTCTTTGTTGCTGTGTGCGGGCTTTCTCTAGTTGCGGTGGGGGGGGTTACTCTTTGTTGCAGTGCACGGGCTTCTCATTGTCGTGGCTTCTCTTGTTGCGGAGCACGGGCTCTAGGCACACAGGCTTCAGTAGTTGTGGCACATGGGCTCAGTAGTTGTGGCTTGCGGGCTCTAGAGCTCAGGCTCAGTAGTTGTGGCACACAGGCTTAGTTGCTCCATGGCATGTGGGATCTTCCCAGGCCAGGGATCGAACCTGTGGAGGCTTCCCTGGTGGTGCAGTGGTTAAGACTCCGCCTGCCAATGAAGGGGACACAGGTTCGATCCCTGGCCTGGGAAGATCCCACATGCCGTGGAGCAACTAAGCCCGTGCGCCACAACTACTGAGCCTGCATGCTGCAACTACTGAAGCCCACGTGCCTAGAGCCCATGCTCTGCAACAAGAGAAGCCACTGCAATAAGAAGCCTGCACACTGCAATGAAGAGTAGCCCACGCTCTCCACAACTAGAGAAAGCCCATGCACAGCAATGAAGATCCAACGCAGCCAAAAAAAAATAAAAATTAAAAAAAAAAGTATAACTTTGGTGAAGAAATGTATCTTTCTTCCTTGTTGGAGATAGTAGGAACATAGGAGAATATAACTGTCCTTCAATCAAGTTACCATTTTTATTACATTCCAACGTGATTTGTTTAACATTTTGATTCCTTTCTATTATCATTGCTGTATTCTGGTATTAGTTCTCCATTTGAGATCCTCCTTCAAGTAAAGTTGCAATGCTAAAGGGTTTTGTCCTGTCCAAAATTTTCATTACAAACTATACCTCAAATGATAGCATGAGCCTTCCCTGGTGGCACAGTGGTTGAGAATCTGCCTGCTAATGCAGGGGACACGGGTTCGAGCCCTGGTCTGGGAAGATCCCACATGCCGCGGAGCAACTAGGCCCGTGAGCCACAACTACTGAGCCTGCGCGTCTGGAGCGTGTGCTCCGCAACAAGAGAGGCCGTGATAGTGAGAGGCCCGCGCACCGCGATGACGAGTGGCCCCCGCTTGCCACAACTAGAGAAAGCCCTCGCACAGAAACGAAGACCCAACACAGCCTAAAATAAATAAATAAATAATAATTTTTTAAAAAATGATAGCATGTTTATCAAAGTTGCGACTCAAAAACTATGAGGAATACACATGGATTTACTGAGGGGAAAAATAAAATTGTACTTTTACCAGAGAGAGCATCTGTGAACTACTGAACAGCAAAAAAGAACCTTACTGAAAGAGGATAAGAGAAAGCAGTGTGTGGTCACTGACAAAATAGTGTAATGGTATAAAAGTTATAGAAATTAAAAGAGAAATAAATTGAGAATGTTCTATAAAAGTATCTTGTATACAACCATAAGTTCTAGTAATATTTGTTTTACAGAGACTAGGCTAACGTTGCAAAGAAAAATTTTAAGCACCTATAATACTTTAGGATATTCTAAGACAGGGATCAGCAAACTGCAGTCTAATAGGCCAAATCTGGCCTACCACATGTTTTTGTGTAGCCCATGAGCTAAGAATGGTTTTTACAGTTGAATATTTGTGATCAATTTCATGACAGAAAACATTAACTTTGACAATAACATTGACAATGAACAATAACATTCATTATTAGACTTGTATTACAAAAAATTGTACTCATTTATTATTACATTTTAAATTTCATTACTACAAAATTTTGTGGAAATTTATTTTCTTTCTTGTTATCTAAGTACCTATATAATAACTTTGATTTTGCCTCCTGGCCTGCAAAGCCTAAAATATTTACCATATGGGCCTTTACAGGAAAAGTCTGCCAACCCTGGTCTCTTGAATTCTATGGATAAGGTCAGTGGGGATTCCTGAGGACTTGATGAAAGGCTGAGGTTGGTGGTGAACTAGGCTCATCTTTTTGCAATTTACTCAAAGTGAACAGGGCTTGCCAGTTAGTTTTACATATGTTCCCTTTACTAGGGAATCTACGTTTTTAAAGACAGTACACTTATTGAATTATTCTCAAAATACTCCCTTTTTATTTTAAAAATGCTAAATCTAGAAATTAAATTCAGATAGGCAGAACATCTGAATTTAAATGGACCCTAATGAGCATCAATTACTTGAACAAAAGAGAAAGAAAAAAAAATCCCCTTTTAAAGTAGGTTTATTTGGACAAAGTGACAGAATGTACCATAAGAATACATCTAACCATAACTCAAGGATCCTGAAATCTATCTGGAAAACAACCAAGAATTAGGAGGAAGCAAAAACAACACTGAGAAATCCAAAAATCACAAAGTCCATGTACTCAAGCTCATGCACTTGATTAATACGAGAGACCTTTAGCTTTCGGTCAGAGCTTCCATGTTCTAACTCCCTACAATTCTATTAAGCTTAGATACATGATTTTCAAAGCCACAGCAAACTAGAAGTCCCAAAGAAAAGTTGGGAGAAGTTTGCAGACAGCAACAAAAACAGAGGTTGCCAACAGATAACAAAAACATGAGGAGGAATAGTCTGCCAGAAACAGAATAGGCTGAAAAATGAAAACTAGATGTGAAAAGTATAGCACTGTAGAACAAATCAGTATAGCAGCACATAGTCCCAAATGCCTTATTAGGCCCGGAGGATGTCACTCTTATCACAATATATTTCAGCAGTGACATTAATTTTAATGATCTCAAGATAAAATGTAAACAAAATTACATTCCATATATTCCATTTAGTAAATCAGGGACCTGACAAATACATTTTCCAAAGGGTTTCAAACAAAGTGATTTTTAAAAAAGGTTTGGTGCTCATACACAGAAATAAACTCAAACGATTAAGGACCTAAATGTAAGGTTGGATACTACTGTATAAAACTCTTAGAGGAAAATATAGGCAGAATACTCTCTGACGTAAATCACAGCAAGATCTTTTTCTACCATCTCCTAGAGTAATGAAAATAAAAACAAAAATAAACAAATGAGACCTAATTAAACTTAAAAGCTTTTGCACAACAAAAGAAACCATAAACAAAATGAAAAGACAGCCCTCAGAATGGGAGAAAATATTTGCAAACGAAGCATCTGACAAGGGAATAATCTCCAAAATATACCAACTGCACATGCAGCTCAATACCAAAAAAACCCACAAACAACCCAATCAAAACCTGGGCAGAAGACCTAAACAGACATTTCTCCAAAGAGAGCATACAGATGGCCAACAAATACATGAAAAGATGGTCAACATCATTAATTATTAGAGAAACTACAATGAGGTATCACCTCACACTGGTCAGAATGGCCATCAACAAAAATTCTACAAACGATAAATGCTGGAGAGAGTGTGGAGAAAAGAGAACCCTCCTACACGGTTGGTGGGAATGTAAATTGGTACAGCCACTATGGAGAACAGTATGGAGGTTCCTTAAAAAACTAAAAATAGAGCTACTACATGATCCAGCAATCCCACTCCTAGGCATACATCCAGAGAAAACCATAATTCGAAATGATGCATGCACCCTGATGTTCACTGCAGCACTATTTACAACAGCCAGGACATGGAAGCAACCTCAATGTCCATCGACAGAGAAATGGATAAAGAAGACGTGGAACATATATACAATGGAATATTACTCAGCCATAAAAAGAAGGAAACAGTACCACTTGCAGAGACGTGGACAGATCTAGAGATTGTCATACAGAGTGAAGTAAGTCAGAAAGAGAAAAACAAATATCATGATATCACTTATATGTGGAATCTAGAAAAATGGTAGAGATGAACCTATTTGCAAAGCAGAAATAGAGTCTCAGATGTAGAGAACAAACTTATGGTTGGGGAGGCAGTGGGATGAATTGGGATGTTGGGACTGACGTATCTCCACATATATACAGCTGTCACAGACAGCTGAAGTTTACCTGTGAATTTAGTTAACTTACTGTAATAATTATATATGTTTAAAATAATACTTAACTTCGTTTTCCTAAAGGTTTAAATACATAACTGCAGAGTAAGAAACAAACTCTAACAACTCCAGGGTCAAAATAACCAGAATAATAAGGGTCAAAATACACTTCATCCCTTAAATGCTTAAAAATTAGTCTTTATTTATACATTTGACATAGGACAAAGGGGAGTTCATCTTAGGTTTACTTGCAAAAAAGTATCAAGAAGTTATCAGGCAATTAGTTAAGTGAATACTGAGACTGGTATCTTCAGGTCTCGAATAAAACTGTGTGAAACGTATAATCAGTTCTGTAAAGGGCCAAATGCAGAGGCTTGGTTGCTGCATCAGTGTTGGTGCAAAGGTACAAGAGGCAGTTTGCGTTTCTTCAACACTTTCAACAGAACCCGCCGGCTCAAGGCGCCCCGCGGAAGTGAAAGCGCATCTCCAAGTCTCGCGCAACCTGCCGCCGGCTCCCGCCACCCTGACACCCCTCCTTCGGCCCACAAAGCCTGATGCAGGGAAAGGGACCAGTGCCAATAGCGCAGGAGGGTCAGAAGGCCTTCCCCCAACATCCGCTCACCTGCTTCCGGGTATGCTGTGGCCTAAGAGCGGCTCCTGCTCAGCCTCTACCCCCAAGCTCGCCATAATTACTGCTCCCACAAGGCTTGGGGCCAACTCTCGCGATACCTCCTGCTCCCTCCCATTCCAGGCGGCCTGAAGCTGTCAAAACTGGGCAGCAAGCGCGCGCGCACACCCAGAGACCAGAGTGGGCGGAGCACCCCAGGTCAGAGGCGGGGGCCCGCGGGAGGAGGGGCGGTGCCGAGAGGATGATGAGTGTTAAGGGCGGGGCCCTAAGTCCTTATCCTCCTCCAGGGTACGCGCCTCTCCGCCTCCAGGAACAAGGCGCGGAAGAGCCGGGGAGGGTTCGGGGGCGTGTCCAAACAGCCACCCCGCCCAGGGTTCGTCCTCCTCCCCAGCTTTCCTGTCAGCTCGCCGTCGCTTCTCAGTTCCTGGAGAGGCTGCTGTAGCTGCGGTTGGGGATCAGAAAGGAGGCGAGTCCCGAGAGGCTAGAGAGCCGCGGTGTTCGGAGTCTCGGCCAGCTGGACAGCAGGCGCCCACCAAGCGGCCATTGAGTAAGTAGACGGTCTCAGCCGCGCTTCCCAAGCCTCTTGCCGCGCTTGCCTACGTGCCAGTAGGCAGGACTGAGAGCGCAAGGCTTGGCGGGAGATGCGGGGGTCCCGGGCCGAGTGAGGTGGGCAGGCGGGCTGTCCCTTCTCCCTGTGGAAGGTGGAGGTGGCTACACGCTGTGGTTTTCTTGCTCGGCTAACTACAAAGGCACCTTACCCGTAGTGCCTTATTAGGACCTGGGATGAAGATGATCCTCAAATTCGAACCCACCGCCGCCTGCGTGGACTGAGAGCTTCCGCCGTGCAAGATGCCACTCAGCAGAGCCTGCTGCTGTAACCTGGGGGTTAGAAAAGCCACAGCACCAGTTTGACAATGACCAGATCTTTTCATCACAAGGAAAATGACATTTTTAGAAAATATGTTCTGGGTTGTTTTTGTTTGTTTTCAGTAGATCTTGGTGCTGCTCCTTTCCTGGTGCTTACATATTAACGTCTTACCCCTACAAGCAGGCTTGTAAGCTAATTGGTAGCAGTAGTCATGTGTGTCACAATTACTGTTTTATTAGCACTAGATACATTCTTATGTGATTTCATTTGATCACAACTGTCCTATGACAGGTAAAGCAGACACGTTTCTATTTTACAGAGAACTAAGGCTTAGAAAAGTTAATAACTTACCCAGAATCACTCAGTGTGAAAGTATCAGTTGAGACTCAAATTCAGTTGTTTTCGATCAATATTTAGGAGCACTTATCCTATGCCAGGCACTATACTGGTTATGTGTTGTACAGTATATGACATCACTCTGATCTTTGTCTTGTTTGTGACCTTGTGTGTATCCTGTTTGACACATTCCACTGGTGAACAGCTAAACTTGAAATGTGTTTTCTACTAGTTCAGAATTATCTTCTGAATCCAGACCTGACATTGTATACTTGGATTCAGTCTTGCAAGTTTGTTTGTAACAGCTCACAAAAGCATATCAGATTCCTGTGATTGTTTCCAAGAAGGTACATGGGTAAAATTAGTATTTTTTTTGTCATAATGTTGCTTTACTGTATCTTCAGCTTCTTTTTAATCTCTGGAGTCTAGCACAGAGTATGGCATATATATATATGTATATTTGGTAAAGGAACTTTTAACCAGTATTGCACCAAGCAGAATGGTTACTAAATAAATATATGTTGAATGAACACTTATTGAATTACCTCATTTCATCCCTACAACAATCCTCTGAGGTGGGATTGTCTCAAGCATACAAGGAAATTGAAAGTATGGAGATTAAGTAATTTGCCTAGGGTCACACCTCCAATTAGCAACAGAGCTAGAATCCAAGAAACACAGGACTCCTGACTGTAAAGCCTGTGCTTTTCACCACCAGCCTTCCTATGAAAAGAATGTCAACATTCTTTTCCCATATCTCTTAAAATATTTCAAAACAAGTAATCAATTTTTATATAAATGAAATAATTTGCTATTATGTATTAGGCCAGCTATTATTCCCCCTTTATAGTTTAATGTGGCTTATTCAATCCACCTTCACACTGCTCGTGAAGAACCCAGGTCTTCTGACACTGCTACTTTCCATTGTTGCCTCCAAGTGATGACTTCAGATGGCAGAAGTACATGGGATGAATGCATGTACAACTGGTGAAATCTAAATAAGCTCTGTGTATTGTACCAATAAAAAAAAAAGGAACAAATCATTTCTTAGAAACATACAACATCCACAGTAAACATTAAAAAATTTTGTTTAAAAACCTAATTATTTCTTTTAAAGCCCATGGAAAAGAAGAACTAAATTTGAAAAGAGATTCGATTATTTGCTAAATGTTTCACATAAGCATATGAGACAGTCCACCTGTGGTATTTCCTTAGATGACTGCTAAGAATAGAATAGATAGATAGACAGCTAGAATAGATACCTCTCCAAACAAATAAACAAAGTTCCTGTTTTCTTATTCTTCTCCAAATTAAGATGGAAAGGAATTAAATTTGTTGAGGTAGGGTAATAGATTTTAATAGTGGATATCGGTGTATCTAAACCCTAATGTAAGTTGCTACTTAAACTTGCATTGAAAATAAGTGATTTAAAAGTGAAGTTATAAGATAAAAATTAGGTCTGCATTTTTGTGGAGTAAAGCTCTTGTACATGGTGGTATTTTTTTTATTTCATATATGCCTTTGAGATATGTATCAACTATATGAGGATAAAAGTCCAGAAACAATTAGTGTTGCACTTAAATGCTTAAGTACTTGAGTGATAGGCAATAAAAGTACTAGATGGCATAAATAGACATTGAGTGTCATTTTAGCAATAGAGCTCATTTCCAAAAAGACTTTTCATTCCTTGGCACTATACTAGAACTTCTATATTTGTTTCACTTTGTTTTTCTTTTTTGCATTGTCTATATAAAAGTATAGATGACAATTGTGTCAGTTTGGCTTGATACACACTGCAAAAGTGGGTCCTGTTTCTGCAGAAGCTCACTGGTGTCAGTTCAGCTTAATGTGGGGACTTTAAAAAGTATCTGATGTGGCTCCAGATGGGGCCCCCTCTTGGTATATTGGAGTTATCTTTACCCTGGGCTTGGATTATAATCTGTTCATGGTGGCACTGGATAGCAGTTAGCCCTGCCTAGAAGGACCTACATGTTTAGAGCATCCCAGAAAACCTGGTATTATATATCATTCTTGGGGCTGAAATGGGATTTAAGAAGATCTGTGTAACCCCAGACTCCCAGAACGAAGATTATCATAAGCTATGTGTGTGTTTGATTTGCTTCCTGTTCATGATTGGTCAGTTGTTTACTGTCAGGTAAATGTAGCAAGGAAAATGCTGGCTCTAGATTTGGAGTGCTGACTCTTATGGCCTATATTACATGAAATTAAAGTGATTCAGCATCTTTCCTAGTATAGGGTTGAAAATTAGAAATGCCTAAACAATTTAGGCACCTAATAAATATAGAACTTTACAAAATACTTGAAGAGTTCATTTTTCTCAGGTCTTTTCCTGTTCTCTGGCAACTTTGTACTTTTGCATGTTTGTCTTAGCTTGTTTATCTATTACCACCCCAGAAGAATACTGTGTAGAAAAATGGGTTGTCTCATGAATAGTTTAGTACTTTTCTTCTTACTGTAAAACATGAGTGTTAGAATTTTGTTGTTTTTTACACTAACATGGAATATGCATATTGCTTTTGAAGCCGTGGATGTTACAAGGGAAGATATTGGCCCCCCATTCTTTTCCTACCACTGTAGAGAAAATAAGTAGTCTATAATACTTGCAAAAGATAATGAAGTCCTGTGTTGTAATGACATGCCGTTGTTCTCCTGCAGTTTAATAAATGTACATGAAAATGTATCAGTGCTATTTTTTGAACAATTCCAGAAAGACCCAAGTGAAACAGGAGGGAAGGGGGCAGGGCACAACCTTTAAAAGAATGACAGAGCCTGAGGACATGACATAAACTGATTAGAACCAAATAGGTCCAAGATGGCAGACTAGTCAACTTCCACTAGACCTTAAGCCTCAGGATACGCTCATTTTAACACATCAGCAAGCTAAATGACACACCCACAGGCACCATGACAGTTCCAAGGCGGACCATAAAGGTCAAAAAGTAGGTAGTGGCCCACTTTCTGGAAATCCCCACCCCTTCCCCAAAATAGCTGGAATACTCCTCCCACTCACTAGCCTATGGAATTACTTACCCTTATAAAAACTGACAACCCCATACCCTGGTGCCTTTCTCACCTTCTGAGATGGCCCACACTCTGTGGATTGTGTTTCTCTCTAAATAAATCCACTTTTTACCTTTCACTTTGTCTCTCCCTGAATTCTTTCTGCAATGAGACATCAAGAACCTGAGCTTCATTAAGTCCTGAGACCAGATGTGTGATCTCAGTTAAAAGACTGTGGGTTCGAGTCCCAGTCTGGGTTTTGGCTGGGTTCAAGCCCTGGCCCATGGGTTCAAGTCCCAATCTGAGTTGCACAGTTTCACAAAGAGTAAAAAATTAAAATCATCATTCATCACTCGGAATTTTTTCCTTATGCTCTAGAACCCCCCTGAATAGAGTTGCATATCTTAATATATAAAAAGAGTTGGTCTCTTATTTGAAATACAGAACACTAATTCAGAATTTTGCTATTTGGGTAAAGAATAAACTGTTCCATTTCTACCACAGCTGGGTATACTCAATTGAACTCTATTGAGTTAATCTATGGGTGATATTAATCACCCATAGATTAACACTACAGGAGTCAGTGCAGATCCCACCAGTTAAAGGTTCAGTTCTCCAGATGCCATTGCTTCTGATGCCAGCCAGACTTTTGACTGACTTGGCTACAGATTTGGGGCTTCCAGTAACCCCCTTGGATCAATAATTTGCTAGAACAACTCAGAAGAACTAAGTAGGGCTTCCCTGGTGGCGCAGTGGTTGAGAGTCCGCCTGCCAATGCAGCGGACATGGGTTCGTGCCCCGGTCCGGGAGGATCCCACATGCCGCGGAGCGGCTGGGCCCGTGAGCCCAGCGCGTCCGGAGCCTGTGCTCCGCGGCGGGAGAGGCCACAGCAGTGAGAGGCCCGCGTACCGCAAAAAAAAAAAAAAAAAAATATTGATCACGCTTTGTGCCAGGCTGACGGAATGGTGGGGCAGGTACTTGGTGCAGTTGGAGCTTTACCTGAGGTCTTCACAGAATTGGAAATTTCCTATTTCCTGCTTAGACGGCTTCTAGGTGTACTCACTGAAGGAGACAAGAAAGCAGCAAAAGTGCAAAAGCTGTCTAAGAATGAAGTACTTACGGTGAACATAGGATCCCTGTCGACAGAAGGAAGAGTTAGTGCAGTCAACGCTGATTTGGGCAAAATCGTTTTGACTAATCCTGTGTGCACAGAAGCAGGAGAAAAAATTGCCCTTAGCCGAAGAGTTAAGAAACACTGGCGTTTAATTGGTTGGGGTCAAATAAGAAGAGGAGTGACAATCAAGCCAACAGTAGATGATGACTGAAGAATTAAATAACAGATTTGGATGAAGTCGGAATTTCTCTTAACAACCTAGGGGTATATTTTCAAAGCAATAGTGAGAAATTAATTTCATAGCTCATTACCTTAGGAGTAGCTGTAAGGATATTCTCATTTTTTGGTGATGAAAATTTAACCTCTAGTACTAAAATAGGGTCTACAATAAATGTAAAAATTGGTGTAATGTTAGATTGAATCTGCATTTTACCAGAAATTAATCATTCCCAAATAATGTCTAATTTATACATCAGTGCAGGTTTGAAAGGAAACTGCTACAATCAGCCTTTGCTGTAGCACACATACCACTGAACCTGTTTGAAATAAAATTTTTCTTCTTAAAAAAAAAAAGTACACAGATTTCCTCAGCTTTCACAATCAGTTATAGAGCTATCATTTAAGGATTAGAGATATTAGTATACTTAAAGTTATAAAGATAAGCAGTAAAAAAATATCAACTAAAATTGGGTGGTGGGGAGAAGGGATCAAATATATCTCATTAGTTATCACCAGGAGTTAATAAATATTATATAGAACATGGAAATACAGGTTTGAGTATTAAATAGAGTTATAAGGATAATCAATAATAATGTTGCTATTATTAGTAAGTATAGCACTTAAATTTGCAGAGTGCTGTTTAAGTGCTTCAAGTATAGTAACTCATTTATTTCTCATACCAATCTGAGGTAAGTACTGTCATTATCCCTGTTTTACAGATGGATTACAGAAAGGATAAGTGACTTGCTCAAAGTCACATAGTAAAGGATTCAACCAAGGGAGTTTGCCTCTAGAGTATATGCTTTTAGCTGTTATGATATATTGCATCTTAAATGTATCATTTTCAAATATACATACACTCAAATGTAAAACAAATATGAATGATTAAAAAAACTGAAGTCAATAAAACAAAAAAAATAGAAAAATTATCATAATAACAAAAAATATAAATAGGTTAAACTCACCCATTAATAGAAAAAATGAGGTAGGCCTGTATATCCTGAAATTGAAAGAGCTTTGCAGATATTTATAAATAATCAGGGTGAGGAAGAAATGTCAAAAAATACAAATACTGTAGTTGATCTCTTCTGTGTTTAAAGAAACACACCAGGACTTCCCTGGTGGTCCAGTGGTAAAGAATCCGCCTTGCAATGCAGGGGGCGTGGGTTCGATCCCTGGTCAGGGAACTAAGATCCCACATGCCTCAGGGCAACTAAGCCCAGGTGCCACAACTACTGAGCTCGCGCGCCTCAACTAGAGCTTGCATGCTGCAAACTACAGAACCCACGTGCCCTGGAACCTGCGCGCCACAACTAGAGAAGAGAAACCCCAAACCCGCATGCTGCAACTGGAGAGAAACCCGCACACCACAATGAAGACCCTGCACGCTTCAACAAAGATCCCGCGTGCCGCAAATAAGAGCCAACACAGCCAAAAATAAATTAAATAAATAATAAATAAATCTTTTAAAAAATAAAATCGCTAAAAAAAAACCACACACACCAAAATCCCTAAAATATGTGTATGTATATAAATGGATAGAACAAGGGGTCACAAGAGTACAGCATTAACAGCAGTTACCTTTTGGAAAGAGAGGAAGCTTAGCAGAAATGAAGAGAGACTTTTTAGCTTTACTCTGTATTTTTTTTTTTCCTGCGGTATGCGGGCCTCTCACTGTTGTGGCCTCTCCCGTTGCGGAGCACAGGCTCCGGACGCTCAGACTCAGCGGCCATGGCTCACGGGCCCAGCCGCTCTGTGGCATGTGGGATCTTCCCGGACCGGGGCACGAACCTGTGTCCCCTACATCGGCAGGCGGACTCAACCACTGCACCACCAGGGAAGCCCATACAGTGAACATTTTTTAACTAGAAAATGAAGAAGAGAATATGTGATCACTGTCACTTGCCTTTCTTCTTGTATAAATTATCTGTTCCTGTGCTTTATTCACTAACTAGATAGTTTTTAACAAATTTCGTTGGAACATAGTACATGAATAGACTTCAGAACTTATATGATTTTAATGAGATTTGCAGTTTAAAGATTTGGCAGCTCTTTTTTGTCATGTAGGTCTTGGTTTAAATGTTACCTCTTTGGTTAAGTGAGGCTTTTTTTGACCATCAAAGGAGCCCTCTGGTCTTTATCATGTTGTCTTGTTATATTATGATAATAATGTTGTCATCATCTAGTCTTACTTACTTTTTTTCCTAAAAATAATTTGTTTTCTTTCCCTGAAGTATAAGATCCATGAGAGGAAGAACGTGCCTTGATCATCTTGTAGCACAGGACCTAAAATAATTCTTGGCATATAGTAAGCACTTAATAAATACTGTTGCATGAATGAAAAAAGTAATACTCATTCTTAAAAATTCAGAAACCTACATTTAGGCCATCCAATAATGGCTGAGCTATGGTGAACTGATTAATGATAATTCATAGGAATCTAGTAATCAGAATACCAGTTTGTTTATTTATAGTAGTAGATATGAATAGTGTAATAAACAGAGCTGGATATGCATTATGGGTTTTTTCCTAGCATTATTATGCAAAAAGCAAATTTAATCAAGAATAAAAAATGAATAACACGTGGAAATTGGGGAAAAAGAGAGGTGGGCAGTTTTAAAAAATACTAGATACTATACTCTGGCTACTGATTGTATTGCCTAACACAGGGGTCCCCAACCCCTGGGCTGCGAACCGGTACTGGTCTGAAGCCTGTTAGGAACCAGGCCGCACAGCAGGAGGTGAGCGGCGAGCCAGCGAGCAAAGCTTCATCTGCCGCTCCCCATCGCTCACAGTACCACCTGAACCATTTCTCCCGCTGTCCGTGTGTGGAGAAACTCTCTTCCACGAACCCGGTCGCTGGTGCCAAAAAGGTTGAGGACCGCTGGCCTGACAAGTATATTATCTAGTAAATGTTTATTCTTGGTCCTGAGAATCGTAAGAGGCAGTATGAATGATTTGGTTTTGCTGGTCCAGTCATAAAAATAATAAAGTGCCAGTCCGATTGATGGTGGATTAGATCGTACACTTATGCAAACAAAGAAGAGCATTAAGTTAAAGTTGTAGTTTGTTACAAATCAAAGAGTAAAAATATGACATAAATGGTGGTTCCCCAAAAAGCATTCAAAGTAATAGATAAGCCCTTATTAAAGCTCACTGATGGAGCTGCAAATTTCCATTTTCCATTTTTCTAAGTAGAATAAACCCTGAACCTGAATCAGGTTTTGCCTGGAAATCAAAACTACACCATTCAGTTTGAAAAGACAGAGGCAGATATTTTTTTTAAAACGTTAGAAATGTTTGGGAAAGGTAGTTAAGTGGTACATAAGTAGTAGCACTGATTAATTACTACTTTTCATGCACTATAGAGTAGAAGACAGGCAGTGTAGTATAGCAGATCTTCAGCCATGTGCCTGAGGTTCAGTCTTAGGTCTGCCCCCCACTTGTTGTGTGACCTTAAGTAAATCATATCCTCTCTGTACCTCAGTTTCCTTGTCTTGGGGTACTATATCTTCATAAGATTGTTGGGAGGTTTAAGCAAGAACGTACGTGTGTGTGTGTGTGTGTGTGTGTGTATGTGTGTGTGTAGTTTTTAAATGGTGCCTGGCAGATAAAATAGTACTACATAGGTATTAGCCACTCCTATTCAACAAATATTGAATATTTACTGTCAGTCACTGTACTGAGGATGGGAAGGTCCTGCCCTAGAGGAATTCAGAGTTTACTGTAGCTCAGGGCTCTACTTCTTCTCTACTTTCATCCGAGTTCTTTTTCCTGTATCTTGTATCTTATTTCCAAGAGGATACATTCAAAGATCTAGTTTAATCTCATTTTAAAATTTTCCCCCAGTTTTATTGAGATATAATTGATAATGTTGTATTATTTTAAAGTATACCACATAATGACCTGATATATGTATATACTGTGATGTGTTTACCACAATAAGTTTAGTTAACATCCATCACTTCACATAGTTACAGTTTCTTTTCTTGTAATGAGTACTTTTAAGATCTCTAAGATAAATAAGTCGTGGGGATATAATGTACAGCATGGTAACTATAGTTAACAATACTGTGTTGTGTATTTAAAAGTTGCCAAGAGAGTAGGTCAATGTTTAATTTTTACCTGATATTTGTAGAGGTGGTTAGAAAGTTGACCTGCCGAGTAAAATAAAATGTTTTAAAGTCATTTAAATTTTTGTTTTATAGATGTTTGTTTGCTACTAATGGGTGTGAGCAAGTTAGATATTCTATATCGGAGACTTCTCCTTACAAAACTTTTTATCAGAGGATGGGGAAGGCCAGAGGATCTCAAAAGGTAAGCATTTTCCCTGAATGCCTCTTCTAAATTTGTTGTTTTAGTAAACATTTGAAACTTCATTTCAGTTACAAAGTCCTTTACTATAAACATAAAGTGATTGGTAAATTAAGCATTAACTACTATATAAGAAAGAAATTATTTCCTTTTCTCTTTTATCTAATTATTGCTCTTAAGTTTTAACCCATATAATCATAAATTGAACTATTTTAAAAGTAATTCAGACTTAAAAATAAAGAGCTCTCAGACATAGATTTTTAACTTTGGTGATTTTTTATCCATTACAGATTTCAGGGACTAAACTTTCTTGGGTAACTTGAATTTGTAATGACTGTAAAACTGTGGTATAGTGTAGCTCATGGAAGTATTTGAACTTGTGAAAAATAATTTTAGGGATTTGTGCCTTTAATTTTGAGTCTTGAATATGTTAATTACTTTTGGAGCAATGATATTTCTCATGTTTTTTCTGAGACAAAATGTCAAGCTTGAAAAAAACCAAAGCCTAATTTTTTCTTTAATTATTAAAATTAAATTTTAACATAGTTTATGAACTGGGCTTGCTAATTTTTAATTACTTTTCATCAGTCTCAATATAATGGGAATACTGAAGTTTTTTCTTTTTCCCCCCCTTCCCATAATAGACTCTTTGAATTCAGAAAGATTATTGGAAATCGAGAAAGATGTCAGAATCTGGTTTCAAGTGATTATCCAATATACATCGATAAGGTATTCAGATGAAAGAAATGCAATTATAGAAATTCAGGTTTTATATAACTGTGTGGCAAGAGTGGGCTGAATGTTGGAGTATAATAACAATAAACTCTAAAACATGAGTACAATATAGATTTTTCATTTAATATTTTTTAAATGCTATTATGTACCCTAACTGAATGCTTATAGTAACTATATGCATGTTTATATGGGAGCATATATTTAATACTTAACTAAATACAAGAAAATATTTAGGGATGGATCTTTTTGAGCCTCATCTTTTATCTTTAGGCTCAAGAGAGTTAAATTATTCAACATTCAGAAGAATTACAAGTAATACAGGGAAGTACTCTACTGAGAGAATCAGCACATGAGAAGTTACTAGCAAAACAACTGTTAAATAACATCAGGGAAATGTTATGGGATATAGTTAATTGCTGAGAGAAGGGTAAAAAGAAAATGCTATAAAATTAGAGAATATGAGAAAATATATTTGAAATAATTTTGTTTTTAAGCAGCCATGTTTTCCTGTAAAACACTTGTAGGCTTATGTAATTGGATACTTGAAGCGCTGTAGGGGAGGGCCTGCAGCTGGGTAGGCTTCACATCCCTCATGGCCTTCAACCACAGTAACTCTACTTTCGTTGCTTTTATATATTGGATGTCTTTAGCAGATTTCATTTTTCAAAAGACTTTCACTGCTAAAAACAGGATCTTATAAATTGGAAATCCCTCCTCTATACCACATAGCTGTTCCTTTTGTATCTTCTGGACTTAGAACATTTCTCCCTCAAATTTTGCTAAATATTTCCATTTTCTCTGTTTTTTTCCTATTAAAAAATCATAGGCTTGAACAAATTTAAAACATACCAAGTAAAGATCAAAACTCTAATTTATGCCACTTTCCACCTCCTAATTCCATTTTCCTCCCAAGGAGGAATTACTGTTAGGATTTTAGAATGCTTTCTTACAGATAACCTTCTTCTCCCCCACCTTCTCTCTCTTGCTCTCTCACTCTCAGTTTTTAAAGATTGAGATATAATTCAAATACAGAAAAATTACCCTTTTAAAATGTACAATTCAGTGTTGTTGTTTTTTATTATTACATTCCCAAGATGTGCAACTATCACTATCTAATTCCAGAACATTTTTATTGCCCCCAGAAGAAACCCTGTACCCATTAGCTGTCACCTCCCACTTCCCCAGCCTCCCGCCTTCTGATAATTACTCATCTGTTGTCTCTGTGGATTCACCCATTCTGGACATTTCATATAAATGGAATCATCCAACATGTGGCCTTTTGTTTCTGGCTTATTTCATTTAGCAAAATTTTAAGGTTCATCCATGTTGTACCATGTACCACTGCTTCATTCTTTTTTATGGCTAAATAATATCCCATTGTGTATATGTACAACATTTTGTTTATCCATTATTCAGTTGATGGGCATTTGAGTTTCTACTTTTTTTTTTTTGGCTCCATTGGGTCTTAGTTGCGGCACATTGGATCTTCGTTGAGGCATGTGGGATCTTTTGTTGTGGCATGAGGGCTTCTCTCTAGTTGTGGCATGCGGGTTTTCTCTTCTCTAGTTGTGGCACGCAGGCTCCAGGGCGCGTGGGCTCTGTAGTTGTGGCTCCAGAGTGCGTGGGCTCTGTAGTTTGCGGCACCCGGGCTTCTCTCTAGTTGAGGTGTGCAAGCTCAGTAGTTGTGGGCGCGCAGGTTTAGTTGCCCTGCGGCATGTGGGATCTTAGTTCCCTGACCAGGGATCGAATCTACGTCCCCTGCATTGGAAGGCAGAGTCTTTACCACTGGACCGCTAGGGAAGTCCCGAGTTGTTTCTACTTTTTAACTGTTATGAATAATAATGCTATGAATATTCATGTACTAGTGTTCTTGTGGATATATTTTTTTCACTTCCCTTGGGTATATATCTAGGAGTGGAATTGCTCAGTCACATGGTAACTGTATGCTTAAATTTTTAACAAACTGTCAACTGTTTTCCAAAGTGCACCATTTTACTTTTCCACAAGCAGTGTATAATGCTTTCAATTTCTCCCCATTCTTACTAATATTTCTACTTGCCCTAGCCTTCCTAGTGGGTGTGAAGTATATTTTATTGTGATTTTGATATGTCTTTCCCTAATGACTGTGATGTTGAGCATCCTTTGATGTACTTATTGGCCATTTGTATATCTTCTTTTGAGAAATATCTGTGAAACCCTTGCCCATTTTTAATTGGGTTATTCCTCTTTTTAGTGTTGAGTTGTAGCTTGCTTAATTTTAAAATCTGTCTTATATATGGCTCTGAAAGTGTTTTTTTCTTACCAAATTGCCATTTATCCCAACACTATTTGTTGAATTATTATTCCCTTTCACATTAGTTTGTGCTGCCTCCTTTGTCAAATAATTCTTCTAAAATAGATAAAAGAAAACTTTAAAACTGTAGGAGGGGGCTTCCCTGGTGGCGCAGTGGTTGAGAGTCCGCCTACTGATGAAGGGGACGCGGGTTCGTGCCCAGGTCCGCGAAGATCCCACATGCCGCAGAGCCTGCGCGTCCGGAGCCTGTGCTCCGCAACGGGAGAGGCCACAACAGTGAGAGGCCCGCGTACCGCAAAAGAAAAAAAAAAAAAAACTGTAGGAGGCACAAAGATGACTAAAATGTAAACACTTCCTGGATTAAAAATTTCGTATTATACACGTTAGGTCTCCTTACGGTTTTCAAAAAATGCAATGCAATCCTAATTAAAATATTCAGTTTAGAGCCAAGGTCCATAAAAGGATCCTAAAATTATTTTGGGAAGAACTCAAATATATATTTGGGAAGTACAGTCAGATCAGGAATACTTGAAAAGGAAGAGTGGTAAGTAAAAACGATCTCAGTCATATATCAATGGGTATTGTAAGGCACAGTATGATCAGCACAGCCTGACACTGGTTTAGAAATAAATGATATGCTAATGAGACCTGATAAATGATTGAAAATAATTTGTAAAATTATTTTCCAAAAAATAATTTTACAAAAAAATTTATGGAAAGTTACTTCATGATAAAGTAGTATTTTAAGTCATTTGCAAAGAAAGTGTGGATTATTTAATAAATGATGCTGAAACAACTGGTTAGTATTTGTGGTTTTTAAAGAGGTTGATATATTTAGCTTCTAAAAATACAGTTTTTTGTTTCTGGTTTTAATGAAAATATGTGATGCTTTACTGCTAATTTAATTTTGACTATTGGCCTGATAAAGATTTTTTTATTTAAAAAAAATAACTATTTGAGGTGGAAAAAACAACTTAGGTGTTGAATATTAGTAAATGCCTTTGCTACATATGTAACTATCACATTTCTCCTTATTTAATGTGTTGACGTGACTCATTTCATCAATAGGTTACCTGAAAACAAGCCATTCTAACATATATAATGTCAACCCTTATTTGATTGTGGTAAATTATAATTTGTTTGTAAATTGTTTTTATATTTATATTGTTGAATTCTTGTAACAAATATTTTATTTTGTTATTGTATGTCATTGTACAAATAAGGTTTACTTATAGTTTGTTTTCCCGAGTAGACTCAAGTAGAGAACATAGAAGGAAATGAAATGTGTGTAGGAGCCTTTAGAAAGCAGAATGGGGCAAAAGGATACTTAGTAGGCACTAAAAAAAGTTACAATTGAATAGAACTTTTAAACAGAAAACATCTATGATAGACCTAGATACCACTGTCCTTGTGTATGCATCTTGGTTTTGCTTTTTTTTAGATTGAAGAGCAGTCAGACTGTAAGATCCTAGATGGACACTTTGTTTCCCCCATGGCCCACTATGTGCCTGATATCATGCCAGTTGAATCTGTTATTGCAAGGTAAGTATTTTTATTCAGAAAGTGAAAGTAGTAGGTTGTTTACGTTCACTTATACAATTACAATAATATCAATGCCATGTTATTTCAAATTACTTATTATTAATTGCAGTAATTATTTAGCATTTTTCCATTAAATGTGGGGTGGGACGGAGTAAAAATACAGAGCTTTAGTATACATTTGAACTTAAGTTGTTATCAGCTTAATCTTCAAAATTTCAAGAAGCAAGACAGTGCTGGGAATGCTAAATGAAGCAGAGTTGTTAACGTTGGTAGTTTTGATTATGAGACTGAAAATTAAGAGTTAGTTTTCATGAGCACAAAACAGATATAATCATTAAACCATCCTAAATTTTCTTGTCTATGTTCTATTCAACAATTTATTGACAATAGATAAGTAGTGATATTTTCCCTTGCCCAGGCAAAGTAAGCTCAGAATTCAGGCTTATGTTGCCTGAGAACACAACCGCCTAAGGTCAAACCTTGAGCTGACAGAGTGCAGTGTTCTACTGTGATAATAATTCCAAAATGTCAACTGCTAAGGAAATTGAAAGGAGAAGTAAATCAGTTTGGGAAGATAAAAAAGTTCTGAAGATGGATGGTGGTAGTGATTGCATAACAATGTAAGTGTACTTAATGTCACTGAACTGTACACTTTGGTAAAAATGGTAAATTTTATGTTATATGCATTTTACTACAATGATAAAAAAAGAAGTCATATAGGAAAAAACATTAAATGAGAGGACCAAGATACTACGATAAGAAGACGAGAAATAGAGAAGACTATGTTTTTTCTGCTGTGGTTTGCTTTTACCTCCAAACATAAAAGTTTTAATAAATCAAATCCTGTTATACACTCCAAGTTGAAAAAAAGATAACATGAACTATATTATTGATATGAACAGCTTGTACTGCCAAGCATTATTCCTGCAAGGAGAAGTGGAGCTATCTAAAGAATTGTTTTTCTAGGACTTAATCATATATATTGATGTCTTTAAAAATAAGAAAATTTCAAAAAAAATAAATAAGAAAATTTCTTTATTCATATATGAAGTTGTGGTATTGAATAAGGTAAAAATGATTGCAATAGATTCTGTGCTTATATTGTAATTGAATTTTTAATACCGTAACACCAAGCAAATTTACAGTATCTTTGTTGCCAGTTGGGCAAACATTAGTTTAATCAGTCAATTACAGTTTTTTTTCTACCAAAACATATGTTTATGTTTATTACATTCCCATAACCATTATAACAGAATTTTAATGCATTTTAATAAATAAATGATAATGAAAATTCATCAGTGCCTGAAAACTCAGATTTTTTTAAACTACTAAATGATCATGATATTTTAAATACACAATTCTACATTGCTAATATCTATTGAAATAGAATTTATAGATGAATAATCATGCCATAAAGCACCTGTACTTTCATCCAACAGGACATGGAAAACAGCAAGTCAATTACAGTTTGAATGTCAAAATTCTGAATGACCTTTTCTCCCAAATAATTTAATTATGAAACTTTTAAGAATTCAAAGTTTGCATTAAAAGGCTTTTAGTTTCACTGATGTGTTTTATTTTAAATAGGTTCCAATTTATTGTGCCTAAAGAATGGAACAGCAAATATAGACCCGTATGCATTCATCTTGCTGGAACAGGAGATCATGTAAGACTTTATTATAACATCTTAATCCCTAATTTGTTAAGTTACTCTCCTTAACAGATGTGGTTATTATATTTTTTAATTTAATTTAATTTTAATTTTATATTAGACTACAGTTGATTTACAATATTGTGTTAGTTTCAGGTGTACAGCAAAGTGATTCAGTTATACATGTACATATATCCATTCTTTTGTAGATTCTTTTCCCATATAGGTTATTACAGAATATTGAGTAGAGTTCCCGATGCTATACAGCAGGTCCTTGTTGTTTACCTATTTTATATATAGTAGTGTGTATGTGTTAATCCCACACTCCTAATTTATTTATTATATTCTTTAAGTACATCATCTTTTCTTTCCTCAGCATTACTGGAGACGACGAACACTAATGGCTCGTCCTATGATTAAAGAAGCCCGAATGGCTTCTTTGCTGTTAGAAAACCCTTATTATATCCTTTTGTGATACCTAGAAATCTTTTCTCTTATTTATTTATTTATAGATTTAGTCATCAAAAGGAATGATAGTAACCAGCTTTTCTAAACCAGTTAAATTTAGTCAGTTCAGAAAATGCTTAAGAATTAAGCAGCAAGAATGAAAAGAAGTGAAAAATTGTTTCATGCCTTTTTAAAAGGCAATTTAAGGATTTTGCTTCTGTTGTATAATGAAGATAAACCACTCTTCTGTTTCTTTTGAGATTTATACTGGATTTTAATATTAATAAGTCAAGTGTTTGACTTATTAAGGAAACCCTCATGTTTTAAATACATTTACATTTAAGTATCAGTTGAGGTTTAGAACAGTTCTTAACTTAATTTTCAAGATTATGTCAGACTATTCCCAGAAGAAGAAATGAAACTGATGCGCAGATATAAAGAAATGTTCAGCGTTGCTGGTAATAAGAGAAATGTAAAGTTAAAAGAGCAGTTACAAAAGATTTAAAAAATAAAACACAGTAGTCATAAGGCTATTGTGAAATGGGCACTGTTATTACTGATGACTGTGAAAATCAGTTCAACCCTTTGGGAAAGCATTTTTACTATATGCATCAGAAACCTTTAAAAATCTCACATCCCTTGACATTTTGATTCTGGGAAGTTTATTCTAAGGATAAAATATTAAGAAAAGAGCAAATGATAGAAAAGAGGAAAGATATTTAATAGCTTATAACTTATAATAGTAAAACATTAGAAATAGCTTAAATGTCTAACAATAGAAAAATGGTTAAGTAAATTGTGGTTCATAGCATTGGAATGTTGTACAGTTGGTTGTGTTATGTTTATTACTTTACTACTTGTATGACCTTGAACCTGTTAGTTAACCTTTTAGTGCCTCAACTTTTCCTTGGTAAATGGGAATAATCTCTTAGGTTATTCAGAGTATTAGAATAGTTAATACTGGTAAATAATAAGGATGCAGTAAATTTTAACAGTTATTATTTAAAAAGTTTACAGTAATGAATGAAAAGTATTTATAATGCAAAAAGAGGATATAAAACTCTATGGTATGGCATAGGTATGCAAAACACCTAAAATAGAAAATCCATTATTTTCTATTTAGAAACTGTGCCTAAGGGAAAATTTTGGAAAGAAATACAAAAAATATTAATATGGTTGTCTGTAGATAAAATAGTTTTTCTTCTAACATGATTTTCTGAATTTTCTAGATTTTTTTATAAGTGAAAAAAGAAACCAATAAACTTCATTTTAAAATTAAGTTGGGGATTACACAACCCTGCTGAATTACTAAAAATATTGAATTGTACACTTTAGATGGGTGAATTGTATGGTATGTGATTATGTCTCAATGAAGCTTTTTAAAAAAAGAAAAATAATTAAGTTGAAAAACCTGAGAACTCCTAAACAGCCTATTTGGAAAATAGTTATTTCAGCATTAAATTGTCTTCAAGTTGAACTATTTTGCTTAAGTTAATGTGTTTTGAGACACAGTGTGTTTAATTATTTAAAAACTTTCTCTTTGACCCACATTCTTAAATGGCTGCAGGAAACCCAAGGACCAAATGTAAGTATGTGTTATCTTCATTTTCCAGTCTTTATACTGAATTTTCAGCCATCTTAAAATTTTTGATAGCCTAACCATTTTTTCTGAAAAACAGAATTCTGGGCCCCTTGCATTCTTGTGGTACCTGGATCTTTGCATATAATTATTCTACATGGTTGTATAATAAATAACCATTGACAAAATGAATTTTTGTACACTTTGGCAAGGTTTCATATAGGAGCTAATTATGTATGTCTTTATGTGAATTAAATTTTAAAAAATAGATTATAGGGACTTCCCTGGCAGTTCAGTGGTTAAGACTTTGCCTTCCAATGCAGGGGGTGTGGGTTCCATCCCTGGTCAAGGAGCTAAGATCCCACATGCCTCGCAGCCAAAAACAAAAGAAAACAAAACAAAACATAAAACAGAAGCAATATTGTAACAAATTCAATAAAGACTTAAAAAAATAGATTGTAACTTGGTCACTTTAGTAATAAAATCATATTTTTTATAATTATATAAGAATAGTTCTGGATTCTAAAAATATATATTTAAGTGCTTCTTATAAAGAAATGTACTTATGTAAAATCAGTTTCTAAAACAAAGTTTCAATTGAATTGGTGTGTATTTAAATTAATCAAAACATGTATTATAAAAATGTTCTAACATTATATTCATAAATTATATATTTTGTGAAAATAAGCAACATTTAAGATTTTGGTAATACATGAACCTAGTATTATTTGAATTCTTTTACATTGCTATTTATTTTATTTTTTGTTGTTGTTGCCTTGTTTCTTTTTTTAAGATTTTAATTTTATTTGAGTATAATTGATTTACAACGTTGTGTTAGTTTCTGCTGTACAGCAAAGTGAGTCAGTTATACAAATACATCTATTCACTATTTTTTAGATTCTCTTCTCACATAGGTTATCACAGAATATTGAGTAGAGTTCGCTGTGCTATACAGTAAGTCCTTGTTGGTTATCTATCTTTTTTTCTTAATTTAAATTTATTTATTTTTTTATTTTTGGCTGTGTTGGCTCTTCGTTGCTGCACACGGGCTTTCTCTAGTTATGGCAAGCAGGGGCTGCTCTTCGTTGCAGTACACGGGCTTCTCATTGCGGTGGCTTCTCTTGTTGCGGAGCACGGGCTCTAGGCTCGCGGGCTCTAGAGTGCAGGCTCAGTAGTTGTGGCACACGGGCCTAGTTGCTCCGTGGCATGTGGGATCTTCCCAGACCAGGGCTCAAACCCGTGTCCCCTGCATTGGCAGGTGGATTCTTAACCTCTACGCAACCACAGAAGCCCTGGCAGGCTGATTCTTAACCACTGCACCACCAGGGAAGTCCCGGTTATCTATCTTATATATAATAGTATGTGTATGTTCATCCCAAGCTCCTGATTTATCCCTCCCCCGCCACATTTCCACTTTGGTAACTGTAAGTGTGTTTTTGATATCTGTAGGCCTTTCTGTTTTGTAAATAAGTTTATTTGTATCTTTTTTAAAATTAGATTCCACATATGATTGATACCATATGCTATTTGTCTTTCTCGGTATGACTTACTTCACTTAGTATGATAATCTTGAGGTCCATCCATGTTGCTCCAAATGGCATTATTTCATTTTTATGGCTGAGTAATATTCCATTGTATAGATAGATAGATAGATAGATAGATAGATATACCACATCTTCTTTATCCACTCCTCTGTTGATGGACATTTAGGTTGCTTCCATGTCTTAGCTATTGTAAATAGTGCTGCAGTGAACATTGGGGTGCGTGTATCCTTTCAGATTATGGTTTTCTCTGGATATGCCCAGGAGTGGGATTGCTGGATCATATGGTAGTTCTGTTTTAAGTTTTTTAAGGAACCTCCATACTGTTCTCCATAGAGGTTGTACCAATTTACATTCCCACCAACAGTGTAGGTGGGTTCCCTTTTCTCCACACCCTCTCCAGCATTTATTGTTTGTAGACTTTTTGCTGATGGCCATTCTGACTGGTGCGAGGTGATACCTCACTACAGATTTGATTTGCATTTTTCTAATTATTAGTGATGTTGAACATCTTATCATGTGCTTTTTGGCCATCTGTATGTCTTCTTTGGAGGAATGACTATTTAGATCTTTTGCCCATTTTTTGATTGGGTTGTTTGTTTGTTTTTTTGACACAGAGCTGTAAGAGCTGTTTGTGTATTCTGGAGATTAATCCCTTGTCAGTTGCTTTGTTTGCAAATATTATCTCCCATTCTGTGGGTTGTCTTTTTGTTTTGTTTATGGTTTCCTTTGCTGTGGAAAAGCTTTTGAGTTTAATTAGGTCCCATTTGTTTATTTTTGTTTTTATTTCCATTACTCTAGGAGATGATAGAAAAAGATATTGCTGTGATTTATGTCAGAGTGTTCTGCCTATGTTTTCCTCCAAGAGTTTTATAGTACCTGGTCTTACATTTAGGTCTTTAATCCATTTTGAGTTTATTTTTGTGTATGGTGTTAGAGAATGTTCTAATTTCATTCTTTTACATGTAGCTGTCCAGTTTTTCCAGTACCACTTATTGAAGAGACTGTCTTTTCTCCATTGTATATTCTTGCCTCCCTTGTCATAGATTAAATGACCATAGGTGCATGAGTTTATTTCTGGACTTTCTATCCTATTCCATTGATCTATATTTCTGTTTTTGTGCCAGTACCATACTGTTTTGATTACTGTAGCTTTGTAGTATAGCTACAGTATACTACAGGAATCAGCTGGAGTCTGCTTCCTCCAGCTCCATTTTTCTTTCTCAAGATTGCTTTAGCTATTTGGGGTCTTTTGTGTTTCCATATAAATTAAAAAAAATTTTGCTCTAGTTCTGTGAAAAATGCCTAGTATTAGGTGAATTATTTTACTCTGCTTTAAAAAAATGTGCTTTATGTTCTATTGTAATTATTTTTTTCTTAGAAGGGACAACTATAAATTTTCCTTATATCAATCATGGTAATTTAATGAAAAATTGACAGTATAGAAATATTATTTTCTCATACATATTTTAAGTTTTAAGTTATATCAAGTAAATAAGACATTCTTTTCTGGACTTCAAAATAGTTTGGTAGTTGAAACTCAAGGAAAATTATATGTTGTAGAGCAGATACAGCTTTTTTTTTTTTTAATTTATTTTTGGCTGCGTTGGGTCTTCCTTGCTGTACGCAGGCTTTCTCTAGTTGCAGCGAGAGGGGGCTACTCTTCGTTGTGGTGTGTGGGCTTCTCATTGCGGTGGCTTCTCTTGTGGAGCACAGGCTCTAGGCACGCAGGCTTCAGTAGTTGTGGCTCACGGGCTCTAGAGCGCAGGCTCAGTAGTTGTGGCGCATGGGTTTAGTTGCTCCGCAGCATGTGGGATCTTCCTGCATCAGGGCTCGAACCCATGTCCCCTGCATTGGCAGGCAGATTCTTAACCACTGTACCACCAGAGAAGTCCCTAGATACAGCTTTTTTAAAAAATAAGTTTTGGGTGATTAATATGCAGAACAATGTTAGCAGCATTCCAATTCCATCCATTTATTCCATTGTTTTACTTAGCTATCTGGTCCTTTAAAGGAAAAACATGTATTCTGGCTGCCTGTTGTAAATTTGCATATATTATAATGTAAATACATAAAATAAATAATTTTCTCTTTTGTTTTGTGAGGCTAGAAGGTCCAGCTTAAAAAACGTGTCTGATCTTTTTGTGATGGGAGGAGCTCTTGTTTTAGAATCTGCAGCTCTCTTGCACTGGCTAGAGAGGGAGGGTTATGGACCTCTAGGAATGACCGGAATATCCATGGGAGGACACGTAAGCATTTTCATTTTAACTGATATTTAATTGTGGTTATGTTAATAAAATCTAGGGAATCAAGCAAGGTAATGGATTTATGGCACATCCTCCTCTGTGGGAGTCTCATAGTGTACGCATGCCAGAGAAAATTGCAGCCTTGAACCATTGCCCAGTCTCCTTACCTGTGGGTTGTGAGCACTGAAAGGGGTTGTACAGTGCGGGAGGTGGGGGGAAGACCTAGGGAATCTATTTATTTAAAAATTCACTTTAGGTATAGAATTAATTTTAGTTTTGGCGAAAGCAGAAACAGATTCTAAATTTTCATTCCAATTATGAAGTAACGATATTTTTTGTATGATTCATGTAGACACTGATTATACTACTTACTCCACAGCTATATCTCAGGTGTTAGATTTAATATTTTATTAAAAGTTGATTATAAACTTAACTTCAAGTGTCAACTATAAATGCCTTATTTTGCTGTTAAATTGGTGAAGACAGCTAATTTGGAAAACACTTTTCCTTTATCTCTTCTCTCCATCAACCTGTTTTACCTTTGCTTTCTAGAGTGTACTAAAACGGCCCCTAATTGGTTTCTCTGTCTAGTCTTTGCACTCCTTAACCTTATTCTTAAGGCTTTTTCTCCACACTGTTAACTAGAGTGGTCTTCCTAAATCTGATCTCTGCTCTCTCCTGCTTAAAACCTTCCACAGGTTTTGCTATTGAACTGGACACTAGCAATGCCAGGTGCTGGCACCCATCTAGTGCCCCCTCATTCCCTTTCACCTGGCCGAATAAGAGCTTGTCCTTCCGCTTCCAGATTAGAGTTTACTTCCTGTGAGAAACTCTTCCAGATTCCCAGCCTTATCCCAGACTATACTTCGTTTCTCAATAACACGTACTTATTTCATTTTACTGTGATTACTTGTCTAGCAGTCTGTTTTCTCTATAAAGCAATTGATTCAGTGAGGGCCAGGAACATGCTCTGGTTCAGTTTCTGGACATATTAGTCATACAGTACATTAAAATATATATATTGTGTAAGTCATTTGAATTATAAAATTAAGTGTAAAACCTTACTCAAATTCAAAACAACTACCAAAGAGTGAAACTAATAAAATTAGCTTCAAAAACTCAAATTCAAAACAACTAAAGACAGTGAAACTGAAGAGTGGGAAAGGATTTCTCTTCCTAACTAGTAGTGTTTCCATTGTTATGACCTAGGTCGGGGTGTTATAACCGTCAGCTGGACTACTACCTATAAACTGGTTTCCCTACCTCAAATCTCACCCTCTCTAATCAATGTTATAAAATACTATTTAGCTTCATTGAATCACTTGACAATAACACTCCTTTGCTCAGGTCTCTTTATTAATTCCCCATTATCTACAGAACAAAGCGACCTCTAATCTGATCCTGATCGATCTTTCTAGCCCTACCTATCTCCCCTACCCCCCATTGGTCACATGTGCCCTACTGACCAGCGTAACTGAAGTATATTGGCTTGTTTCCCTACCAGACCCTGTGTTTCTCACCATTTTGCCTTTGATTATACTGTCTCCTTTATATGGAAGACCACACCCCATCTTTCATTTCACCTAAAAGACTCAACCATTTCATGAAGCCTTCTCTGATTCCTCTAGCCAAAAATAACATTTCCCTTCTCTAAACATATTACATCATTTTATATCAGTTATAATCTGCTTTGTAGTTCACCAAATTCTTGACATCTTTCAGTCAACCTCGAAAACCTGAGATTTTATGGTTGAGATTTTGCTCTATCTGAGCAGGTCACTTACATAATGAGTGTGCTTAGCCTGCTGCCCAGCATCTACATCCCAGCATGTTTGCTCTATATTTATCAGTAGAAAGTAGCTTTCTGTGATGGGTCTTAAGGTACTTAAAATTTCCTAATACATTTTATTGCTTTTTTAGGGGGCAGTTATATGTCATTGTTGAGTTTTATGGTTTGGGGAATTTGGAGAGTTTGCTAGACATTCTCATGAGTGTTTAAGAGACTTTGTGTTCATGTCTTATCTCATCAGCTACTATACAAAGTACTTCTTAATATTAAATATTTTTCATTTTGGTGAATGTAAACTTTAAACTGAATCTCTCTGTTATCATGTTACAGATGGCTTCCTTAGCAGTATCCAGCTGGCCTAAGCCCATGCCACTGATTCCATGTCTGTCTTGGTCCACAGCATCTGGGGTCTTCACTACGGTAATTTAATTGCAATTAATGTGTAGATAATTATATATAATTAACGGTAATTGTTTGCAGAGTTCCAAAATCACCCCCAGGCTTGGTGATTCACTGGAAGGACTCGCAGGACTCAGTATATAGCTGTACTCACAACTAAAACTTATTGCAGCAAAATGATACACTACAAAATCAATCAAGGGAAAAGGCACACAAGGCAAAGTCCAGAGGAAACCTGGCATAAACTTCCAGTGGAGTCTCTCACGTATTTAATTCCCTCAGCAATGAGTTATGACAATATGTGTAAAGTGTTGTCCATCAGTGAAGCTCATTTGAGCCTAGGAGTCCAGGGTTTATATCAGGGGTCAGTCACTTAGGCACCCTCTGCCTAGCATGTACTAAATTCCAGAAGGAAATCAGGTGTTCAGTAGAAACTACATTGTCTGTATAAGCAGTTTAGGCACAGTGACCCACTTTATCATTTTGGAAGTTTTATATCAGGGTAAAGAACTGTTTACTAGTCAAGTTACCAGACTCTAGGCAAGGGCCAACCTCACAAGCAGGCTTGTTTAAAGATAGGAAATCTCAAGTCTGCTTTGTTAATTTTTTTCTGCACAGTAATAATAATAAAAACTATTGGACAACATGCTTTATACGTGTGATTTGATCTTAATTTAGTTTGTTATTTCAGGGCGTGCTAAGTAAATCGATTAATTGGAGGGAGCTAGAAAAGCAGTATTATACACAGACAGTTTATGAAGAAGAAATTATTCACATGCTTGAATATTGTGGAGTAAGTATTTTTAACTTCTGCAGAACATTGTGGGGGAAATGTTGATCATGTTTAATGATTCAGATTTTTAAAAAGAATTGCAGTTTTGTTTTGTTTTTTTAACATATATAACTTTTTTTTGTGTGACCACTCCACGTGACTTGTGAGATTTTAGTTCCCCAGCCAGGGATTGAACCCAGCCCTCAGCAATGAGAGCACGGAGTCCTAACCACTGGACTGCCAGGGAATTCCCTGAATTGCAGATTTTTAAAAAGCAGTACTATTTTTTACTTAATAAAATCCTTCATTTAAAAATAAAATATAGAAAATCATGCAAAGCAAGTGCATAGCTTACTACATTTATTAAATGGCTAACACATTTGAATAGAACTTGACCACCCGGCTCAGAACTTAGCACCCAACCCACAAACCACTTTCATGCGTCCTAATCAGAAGACCTTTCTCCCCCTACTATTTAGTTATCATTATCCTGATTTTTATAGTGATTACTTCCTTCTGTCAAATATGCATCCCTGGACACTTCAGTTCTTTTATTTTATGGGTCTTTTAAGTGTCTTTTAATCCATAAGTTCCCTTTCATCCTTTTCTTTTCCTTATAATTTATCTATTGAAGAACTTGGGCTATTTACCTGTAGAGTTTCTCACAGTCTAGATTTTTGTTTGCATTCTCATGGTACACTTTAGCATTTTTGCCTGCAAATTGGCAACTAGGTCTAGAGGCTTGATTAAACTCAGTTTATCATTCTTTAGTAAGAGTATAGGAAGCAGATAATGTCTGGCTGCTCATTTTGTGGTGTAAGCAGCCGTTGATGCTTAATGTCTGTGTCTATTATATTGAGTGTTGCAAAAGGCTGATACTCTAATTCTGTACTCTTTTTTTCATTTATTAATTGGAATACTTTGATTTTAAAAAAAGCCACTTCCCTTATCAATTATTTGGTTACCTCATAGTTCATTACATATACCTTAATTTACCAATTATCAGGGAAATGAGTTGGTTCTCTATTATTCTCCTAAGGTGACCAATTCTTTTCAGAAATGTTTTTTTCTTTTCATGAATTTTAAAATTTTGCACATTCAGTTTAAAAGTTACAGAGAACCTCAAGAAACCTCAGGGAAAAATACTCTTTCTACTATCAACGAGGACTTTTTATTTGTAATTCCATCAAAATAAAACTCACTCTTGTAGGGGACTTCTCTGGCAGTCCAGAGGTTAGGACTCTGCACGCCCACTGCAGGCGCACGGGTTTGACCCCTGGTCTGGAAGAAGATCCAGCCTGCAGTGCAGCTTGGTCGGGGAAGGGGGAGAGGGAGGAGGCGGTGGGGGGGGGCACGGGGGGCGGTGGGGGGGGGGGAAGGGGGGAGGGGGAGGGGGGGAGGGGAGGGGGGGGGGAGGGGGGCTCACTCTTGTAAAATAGGTCTATTTTGCGGAGCCTCAAAGGGCAGTTAATTACTTGCCTAAGAACTTTATTACAAAATAGCTCTCCCTGTTAGCTAGTTCCTGTGTCCCACTATACATATAATCAGAAAGATACTTATATTTGAGAGCTTATGAGAAAACCTAACATGCATTTTTTAAGGGAGGTTCATAAATTTTGGCTGTCTGAAATGACAGTGTATTCTTCTCCAGCCCTTTCTCTCTGTGACTCTTGGTGATTGTATACAAGAGTGCTTTTGTCTTAGTTAGAACTAGTTCACAGTTATGAATATTCAAGAAATATCAAGCCAGCTTCCTTTTTTTTATTTTAAAAACTGTGTTTTCCCAATCAAAAGAAATTAAATTTGTTGATGTACTGCTCTGAATAATTCTAGGATGCTTTGATCTTCCATTTCCTGATGTTACTAAACTTCCTTTCCTTCCTTTTTATATTTCTGTGATCTGGATAGCTTTAGTGATTTGTTCTGCTAACCAGGTTGTTGTGGTTTGTTTGTTTTCCCTTGCCTTCAACCCATTTTTCGTTCTTTTATTTTTTAAATAGGTTGTATGGTCATATAGTTCAAGCATCAAAAAGCATAAAAAGAAATATAGTAAAACGATTCCCACCCTTGTTCCCAGTTTGCCTAGGTCCTATCTCTGTCAACAAATAACCCACTATATTATTTAGTATTTCAAGGAATTTTTCAAACTGAAAGAAATCTCAACTTTTCTCTCTTCCCTTTTCTTATGGACAATACACAAATGTTTCCTTTTTCTTTTTCACTGCTGCATAACAGCCTATTATATGGACGGATGTACCATGATTTATTAACCAGTATCCTGTTGATGGGCATTTATGTTGCTTCTCATCCTTCACTATTAACAAACAGTTCTGCAATGAGTAACATTGTACATGCATCAGTTCACAAGTGCAAATTCCTAGAAATGTTGTTGCTGAGTAGAAGGGTATAAGCAGTTGTAATCTTAGATTTTGTCTAATTCTAGTTGTGTGAATTTACACTACCGGCAGGAACATGTGTGTCTGTTTCCCCATAAGTTCACAAATTCAGTGTGTTATCAGACTTACATGGTTTTTTGGTCAACCAGACAGGGAAATTTGGTATAGTTTTTATTTAATTTACTTAAGTAGGGACTTCCCTGGCGGTGCCGTCCAGTAGTTAGGACTCCACGCTTCTACTGCAGGGGGCATGGCTTCAATCCCTGGTCATGGAACTAAGATCCTGCATCCCTCAGCAAAAAAAAATTTACTTAAGGATAAGTGAAATTGAACATGTTTATAAGTTTTTTGTTTTTAATTTATTTATTTATTATTTTTGGCTGCATTGGGTCTTCGTTGCTGTGTGCGGGCTTTCTCTAGTTGCGGCGAGTGGGGGCTACTGTTTGCTGTGGTGCACGGGCTTCTCATTGCAGTGGCTTCTCTTTTGGGGAGCTTGGGCTCTAGGCGCACGGGCTTCAGTAGTTGTAGCACACGGGCTCAGTAGTTGTGGCTCTTGGTCTCTAGAGCACAGGCTCAGTAGTTGTGGTGGCGCACGGGCTTAGTTGCTCTGCGGCATGTGGAGTCCTCCCAGACCAGGGCTCGAACCCGTGTCCCCTGCATTGGCAGGTGGATTCTTAACCACTGCACCACCAGGGATGTCCAACCTTGATAATTTTTAATTTTTCTTAGTTCAGCCTGAGAAAGGGATTTGGGGTGGCTGGTGTATTACTGCCAGGATGCACTCATAAGAATTTTAGAAGTTCTAAGGTTAAAGCAAATCATGGATTTCAAAACTTTGGCAATAAAAAACATGACACAGGCGGGAATTCCCTGGAGGTCCAGTGGTTAGGACTCCGTGCTTCCACTGCTGGGGACCCAGGTTCAATCCCTGGTCAGGGAATTGAGATCCTGCAAGCCGCAAGGTGCAGCCAAAACAAAACAAAACACATGTCACAGGCTAAATGATAGTCTTTACTATTTAGTAAGAAACATTCAGCAATAAAGTATCATTTATCTTCATCCTCAGTTAAATTTTGACATCTCTTTTCTCTTTTTGTTTTTATTATGGTAAAATATACACAATATAAAATTTACCATTTTAACCATTTTTAAGTGTACGGTTCAGTAGTATTAAGTACATTTACATTGTTGTGCAACCATCACCACCATCCATCTCCAGAACTTTTTCATCTTCCTAAACTGAAACTCTGTACCCATGAAACAAAACTCTATTCACCCCTCTTCCCATCCCCTGGCAACTACCATTCTACTTTCTATCTGTATGAATTTGAGTACTCTAGGTACCTCATAAAAATGGAATCATACAATATTGTCCTTTTGTGTCTGGCTTATTCATTTTGCATAATGTCTTCAAAGTTCATCCATGTTGTAGCATGTGTCAGAATTTCATTCCCTTTTAAGACTGAATAATAATCTATTGTATGTATATACTACATTTTGTTTATCCACTGATGGATGTTTGTGTTTTCTCTGTTTTAACAAGGTTGTTAAATAAAATCCTATTTTATATTAAATGACATTTTCTTTTCTTTCATATAATCAGGCAGATTCTTTCAAAATGGGACAAGAGTTCCTGAAACACTTCCCTAGCAGTGCAGACAAGCTAACTAACCTTAACCTGGTTTCTAGAACTTTAAATTTAGATATGGCGGACCAAGTTGTGTCCCAAAAAGCTGCTGAGTGCCATAAATCTAGTAAAACATCTATCAGTGCCACATCAGAAGGACTCTTGTTGCAAGATACCTCTAGGATGGGGTGCTTCAATCAAACACTTTCAACCAACAAAAGTAGTTATACGCGCTGTAATCCTCAGTCATACCACCTACTCAGTAAAGAACAAAGAAGAAACACTCTTCAGAAAGAATCTTTAATATTTATGAAAGGAGTTATGGATGAATGTACTCATGTAGCAAATTTCTCAGGTATTAATTTTTATATGAAATTGAGAATATTTGCTGATGATATGTGATAATCATGCTGATGATATGTAAAATAGGTGAAATATTTTTAAGGATGCTTTACAAGATAATTTCATATTTTCAAGAATATATTTATTGTTGGCTCCACATTGTGTTTTCTAAGATAAGTTGGTTATGTAAATGTATCATATTTAAATTTTATCCATGAAAATCTAAGACCATTTTATTAGTTCTTTAAAAACATTGGGTTTTGTATCTTCTTTAGAATATTCATCTCAATTTTGTATTAGATAATAATAATCAGAAGTTTAATAATCAGAAGTTTTAGTTCGGCAAATGTTTTACTTACTGCACTGTATGGTGTATTTTATTTTCCAGTATGATTACTAGTATTTATATAAAATTCTTAGAGCTTCTTAAAAGTATATATGTTGCATCTTAAAAAAATCCTGTACCTAGTTCCAGTTGACCCAAGCCTCATCATAGTGGTTCAAGCCAAAGAAGATGCCTATATTCCACGAACAGGAGTTCGAAGTCTACAAGAAATTTGGCCTGGTTGTGAAATCCGATATCTAGAAGGGGGTCATATTAGTGCTTATCTTTTTAAACAAGGACTCTTCAGGTAAGATGATTGGTCTAACAGGTGTCTATTTATTTGTTGTTTGTTTTGGGGACTTTTTTGGCTCAACAAATATAAAGATTGGGTATTTTTATTATACATTTTAGCCCTCTTATTTCCTTCCTGCCTCTCACAATTCTCACACTGTGATACTCTTTCCTATCTTGTCTTTTTATTTTCTTTTCCTTCTAGAGAACTAGGAAATAGCATATGATAGGCATGCTTTGTTGTGTGGTTTTACCCTCTTGAAATATTAATAGCCAGGTGTTTTAGGGTGTAGGGAGGAACATTAGCGTTTGCAAAACTCGCTTTAGCTCATCATGAACTTTTCACTCCACTGTGATGTTCTTCTCTCAGAATGACCTGAGTATCTGTGGAATAATCTAGCAATGTTTTTCAGTAGCAGGTGAATATTGAACCCTAAAAGAAAAGTGAAATACTGGTTTTATTTTTAATAACCTTGTATGACTCTGGTATTTGATAAAATTTATAAAGACTTTTTGCTATTATTCTAGTTTTTTGATAAAAAAACTGTTTTATTTCTACTTCTATTCAGATTTGATTGTAAAAGGTATCATTGGAATATTTATCATTAATGGTTAAATTAGTTCACACGAAGTGCTTAGACCAGTGCCCTGTGCAGTGTTCCAAAACTGCCAGCTGGATAGTGGTATAATAGAAGAATGCGCGTGCTGTGTGTTTGACATGTTTTAGTTCTTTTTAACCTAAGGAATAATTCTTTGTATGTTGTTGCTTATGTAGTTCAGTTTATAGATATCACCTTTTTGAGGTACAGTCTAATTCTCCAAGTCTGTAATGTCCTCAAGAATATAGTAACCCTTTCTTTTTATAGTATGATCTTTTAAAAAATACTCATGTATCAAGCATTTGAGTCCCTGTTACTTGGTGAGTGAGCAGACTACTTATCCAGTACTCAAGTGACCCTCTGGCACAGCAAAACTAAGACAAAAACAAACGAAAATTGTGAGTACTTAGTGTTGCTAGGGTTGCTCAAGAGTCTAAAGTTCTGTTATACATGTGAATGCAGGGAGCGCACATGCTTGTTTTAGTAAATCGTTGTCAAATTTCTTTTACTCTTTTATGTATCTATGTGGGAGTGTGGCTGAGAGGCATTAGGAAGAATAGAAGTCAGCAGTAAAAACTCATAAGTGCTAATCTGAAGGCTTCATTTGAGAAAGAGATAAATGTTAGCTATCAACATGTGCCAGGTACTAGAGCAATTGCTTCATATGTTATTTTTAATATCACCTTTACACAGAAACACAGGAAACAAAAAGGATTAAATAACATGCTCTGGTGGAGTAACTGCTAAGCCATTTGGCCTCTCCTACTCCCCACTAGTTACTTCAAAACCTAACAAAATTTAGGGCTTCCCTGGTGGCGCAGTGGTTGAGAGTCTGCCTGCCGATGTAGGGGACGTGGGTTCATGCCCCAGTCCGGGAAGATCCCACGTGCTACAGAGCGGCTGGGCCTGTGAGCCATGGCCGCTGAGCCTGCGTGTCCAGAGCCTGTGCTCCACAACGGGAGAGGCCACAACAGTGAGAGGTCCGCGTACCGCAAAAAAAAAAAAAAAAAAAATGACATTGGAGTAGTAGAATTTTACAAATTCAGTCTTTTCATTCCCCAGATTTAAAAATAAAACAAGCCAATCCTTTATGTGCTCCAATAATTTGGGTTAAGTTATTTAGAACTGATTGATAATACAAATGAATAAGAGACTATTCAAATAATTTAAAATGCATATGTATATCTTCACTAACGCTCCTCATACCATGTACACAAGCCCAGATTGCAACCTTAGACCTCATTTTATAGATTTTTTGAGCGAAATACACACAAACATTATACAAAGCTTTGTCTTTCCAACAAATTGGAAATCACAGTCTGTAGCAGGTGCCAGTTTTAAAGTTAATATCTTTTTAAGGATGTGGGGAAATGCTTAGTCAAACAAGTATAACACAGGATTAATATGATCTCAGTTATCATTTAAACTGGGTGAAAATACAGACATAAGCATTTTTTAAAAAAAGCTTGTAGGAAAAGATTAAATGTAGATATCTTAGAGTGATGGGATTATGACTTTTTTCCCTTTTTCTGAATTTTCTACAATGAAAATGTATTTGACAATAGGAAAAAAAAATAAGCCTTAAAAATAATATCTTATGAACCTGGGCCAGATCAGTTTGACTCTTCCTTTCCAGTTAAAATACTACAATACCTAGTGGAGTTAATGTAGGAAACTAAGGCTTTTTTATTTTTTATTTTTATTTTTTTTTGCGGTACGCGGGCCTCTCACTGTTATGGCCTCTTCCTTGTGGAGCACAGGCTCTGGACGCGCAGGCTCAGCGGCCATGGCTCACGGGCCCAGCCGCTCCGCGGCATGTGGGATCCTCCCGGACCGGGGCACGAACCCGTGTTCCCTGCATCGGCAGGCGGACTCTCAACCATTGCGCCACCAGGGAAGCCCCGGAAACTAAGGCTTTTAAGTTCAGTTGCTATATCATAACCTATGCAGTAGATTGAATATTACATTTGAAAAGTTCTATAGCCAGTTAATTTTCAACAAGTAACAGAATAAAAAGAAACCAGTTCCTTTTCATTTTATCATTTCATATTTTATACATAAATGTATACATATATAAATTTAAAGGCACAAAAAAGTGCTTCATGGGAAAAGATGGCATTTATGAACCATCGGTTGGAAGTACATTTGAAGTTTTCCAGTGCTGGTGAAGTTACATGGATCCAAACACTCAGCCTCACGTACCTGCCTCTTCCACAGCTATTGATATTTGGAGAGGAGGTCAGCTTGCAAGACACAGGTTATTTGGAAATAACTTATAGTAAAGACACTGTCTGTCCCCCTTTTTTTGCTAATTACTTGTAGTTTTTCTTTCATATTTAATTTTAGGCGCGCCATCTATGACGCATTTGAACGCTTCCTCCGTAAATACGCTAACTAATGGGATCACGTATGTAACCAGTGCAGCCATCATGTTTCTTATGGAAGGAGTTTGATCCTTTGATGATGTGAAGAACAAGCAGACAGCACTATATATCTAATTGCTGTCAATTTAGTCTGGAATTCAGTGTTACAGATCAGTCAACTATAATCTTTAAATACATTTGAATAATTGTAAACCAATATTTGGATGAAATAATGCTGAACTATTTTGTACTATTTGTGGGAATCCCATAAAATCAATATCTAGTCTGTTGTTACTATTTATGTAAACTTTACATTTTAAATTATGAATAATTTATTAATTTAAAATAAATTTATTCATAGAAACCCTATTGGTTTTTAAAGAACTGCTAAGTCAAACTTAGTTTGTAATATGTCACCCTATATTGTATATATGACCTTACATGACATTTCTATTATTGATTTGATTCGAGAAACATGTTTTTTCTTTTACGGATCCACAGTGAATTTATAATCTTATTTTCAACTTTAATTTTCTGCCATGGATACTTATCATGTGTAAAATCAGTTTTAACTTTGAATACTAAAAAATCCTTTTTGCTCTCTACTTAAGTACTTTTAATAATTAAATTGAATGTGAGAATGCAGATAAGATGCATAAGACTTGGCTAAACTTTAAAACTTTGCCAAATATTAGGTTAGAAAAAAATGCCAAACATTTTTCCCCTACTTGAAAAGATTCAATTCATGAACACTGAAATAATGAAAGACCTATTGCGTTAATTAATAACTGTTTGTTAACATTTTCTTGTATACATACTCTGAATTTGCTAAACATCTAACTTTAGGCCAAGTACTTAACAGCTTTGGTTTTTTAATTTCAGAAATTAATGGCCACATATGAAATTGATCTGTCCGTATAAACTTTATTTTACGGAAAAGATATAATAACTAGTACTTTTGAAAAATATTATATGGCTACACTTGGTGCTTTCTTTTTATTTTATTTTACTTTTAAACTTTTTTGGCTGCACCACACGGCCTGTGGGATCTTAGTTCCCCAACCAGGGATTGAACCCGGGCCCTCAGCGAGAGTGCAGAGTCCTAACCACTGGACCGCCAGGGAATTCCTGGTGCTTTCTTTTTATGTTAAACTTCTCAAGCCAAGAACGAAAATGTTTTTAAAAGTAGAAAATATTTGGGGTTTAGAAAAAATATATTTGAGTTTTAGTTTTTTGAAATATGTGTTGTCTGTGGGTTATTTTAAAATATGTATTCCTAGTCTAGTAAGGATATTTGAATTATAAGATGCCTTTGTAGCTTTTTAAAGGAGATTTTATTTGGCCCTCTAATGCCTCCATCACCTTAATTTTTAAAAACTATTTTTAAATGATTAATGTGAAGTCACTGATGGCATACAGTGTTGTAAATTCTGTAAAAGTACTTTGACATAACAAACAAACATAGTTACAGCCATTTGAGCTATAGCAATTTTACATGTTCAGATTTGAACCTTTACATTTCACTAAAAGTGTGAAATCTACTAAAGTTCTCCAACAAAATACCCTTTAAAGATAAAGTAAACCTTGTTGTTAACTGAATTACAAGTATTTTCTTATGTACTTAGTGAGGTGATTGCTTTCTGAGCAATGGCTTTAGTGAAACCAGTACTTTATTTTTCACATAAATATTTCCTACTAAGCAATAATGTACTATGGTATGTAACTTTCTATTGGTAAAAGAATGAAATTTCATTTCAGTTTAATTAATTCTTAGGCATAACTAATTTCTCCCAAATAAATGTGAAAGAGGTGTTTTTAACATTTCTTCTCTTATCCAGATGTTCTAAGAATATATGCACACAACTACCTAAAGAAGTGCTGTCTGCCATTTTGAAGATTGGGTACATAAATTGCTAGAAATTCATTTAGCCCAGAGTTGCAAACTGGCAATCAGTACAGGACAGCTTGTCCCACAGTTGTTTTATTCAGTGTGCATAATACCTCCAGCAAAATTTTTGAATTCGAGAAGTCTTTAGACTGGGTATGCATTCCCCAGTTTGCCATAATCCACCAGACTCCAAGCTCTTGTATTAGACTACTTCACTACTTTGTGTTTCCCACTTAGCCCTGAAGACATCTGAGCCTGACACCCCGACTTAGATCTGTGGTTAAAAAACGTTTCTGAATTTCATGATTTGATAATGTTGTAAGTACTATTAAATCATTTTAGCATATGCATTTTAGATTGTTTCTTATGAATGTAAATTTTAAGGTGGTGCTTTCTTTTATAAAGATTGTTGAATTATTGACTCTGTAACTGAAATTTTAAAAATAATTTCCAAATATTTTTTACTTCACAATAAAAGTCTTAAAAATTAATTACTTGTTATGTTCAAGATGTATTATTCTAAACGCAGAAAACCCATGTCACATTTGATTAATATAGCCAAACTTGAACTAAGTGTATGTTCCTTCTTAGTAATATTATGACCCAAACAACGTAAGGCAAATATAAGCAAAGGAGTCTCTAGCAAAACAGTATTCAGTATCTACAACAAGAGCCAAATTTCCCCCCAAAATGTGTGATGTCAGGGAAACCAGCATTCTGACAGACCAATCTAAATGTTGTGTAACTCACTATTAGATATTATTACATTTACACTAGTAAATGTACTGCAAACAATTAAAATCTAGAGATAAGAACTATAGGACTGGGAATAGGTGTCCTGAGTAGAGGCTGCTGTAGAAACTCGGTTTAGAAATAAAAGAAAAGTTATGGCAGATTAGACAAAGGGAAAAGAGGTACATTTTGACCATTTTGCAGGAGCAGAGTAACCTAATTCTAGGAATACTGTTATAGGCAGAATCCTAAGAAACCAATGACTGTGTGAAGGACTTTGAAAACAGTTTTAACTAGAAAATGTTGGACCAAAAATCCAAGGATTTTCCTCAGGACTAAAAGAGCTAATAGGCAGATTCACCAGATTGTGTTAATTAAGAAAAACTGTATAAACAACTGTAAAAAGTTTAATCTGTGTATAAACTAGCTGGGATAAAAGTTTTCCTATATACAGTACCTGAATAAAGTACCTACCTAAAGTACGTACCACTTTACTGCTCTAAGTGTGGTCAGTAGATTTGCAGCATCCTCTGGGAGTTTGTTAGAAACTTAGAATCTCAGGTGCCATCCCAAACTTCCTGAGTCAGAATCTGCATTTGAATAAGATCTCCAGATGGTCCAAATACACATTACGTTTTGAAAAACACCCTTCTAAGGTCAGTGGTTCTCAAATTTTAGCCTGCATAGGAATCACCTGGAGACTTGTTAAAAAGATTTCTGGGCCCCAGTGCCCAGAGTTTCTGATTCAGTGAGTCTGGGGCAGGGCTGGGGAATTTGTAATTCTAACAAGTTTCCTAGGACACTGATGCTGTTATCTAAGGGGTTACACTTGAAGAACCTAAGAGCCATGGCTCTAATTGGATCTCAGGCCTTGGCTGCACATTAGAATCACCTGGTGGGGAGTTCCCTGGTGGTCCAGTGGGTAAGACTCTGAGCTCCCAATGCAGAGGGCCCGGGTTGGATCCCTGCTCAGGGAGCTAGATCCCACATGCATGCCACAACTAAGTCCACATGCTGCAACTAAAAACATGCCGCAAACGAAGATATCACATGCTGCGACTAAGACCTGGCACAACCAAAATAATAAAAATAAATAAAAATAAATTATGTGGGGGAGTTTTAAAAACATAGGTAAGAATGCTCAGACCTCACCCCAAAGATTCAGATTTAGTTGCCTTGAGGTACCCAAGCTCCCCGGGCAATTCTAATGTGCAGCCAGGTTTAAGAACCATGTGCTTCAGCAAAGGAAAACATAGACAAGACGAAAAGTCAACTCTCAGAATGGGAGAAAATATTTGCAAACGAAGCAACTGACGAAGGATTAATCTCCAAAATATACAAGCAGTTCATGCAGCTCAATATCAAAAAAAAAAACAACCCAGGCTTCCCTGGTGGCACAGTGGTTGAGAGTCCGCCTGCCGATGCAGGGTACACGGGTTCGTGCCGTGGTCCGGGAAGATCCTACATGCCACGGAGCGGCTAGGCCCATGAGCCATGGCCGCTGAGCCTGCGCGTCCGGAGCCTGTTGCTCCACAACGGGAGAGGCCACAGCAGTAAGAGGCCCATGTACCACAAAAAAAAACAAAAAAACAAACAAAACAAACAACCCAATCCAAAAATGGGCAGAAGACCTAAATAGACATTTCTCCAAGGAAGATATACAGATTGCCAACAAACACATGAAAAGATGCTCAACATCACTAATCATTAGAGAAATGCAAATCAAAACTACAATTAGATATCACCTCACACCAGTCAGAATGGCCATCATCAAAAAATCTACAAACAATAAATGCTGGAGAGGGTGTGGAGAAAAGGGAACCCTCTTGCACTGTTAAAATTGATATAGCCACTATGGAGAACAGTAGGGAGTTTCTTAAAAATCTAAAAATAGAACTACCATACGACCCAGCAAATCCACTACTGGGCATATACCCTGAGAAAACCATAATTCAAAAAGAGTCATGTACCACAATGTTCATTGCAGCTCTATTTACAATAGCCAGGACATAGAAGCAACCTAAGTGCCGATTGGCAGATGAAGGGATAAAGGAGATGTGGCACATGTATACAATGGAATATTACTCAGCCATAAAAAGAAACGAAGTTGAGTTATTTGTAGTGAGGTGGATGAACCTAGAGTGTGTCATACACAGTGAAGTAAGTCAGAAAGAGAAAAACAAATACCGTATGCTAACACGTACATATGGAATCTAAAAAAAAGAAAAAAATGGTTCTGAAGATTGTAGGGGCAGGACAGGAATAAAGACGCAGACATAGAAAATGGACTTGAGGACATGGGGAGGGGGAAGGGTAAGCTGGGACAAAGTGAGAGAGTGGCATGGACATATATACACTACCAAATGTAAAATAGATAGCTAGTGGGAAGCAGCCGCATAACACAGGGAGATCAGCTCGGTGCTTTGTGACCACCTAGAGGGGTGGGATAGGGAGGATGGGAGGGAGATGCAAGAGGGAGGAGATATGGGGATATATGTTTATGTATGGCTGATTCACTTTGTTATAAAGCAGAAACTAACACACCATTGTAAAGCAATTATACTCCAATAAAGATGTTAAAAAAGAACGATGTGCTTTCAAGGACTCAAGGGAAGAGGAATAGCTGCTGAAGGAAAGGATATAAAGTCATTAAATCAACATAGATTTTGGAAAAGAATTCCCAATTTCTGGGTGTTATCAGCACCCAAGAGATATTAAAGTAGCCAAGAGGGCCTGTGTCCCTTTTGCTTCTATATTGTTAAGGGTAGATGTGTATTAGAACAGAATGAGCTGAGGGTGCATTTATGCACTTACGTGCAGCAAAGCTTCTGTAAACCTTAAACATAAAGCAGAGACAAGTATGAGCAAGGAAGAAATGCTACCCCTTTTGCTTTATTTTCTTCAACCATAAAGATTACATCTTCCCTTCTTTTTTTAAAAAAAATTATTGTTTATTCATTTAATTTATTTTTGACTGCGTCGGGTCTTCGTTGCTGCATGTGGACTCTCTAGTTGAGGCGTGTGGGCTTAGCTGCCCTGAAGCATGTGGAATCCTAGTTCCCTGACCAGGGATCGAACCCACGTCCCCTGCATTGGAAGGCGGATTCTTTACCACTGGACCACCAGGGAAGCTCCACATATTCCCTTCTTAACCACATGAAATTGCTTTTTAAAATGCAAATATGGGTTACCCTGGTGGCGCAGTGGTTGGGACTCCACCTGCCGATGCAGCGTGCGAGGGTTTGTGCCCGGCCCGGGAGGGTCCCACGTGCCGCGGAGCGGCTGGGCCCGTGGGCCGTGGCCGCTGGGCCTGCGCGTCCGGAGCCTGTGCTCCGCGGTGGGAGAGGCCGCGGCGGATGCCCGCGTACCACCAAAAAAAAAAAAAAAGTAGATATATTGGCTCTTTGAAAAGTTAAAGCATTTCTTTAGAAAATTTTTGCTTTCACTTCTAGAGCAGTTACTCCTCAAGATTTTTCCATCCATATCAGTCACCAAAATAGATGCCTTTGCTATTGTATGTTTTAGAGACACTTGTCAGGAACTCATAGACCTTTGATCCACTTCCCTTGCCCTGTAGATAACAACTGACTTTAACTCCTTACACTCAGGCAAAAGGCAATCACTGATCCTGGTCTGCGTTTTTACTCAAGCTCAACTGTAATCCTATACCAACAGCATCACCTGCTAAGCATTCAGTCCTGAACTAATTCCCCAACCTGCAAC